GGAACTCCGTAGTGTCGAAGAAGTTTCCATAATGTCCTCCTATCTACACTGTCGAATGCCTTTTCATAATCAATGAAGTTGATGTATAGTGATGAGTTCCACTCACTGATTGTTCGACGATGGTCCGTAGTGTTGCAATTTGGTCTGTGCACGACCGATCCTTACGGAATCCAGCTTGTTGATCTCGAAGTTGGGCGTCTACTGCATCCTTCATACGGTTCAGCAACACTCTGTTGAAGACTTTCCCTGGTATTGACAGTAGTGTAATGCCTCTGTAGTTTTCACATTTGCTCAGATCTCCTTTCTTTGGAATCTTGACGAGGTGTCCTTCTTTCCAGTCCATTGGCACTTGTTCCTCCTCCCAAATCTTTTTGAATAGAAGGTACAGCATGCTTGTGGTTGCTTCGATGTCTGATTTCAGTGCTTCAGCTGGTATGTTGTCGGGTCCTGCTGCTTTCCCGTTCTTGATTTGTCTGACGGCCATTCTAATTTCTTCCGTCGTTGGTGGGTTGACATCTATAGGAAGATCTATGTGTGCTGCTTCGATGTCCGGTGGATTCATTGGAGCCGGCCTATTCAGGAGTTCCTCGAAGTATTCCACCCATCTGTTACGCTGATGTTGAATTTCGGTGATTGGCTTGCCTTCTTTGTCTTTGACCGGCCTCTCTGGTTTACTGTATTTCCCTGCTAGTTTCTTCGTTGTATCGTAAAGCTGTTTCATATTTCCTTCTCTAGCAGCTTTTTCTGCCGTCGTTGCTAGTTCTTCCACGTATTTCTTCTTGTCGGCTCTAATGCACCTCTTCACTTGTTTGTTTGCTTCTATGTATTCAGCTTGTGCTTGAACTTTCTCTGCTCGTGTTCGGCTGTTGTTAATTGCTGCCTTCTTGTTCTTCCTTTCTTTGATCTTGTCCAGTGTTTCTATAGAGATCCATTCCTTATGATGGTGTTTCTTTAGGCCCAGAACCTCTTGACACGTTGAAGTTAATGCTTCCTTGATGCCTTTCCAGTTGTCCTCCATACTAGTTTCTTCTTCTTTCAGTAGATCTTGTAAGGCTTGGAACCTGTTGTTGAGAGCTATCATTAGTCAACCTAATCGCTAAAATTGGACCACCATCCTTAAAGACCTCTGGGGTCAATCCATCTGGACCAGCTGCCCTTCCTCGTTTCAGATTAACTATAGCCTTCTCAACTTCAGCAAGAGTTGGGGGACCTACTTCAATGTTCCATTCACATTGTCTGGGAATGGAGGGTAATTGTAGAGTAGCTGAAGGCCAGCTGAACTGTTCTCTAAAATGTTCCGCCCATCGTTCTAAACGTCTGGACTGGGAGCAGATGAGGGTATCGTCTTTTTCCGAAATAATCTCACTTACACTTGACTTATTAATTCCAGTTTCTTTTATTAGTCTGTAAAGCTGTCTTGTGTTCCCTATAGTCGCCGCCTTTTCCATCTCTTTTGCTTTCGTTACCCACCACTGCTCACGGTCGTTCCTTAGACTTTTTCTTAACCTAGATCTGATTTGTTTACGCTCTTCATCATGTTCAGAACCTGATGGGACGAGTTTGCGAGAATCCATCAGTGTGACAGACCTTGAAGAAATCCACTGGTTCCTTGCAACTCTGTGGTTTAAGTCACTAATAGATGTCACTGCTGTTTCCACAGCTGATTGTATGCCCTTCCAAGCAACATCTGGGTCAGCCTCGTCTTCACAACTACCTAAGTGTGACCTCAGTTGTTCCTGGAACCTACTTTTGGTTTTCTCGTTACTCAATTCAGTTCTAACGGGTCTTTTTAATGTGGCTTTTTTGCGTCCAGTGAGCCGCAAGCAGATGCGTGCCCGTATTAGGGCATGGTCGGAGTCCAAGCAGGTACTCCAGAATGAGCGACAATCTTCTACCGACCCTCTCCAACGATGACTGATGGCAATATGGTCTATTTGAGTCCATCGTTGGTTTGGTGTAGGGGGTCGCCATGTTAGACGATGTCTCTCCTTATGCTTAAAATTTGTGTTTGCTAAAAATAAACGATTGTCTGAGCATAGCTGCAGCAGACGATCACCATTATCTGTTCGCTGTGTCGGAATACTAAAATACCCACCTAAATGCCTTTCTGTTTGGTTTAAACTGCCTATCTGAGCATTAAAATCACCTGCTACGAGTACTATGTCTGAGCGTTTAGCTTTCTGAAGAAGTTCGGAAAGCTTTCTGTAAAATTCATCTTTCACTTCATCTGAGCTGCAGTCAGTGGGAGCGTAGGCAGAAACGACAAAAAGGCAACGACGTGTGTCCCTATCCTTCCGAGTTCTTACGTAGCCGTTCAGCCGAACAGCACATAGACGACTGTTGACGGGGATCCACTCTAGCAGTGCTTGTTCGGCCCTCATGCTTAGTGCTATGCCTACACCTGCCAGTCCACGAGAACTTGCCATCGGGTCACCAGATACACGAAGGGTGTATCTCGTTGGCTCTCCGTTTGCCGAGGTGAGGTCAAGTGAATGACCACACTGGAATCCTGTATGCGTGTTTCGGAGACACAACACACATCAATGGAAAGAGACTCTAGGGTTTTAGCCAAGGAAGCCTGCTGACCGATTTGACATAGGGTGCGTACGTTGAAGGCTCCAATGTGTAGTTTGGAGCGAGGTTTCAGTAGACCTGGGACAGTATTTTGCGCACTAGAATCGTTGGCTATGGTGACACTTGAGGTGGAAGCCGAGAGGGGAAATTTAGAGTTGAAAGTCGATGTAGGAGGAATAATAGGAATTGAAGAGGGAGGTTGATTATGAATACAGTGGTCTTGAGTGCTGTTAGAAGTATGAGGGCGGTTATCACTTCCCGGTTGCCCACACCGTGGAAGGGTTGTTCTGGAGGTACCTGAAAAGGAAATTGGATTAGAGGTGGTCTTAGTGACCTGAGAGCGTGACCGCAGTGCCCAAGGGACAACTGCTTGAGGTCGGTCACACACGACCTTGTTATGGGTAATTTTTGTGTTAGCTCCGTACTTATTGAGACCTTACCGCCGGAGACGGATATCCGTGGGATAAGGCGAGGTGTGCATTTTTAGGGTCGACCTTTTCTAACCCCACCCCTCCTTGTGGGAAGGCAGCATCGCTGTCATGCTGGTTGTCTGAAGGAAACACCTTACTGCTGTCACACCTCTGTACAGTCAGCAGTACGACTTCGCCTTCGGACCTTGGGTTTGTTGCTTTTAGTCTTACCGCTCTTCAACCGACCTGTCTGACATGGTAGGACCTTGAGGAACGGTTGTTCCAGCCAGTATAGCTCGGTTGCTTCATCACGATAGGCAAGCCCGACCACCACGTCAAGGTAGCAACAACGGTCGGGCATAAAACTGACATCGGTCTCTTGTGGCAAGTAATAGGACGTGTGGCGATGTGTGCCATAAGGTTGGTAGGAAAAGCCCATAAAGACCGACTTCACTACGGGATTGTACTCGTTAGGTTACGTGAGAATAAGACGATCCTGATAATAGTGTACACAGTATCGAGTGCTCCAGGTTACCCCAATAAAATCATCCCATCTAGACCTCACTATTTTGGCTTGCCGAATCAATCTTCGATAAACAGCTTATCAAAGAGAGAACACATTTAAGGTCACACCTCATTACGAGTCGGCTTTACCTGGAACACCCTCCTAGCAGATGTAACTACAGTCTAGCCACTGGGAAGTGTTAAAAGGAAACTTAGCCATATAAGTACCCATGGTTTGCCGTCTTTTCCCTGGAATAGCTTTCGACTACGCACTCACGGGGAAAAACGCTATGAACTCGTATGGCTCCACCATTTCTTGCGACTTATCCATCACTACTGATTACTTTCATTAGTAACTCTACCTTACCATCTTATCTCGTTATTCGCCATTTTCTCTTTGCTTATTTACATTGGTTGGTTCCTCAACAGGTCCATTTACTTATTTTGATCTTCCTTTCTATTTTAATTCTAAAACCTTCTATATTATGGCCAACCAATTAACTGCCCTGTAATATGATATTTTCAGGTTATGACTAACCGACTGGCCTGTAACAGATATATTCAGGTGTCCACAAGACATGTTGACTTGCAAATCCACTGGGATCAGTGTAGACAAGTAGCTAGACTACCTTCATTAGATGGCACAAAATAACTGGAGCCGTATCTTAACATCAAGAAATGAGCTCAAAGAAATTAATTGCTATACGTTAGCTCGTCGTAAATATATTGGATATGCATACGATAGTATATATGCATGTTTACTAACCATGAAATAAAGGTAAATAATATATACAAAAGATGCAAAAGTTGACGAATAGTTTGTACAGTGAAAGAATTTTTAAATGAATATGATCGTGGTGCACCAGGTTTATTTACGTTTGGCTATAGGACTTCATGCCTTGTGATCGCATTTATAGGACCATTATTAATATCTCCATACGTAAAACAGAAATCTTTACCATTTGACAGAATCATTTATACTAATCGGGCTGATAAAAAGTTGGATGTTCATTTGTTTTCCTCGAAATTCCATACAAAACCCTACGTCTTGGGCTGTAGACTGAAGTATATTTTTGTCTGACTTGTAGCGCGAATAGCATAACCAAACTATGCTCTTCTATGTCTTCCGAATGATTTTATACAAAATTGATCCGCTAATAATTTTTAGTTACCCAAATGGAGGTAGAATTTTTTTCCAGGGTGTACAAGATTCTTTACCAAATTTGTAGGCTTATCTACCCATGAGAGTTATGGAATTAGCGGAGATTTTACTTTCGACATTTTGTGACAGACATCGAGTCTTCCCGCAGTAACGCGTTAACAGTCAGCTTTCCAAGATTATTAAAATCTGTGATTACGGCAGCGCCAGTTGGAGTTTTGAAATAATTATTCCTAATTCGTGATGGTAGTTTACTTTCAGATTTTTGTTTTTCAGTTTTTGTCGTAATGTATGGTCACTTCACTGGACAAGAAGCACTTCTGTAGTAACAATCACAACGATTATTTTTAATTATGGATGAAACAGAGTTACGGCCCAACCTTGGTAGATTTGTGGTACGTTTTTTCAGTTACCTTCTGTATTGTTAAATAAGGACATAATCAATAGACCAGTATGTGAATCCGTAACGGTTGAGGATTTAAAGCCCAACGGTGTTTATCAACCACCACACTTGACCCCAGTATTTTTCGGTAGGTACTTTGATCATTTCTGTTTTTATTCCATTAGAGGAAAGCAAGAAAAAACCGTCAATAGAACGAGCCAAGTTGAGAGCAGCTCGGTTTATTTTAGAAGACACTGATTTAAATGAATCAGAAGATTTGCCTAAAGAAGTTTATGTATGTTAATTTAATAAGCTATTTTTACCTATTCAGTTTGGATGTGGTTCCGAAGAAAGTTTTGCACGAAGAAAAATGAAAGAAAAACAGAAGTACTGTGTTACTGACTACTGACTATCTCTTAGTTATGAAGAAGAAAACTTTACTCGTTTGAAAATAACAAAACAAGAAAAAACGCATTGAACGCTCTTTACTCCCAAGTGGTTTATCCGATACTTCCTCAAGACTGAGACAAATGCAAATACTTTTACAAAGTGTAAGTCATGCGTATAACATATAAATTTTATGCTTAACAATCACAATAGGTGGTAGAATTTCCCTTAAATAAGGTGCTTAGTTAACCTTTAATTCACAGAAAAGACATCAAATATCTTGACTTGATAGTAATTTTTCCTGATTTCTTCTCTTACAATATAGCACTCCAGACTAATCATGAACAACTACACTAGCATTATCTAAACAAATAAGACCATGATTTAAATTTTAAATTAAAGACAGGAGTTTCTCAGAGCTTCTGATTTGTGTTGATTTCATGGTACCTTCGCTTGATAAATGAGCTTTGGAAAGTTCTGACTTTATTTACAAAATCTCCAAATTTTATTGAATTTGTTCATCTAACTTTCCCTAGTTTTATTGAGGCTGAAAGAAACTCGAAATGTGTACGGCGATACAGTTATTTATTTTTAGGTATTTTACCGTTCGCTCTGTTGTTCGCTCCTAAACATTTGCCATCAAAATGTTCAGTACTTGATTAGTTGTTGGTTAATGTACTATACGAGGTTAGGAAAATGATGAAGTGTGGATCTATATGGTTTATATACATTCGAATGCATGTAATTAGGCTGTATTTAATTACATGAAACTGTAGTGGTCAGCAGAAGGTTCGCAAGTAGCAAGATAAGTTCTGGATTTTTCAAAATGTTATTCACTATAGAGTAAGTATACTCACTTTCCTTTACCTGTTAACTCCGCCTGTAGCTCTTCCAGAGCTCCTGCTGGTCTCAAGCCCCAGGTAAAGGAGAAGAGTCGGGCATGTGGTTGGCAACCCCACCCCGTAGAAAACAACCTTGCTAAAATCGCTAACCAGAATAAACAATTTGAACCATTCAAAATTTGCCCTGGGAGTTGAAGGAAGAATTATGACGCCTCAAGATGAACGCCGAGATTCTTCGCAAGACATAATAGCGATGTCCCTTCTAACAACCAGAGCAACAATTTTTATAGGTACATGGAAGGTCCGGATAATGTGGGAGACCGAGAAGTCCAGTCAAATAGCAATAGAAATGAGGAAATACAAATTGGCGGTTCTCGGAATAGGTGAAACCTATTGAACCGAAGCTGGATAGAAAAGGATATATTCGGGAGAGATGTTGCTTTACTCTGATCACGAAGAAAATGCTCTGCACACAGGAAGTTCCTCTAATACTGTCCGAAAAGCACCTATAGGATGGTAATCTCATGGATCCGGGATCATCAAAACATCCTTAAAAACTCAGACAACTTCCTGAGTATGCAGAGCATTTTCTTCATGGTCAGAGTAAAGCAACATCTCTCCCGATATATCTTTTTCTGTCCAGCCTCGGTTCAATAGGTTTCACCTATTCCGAGAACCGCCAATTTGTATTTCCTCATTTCTATTGCCATTTGACTTGACTTCTCGGTCTCCCACATTATCCGGACCTTCCATGTACCTATAAAAATTGTTGCTCTGGTTGTTAGAAGGGACATCGCTCTTGTGTCTAGCGAAGAATCTCGGCTTTCATCTTGAGGCGTCCAAAGAAGCACGAAAAGCACTTATAGGATGGGAATCTCATGGATCCAGGATCATCAAAGCATCCTTCAAAACAAAGAAGGGGATTACAATGAATGTTATCCAATGTGATGCACCCACCAATGATAGAAATGACGACAATAAAGATCAACTGTATGAGAAGCTGCAGTTGATCACAGCGAAGTACTTAGGAAAAGACCTAACAATCCGGATGGGAGATCTAAACGCCAAAGTCGGGATGAACAACAAGGGTTATGAAGATATCATGGGACGATATGAACTAGGAGAAAGGGACGGGAATGGTAAAAGATTTGCAATTCTATGTGCATTCAACAAATTGGTTATAGGCGGCACAATATTCCCACACAAACTCGTACATAAAGCTACTTTGGTCTCATCGGACTACATCACGGCGAACCAGATAGATCATATTTGTATCAGTAAAAAATTCAGATCAGTGGGAGTCGTGAAAACCAGGAAAGGAGCTAACATAGATTCAAATCACCACCTAGTGGTTACCAAGATGAAACTGAAGCTAAAGAAGCAATGGACAACTGGAGAAACAGTATTGCAAAGGTTCAATACAACCTTCCTTCCAGATACTGGCAAACTTAACGAACTCAAGATAGCTCTCAACAACAGGTTCCAAGCCTTACAGGATCTACTGAAAGAAGAAACTACTATGAAGGACAACTGGAAAGGGATCAAAGAAGCACTAACTTCAACGTGTCAGGAGGTTCTGGGCCACAACAAGCATCATCATGAGGAGTAGATCTCCATCGAAACCCTGAATAAGATTCAAGAGAGCAAGAACAAGAAGACAGCAATTCACAAAAGCCTAACGAGAACAGAAAATCAAGGCACAAACTGAGTACACAGAAGCAAACAAGCGAATGAATAAGAGCATTAGAGCCGACAAGCAGAAATACATAGAGTAAAAAGCTGCGGAAAAAGCCGCAAGAGAAGGAAATATGAAACAACTAGGTGACACGATGAAGAAACCGGCAGGGAAATATGGTAAACCAGAGAGAACTGCCAACGACAAAGGATAGAGGAACACTTCGAGGAACTCTTGAATAGAACAGCTCCATCCAATTCACCGGAAATCGAAGCAGCACCTACAGATGTCACTCCAACGATCGATGAAAGCAGGATGGCCATGGGACAAATCAAAAGTGTGAAAGCAGCAGGACCTGATAATATACCAGCCGCAACTCCGGAATCCGACATAGAAGTAGTTGCAAACATTCTTCACTTTCTATTTAGGAAGATTTTGGGGGACTGGAAAGAAGGATAATTCATCAAGATACCAAATAATGGAGATCTGAGCGAATGTTAAAACTACAGAGGCATCACACTACTGTCAATACCATGGAAGGTTTTGGACAGAGTGTTGCTGAACTAAATGAAAGACTCACTAGACACCCAACTTCGAGATCAACAGACTGGATTCCGTAAGGATCGGTCGTGCATAGACCAGATCGCGACACTACGGACCATCGTCGAACAATCGATTAAGTGGAACTCGTCATTATGTATCAACTTCATTGGCTTTGAGAAAGTATTTGACAGTGGATAGGAGAATATTGTGGAAACTTCTTCAACACTATGGAGTACGTAAGAAAATCATCAACATCTGGAATTCATACGATGGAATACATTGCGAAGTCGTGCGCGGAAGACAGCTGCATTCTAAGTGAGGACCGGAGTCAGACAAGGCTGCCTACTCTCCCCCTTTCTCTTCTGATGGTTGACTGGATTATGAATACCTCCACATTAGAGGGGATGCACGGAATACAATGGACAGCTTGGATGCAACTGGACGATTCGGACTTCACAGACAACCTAACTCTTCTATCCCATACATACCAGCAAATGCAGGTCGAGATAAACAGTGTAGCAGCTGCCTCTACATCAGCAGGTCTCAATATAAACAAGATCCTCAAATACAACATTAAGAACACCAACCCAATCACACTTGATACAGAAGATGTGGAATCTTTCATGTACCTGGGTAGCATCATCGATGAACAAGGAGGATTGGATGCAGATGTAAAGGCAAGGATTGGCAAAGCAAGGATAGCATTCCTACATTTGAAGAACATATGGGACTCAAAACAAATGTCAACTAATATCAAGGTCAGAATCCTCAATACGAACGTCAGGACAGTCCTACTGTACGGAGCTGAAACGTGGAGAACCACTACAACCATCATCAAAAAGGTACAGATATTTATGGACAGTTGTCTACGCATAATACTCAATGTCCGATGACCGGATACCATCAGCAACAGTCGACTGTGGAAGAGAACAAACTAACTTCCAGCTGAGGAGGAAATTAGGAAAAGACGTCGGAAGTGGATAGGACACACATTGAGGAAATAATCAAACTGCATCACGAGGCAAGCACTTACTTGGAATCCTGAGGCGAAACGGAAAAGACGAAGGCCAAAGAACACAATGTATCGGGAATTGGAAGCAGACATGAAAAGGACGAATGGCAACTGGAAAGGATCGCCCAGGACAGAGTTCGTTGGAGAATGCTGGTGAGCGACCTATGCTCTTCCTCTACGATGGTTAACAGGCGTAAGTCGTCTGCCTCTTTAAATTTTCATTCACTCTATTGCGTGGTGCATAATGCTTTTGCTGCCCATTTGTATCAGTACTTGTGTTTAAATATATGACTAATAACTAGCAATCAAAAACGACCCGTGTCGACTATTTTTCAGCCTTATTCCCTAAATAATTTACCATTTGGTCTACTGGTCGGTTGCTACTTTGATATCAGTGTCCAGTTAAAGCGCCATTTATATTTTTGATAACTAGTATCACAGTCACGTATTATTAGTAGTCCTCTTCCCTTTGTGATAACTAACATTCAGGTGGTGTATTTAGACATTGTTAACTTGTAGTAAATCAATAAATATATTTCTGCTAATCTTGTATACACATTTTAAAAAAAACGTAGTCGGATGAAGAATTGGAATATAAACCGCCCCAACAAAGGTGAGGTTTGTTGTTATAATTAATGATTGAAATTTAGAAAAAGAAGAAACAGCTGAAGCGTTTAAGACGCAAAAAAGGACGTCGGAAAAGAAACTAGTTTATGTCTTTGTATTTACAAATGCTCTCCTGAAATACAAACTAAATTTTATTCTTCATGTTTTAGGACTAAAAGTTGTCCTTACATATGAATTCATAACTAAATTGTGAGAGTTGGCACGGTGTAAATGCGTTAAATATTTTAAATTTAAGAATTCTTCCTCACCAATCTGTCGCTGGTTTCTGTTGTAACGCGTGTGTGAGACTGCAGGTTTTGATAAGCAGCGTTTTATTGATCGATCGCAGTACAGTGACACGGAAAACACGTATGAACGACCTAGTGCCCTGATTGGTCCCGCTTCGCAGTCTGTCCCAGCCAGTTGAGTCAAGAACGCAAGTCACAGCCTCTGAGTTATGAATCATTATATTTCAAACATACTTTGTTTATATACCAATCAAGCATACCACATCGCACCATAAAATAGGAAACAACATTTACAAAATATTTAACAAGTGAAACAAACATCGACCAATAAGAAATGTACATTTAAGGTTCAAGGCCACCGTAGATTTAACACGACAATTATTGGTATATTTTCCGACTATCCTAACAGTTTCCTTTTAGAGTGTAAGGTTACTGATGAGAGGCTCCCGGATGCCCAGGTACCGCCGAGGGTGAGGAGAGTCCGCTCTCCCTCACAAAATATTCTCGCAGGGCTACGCGTATACAGCCATTGCCAGAAAAGTCATACTCACTGCCTTCTCGTGACGGGCGTGTTGTTTACGAAATTCAGAAGACAAGAAGGGAATTTCCGGTGCTTTAACCGGATTGTGATGGTCAAGGAATTTTTTTACAAAGTCAGAAAGTTATCACTAGTGAGCGCTAGCCCTTCCTTGTGTCGTGTTCCACGTCATAAAATCGAGATTTATTTAAACCTAGGAAACCTCATTCCCAAATGATGATTACACATTTTATTTACAGTTATCTAGAAGGAATTGGCGACATTAAAGTACAATCTCATTCGTTTTAAAGGTTAATCAGTTTTGAGTTCATCTTTTTCAAGTATCTCTCCATACATTTCCTAAGTATATGCGTTTGCCATATCCTTGAAAACATATTATTTTAGTTGGTTGAGTGGACTATTGGCACTGGTTCAGTGACTATTTATAAGCCCATTTTCAATAAAGTGCGAGGAATTATTGGAATTTTCAATCCTGGGCGTTTTAAAATTCATTCTTCACTGTATCAAATTAATATTCAGTTGTACGTCATACAAAAGTATTACGATAGTATAAAAAAGCACAAATATACCGTAAGAGCATTCGGAGCTATCCATAGGAGAAACTGCTAATGGATCTTACTTTCCAATTTGGAATAGTTTTACTGTTCGTGTAAGAAACAAAAGCTTCAATATGGTCAGTGTATTAAAGCATGCAATGATATAGAGACAACAGTTACTGATAATAATGGTAACCGCTTTTACCTTAATGAAAGTGTCATGTGTAGTTGAGATTTGCACGTTAAACGTCTACTGGTTAGGTGATGGTTGATTTTGGATCGTATATCTTCGTCACTTGCGCAACCACTGAGAATGACTGGGAGTACACGCTTCTAAGTATCTTTAAAGCTATCGTATACATGAACGTACGTTACAGACTACAGACACAAGTGTGTCATTATTATATTCCTCATTTATATGAATAAGGATATTCGCTCAAATCCAAGACCTGTTGCTGTTTGAGTACAACAATAGGTGTGTTTCGTTTGCGGTCATAAGACTTGAAACTGCTCAAAGCATTTTTAAAAGCCGTATAATGGGATTCTATATCATTAACTACGTAGTAAATACTTCACTTGTTCTAGAAAGGACTTCTGTTAAGTTTATTTGTATAGTCTAGAGGAAGCTTGTTTACAACTGGTTGTATATTAATTCATTTAAGGTATTAAGACTATATATTTCCAAACTGCGCTTAGAAAGCTGGTCGGATTACTTACTTCTAAGGACGAATTTCAATAGGTTCTAACTTGGACAGCCATCACTACAAATCTATCATCATGACATTATAAGATGTAAAACATCTTATTGTAAATATACTGTCAAATATTGTTCGATTTAGTACACTACAAAACTAAGGTTTAACCAACCGCACTTTTCTGAACAAAATTTACATATAAAACCAAGTAAATCAAAAAAGCATAGTGTGATATTTTATACACTGTAAGGAAATACACAATAATAAAGTGAAATATTGGATGGAAGTTAATTACGTCTTATCTCAGTGAAAAGAACTAGGAAAGGAATATATTCAGAAAATTTAGTTCTTTCTTTTAAATAGATTTGAAAACAGTTGCTTGTACAAAAAATATCCGTCCAAATTTATCGTATATTTTGTACTGTGTATGCGAAATTGTATTGATCGTAAGCTGGGGAAAATTTCAGCAGTGAATTTTCCTCGTGTAATCACAAAATAAAATTGAAAAAAACAACACTGGTGTGTTAGTCAACATAATTTACCACCATCATTAACATTATCATTTAATACGAGGTGGTGTAGGCTTTCAGTTAAATAAGCGCAGTAATTGGTAGTATCTAGTTGGTCGTTTATGTCTTTGTCAAGTGCCGGTAACGGAAGATATGCAATATCTAAACAAAAAAGCAAACTATTTAGATTTGTATGTAAACAAAATGTACTGTTAAATAGCAGTTCAGAACATTGGCCAACAGTTTCTTACTGCTTGTTAGCAAATAACTACTGGCTTGATTTATTTATGACGGGCTACTCAAAAGATTAGAATGAAAGGTTAGGCGTCAACTGTATTAAAAAACAATTCGTCCTAAGGTAAGTCGAAAAAAGATGAATACCGCATGCCTCGGATTTCACCAATAGTGTGTTTCATTAGGTAAACAAATTCTGCTGCTTGGTATAAATAGAATTCAGCTATCTTGTTGGTCAGTTTTTATTAGAAGGGCGTTCTACTTTCAAACACTACAATCTCCCATTTTAACATATCGGTTTCACAATGCATCAGACTAGGAATATTGCAAAAATTTGCTTAGAACATAGTAAAACGTGTTTACGAAATCGCATTTCCACTACGAAGTATATCTAAAAGAAAGCTAAAATATTTTGTAAAATAAATCATCAGGGCTGAGTTGTTGGACGGGCAAAGTGCAATACATCAAATAATTAGCAAAATATTACAACAGAAATAAGATACGTTTACGAAATCGCGATCTTTTATCCAACAAATAAAATATATATTTAATGATTGGTCTCTGAAGTTTGCAGCTCGCCATTTCAGACTAATGACAACTGGGGTTAGACATTCATAAGATGGATTCATTCTATTTCGGAATACTTGAACTTATAAAATACTATATATACCATCTCTGAAAATAAATGACTCAGAGTAAATTTCTGGTAATGAATGTTATGCATACAGAACCAACGACTAAAGGGTTTTTTAAAAATTAGTAGACATTGCAACAACCCCCTTTTGGTGGGACTATTTAACTAGTTTAGTCAATTAGGAAAAGGATATTGTTTGGTTTTTGTCACAAAAACTAATACAATAGAACTCAAGTATAATTGGAAGGTTTTCAATGCAGTAAGAACAGCGTCTTAGATGTAAAGCCAAACGGAGCTGTAAAACTTCATGACAATTAAAATATAGTGCAAAATAAACAGTGAATAATGCTACAATTCATATATCAAAATAAAGTCGAAGTGTGCATCTGAACGTCAACTTACATGAAGTGGAGTCCCTTTCCCAGACATAATTTGCAAAAATATTCAGTATATTGATCACCATATCAATCGGTACTTCTGATCTGTAACATTAAAAAGCTTCGTAAGCAAATGATCGAATAGTCAATAAATATATTAACTTTTCATCCAGAGGTATAAATCAGTTGTATGGGGAATCGATATGGTCATAGATTTGAAAACCTCAGTACCTTACGAGGTCACGCAGTCATCCTTTTTTCCTAAAACTGGTATTTTCCTACGGAAGGTCAACTATAGTTCCGATAGTTCAGCGGCAACGTTTTAAACAATAGGGTCGGGTGATGCGGGTTAGTGTCACAGAGAAGATCAGTTTTCTGAAGATAATAGGTGGTCATAGCTGACAAGTCTCAACCACTACAAAACCTGGTCCCAGAGTTTTCTTTCGACTCTCTACAACCATCTAAAATAAAAACACAATGCATATGTTGATTGATTTAGACTAGAGGGACACTGCAACTTGATAGATAGAACTCGATCAGAACTATTCAAACACGAAATTGAATGTCGACTACATGATCGATCATTGCAAGTACAGACCGATGTTATGCCATAGTTAGGGACTCTACCAATGTACAAGCATGAGATCGAAATAACAGCGTCCAGGTCCCCTGACCAGGATGATATCTTTAGAATGATAAGTAGGAACCCAGTGGTCATCACTTTCGACTTCAGTCAATTTTATGATGCATCATTATCCTCATTCAAACTAATTTAGGAAATTAAATAAACTTAGTATGGATTAATTTTGTAGGCGGATAAATAAGAAACTTTCACTTACTCATCAGGGGACTTATGTGATAATTGTTTATACAATCTAATTACTTGTTTACAATTTTCTGGATTAAAACTATTGGACCCGGTTAATAATTCATCGTTTGGAAAACTTGTCAGCATGTTTGCTAGGAATTCACATAGTTGATTTTTTAAAGCAGCGGGTTCATTGCAAATAGCTGGTTTGATAGGTACATCACTGTTATCATCATGATTATTGATATCACTGGTCAAGTCTAGACCTAATAGAACACACTTTAGTAAATATTGGAAATGACAAGATCGATCCAGTATTGCAGGGAATAGGATTTCATTTTTCTTCAACTTGGATAAATTAGCATAAATGGTTTCAACACTAGCATATGAATATTTCACAAATTCTATTAAGTTAGTGAACATATCACAGAATAGTTGGATAAATGTGTCTCTGGTATTTTCAGATTGTAATAGCTGTTAAAACGAGCAAAATAAGCAGGAGGAAAGTGAGTATCAAATAAAAACTACAATCGTCACTAGTACTTAAAAGGAATAGTTAAATCACGCTACAATTCCTAGACAATCGGGTTTTAGATAGCGATAGTTATCAAGAATTAACTGTGGATTATGTACCATGCTTACACAGATTATCAGTGGGTCCCTACATGTGTTTTAATTACTTTATTTATTTGAACACATAAACATCGGTACAGGGGCACCAAATACATAAATACCACACAATAACAATGAGGTCAGTAGCAGTTATCATTGATTCGTGTGAGGGATGTGGTACCGCCCGGGTACCCAGACCTAAGCAGGTGGTTTCTTAGAGGACCACTAGTATTTCTTATAAGCTCATTTTCCCTGTCAATAAATTACAGAACCTTGGCGTAGGTAGATTAAGATTAACTGTGACCAGCTTCATGAGGTACATCTATTAATAGTAACTTGTTAATATTATACTGTGTATAGTTACTTACAATACTAGGCTCAAATGTTTATATTGACCTGTAAGTCATGTAAAACTAAACTAGGACGTTTAACAACTTTTCTTGATTCTTAACACTGATTATTTGCCCTCAGTCTGTCGGGTTCGTACCTTCTAATAAATGACGATAAATGTATCAGATTTTGTTCTTTAATTAAAAGTTTTGGAGTATGAGCAATTTAAACTATGTCAAAGCCTTCAATATTTCAGAAACTACAGTAGTTCTTATCAAAACATACAAATTTCAAACTCATGTCAACAATACTTAGTCTCTGATAATTCTTTATCATTCAGTTTATAAAAGTAGAAGTCATTCACCTTCTATAGTAACATAATCAATAATAATGGTCAGACAAGCAGGCTAGTGTATAACACTTTCACATGACGTATTTACAAAACGCAAAAATCAGAAAAGGTATTTTCTTATTGGAAAGAAGGTTGATACCACAATACTAAAAGTATTAAATTATCATTAAACATTTCTATTTTGCCTACTCAAGTTGCTACAATCATAATTCCTATTTTGAAATTGCGGTTGCAATACAGAATTTAAACTTACATTATAAAGTTTTTCAAATTGATTTTGGATTCCTTGGTGTTTTTCCAATAAATGAATCATGTTACTTATTAAATAAGAATGAACCGTCTCAGTAAGATCATCCTGAAGTAAAACAGGAATGAGTAATCATGATGAATATAGAAATTCATTATAGCGTATATTAACGTGAAATTTCCTTTGGTAAACTATATTTGAAATATTACAACTTCAAGTACCGGTCGAATATGAAATCCTTAGCAAAAAAGAATATTTGCAATGATAAAGATTTAATAGTCATGAGATTGACTTAATAACATTTACACCCATATTATTTTATGGTGTCGGAATACTGGTGTCAGAGATATGAACATTTCGTAAATGTCAAGAAGTTAGTCAGTCATCGATGTAAAATCTGTCACAAATGCATATTGCATCAAAATACTACACAACGAATAACTATGGAGAGGGGAAAGATTATTCGAATGAGGAGTCATGAAAGCACCTAACTGAAATCCATAATATTACGAAAACGTTCATTACTACCGAAGTGAAGTGACCAGTATATCGTCCAAACTGGCATTAAGATGATGTCTTTAACAAGTTAAATGAAAAAGTGGATATCTCAAGGGGATCTGAAATATTGGTTATGAACTATTATGGCGTATGCTACTTATGTTGACAGATATAAGTAGTATGTAGCACTAGTCGGAAGTGGAATGCGCGCCTGCAGAAGATTAGGAAGATTCTATTGAACAAAACATTAAGTACTTGTAATAACAAAGGAATTGAAAGAATCATGAAGCCTGTAAATTACAACTAATGGAAGTTGTGAAAATTATGCATTCGATTTATGGTTTCCATATTTTACGAAAACACTAATTTTACATTTAACAATGAGTTGGTTTTCCTCACCTGACCACTTTGTTCACTATACTACAACGATTATATAACAAAGAATCACAAAAAATGGTCCAGAAACTTATTTCTTTTCTATGACAGTGAAATTGATTACAAACCGTACACTTCTACACAAGAAGTTCAATTACAATGCAAGATAATAGTGTTATTGTTTCTGAGGTAAAATTTAGGAAATCGTGTCATTTGAATAAATGGAAATTACAGACCACAGGTATAATATGAATGAACATAAATGATGTAAAAGATTAGTATCACGGCATGGAAAGTAAAAGTGAACGATATAATCAATTGATAACAGCTACTCACACATTTTTAAACAAGTAATTAATGGATCTTATCAATGCTAATAAAGTATTAAAAATTTGTAGCTCATACTTCAGTATGTTCATTGACCAACCAACACACATATACAAAGCGTGCTTTAAAATACTACCTTGAACAGAGTAACATGTTAACATATAGATGTATAACAGGTGGCCGATTTCGGTCAGTTATCGTTTTTTTTTTCACAACACAATGCGCAGTCAGTGTAAGATATGGGTCAGTTGATTTTGTTTAATAAAAACAATTAATATTCGAAAGTAGTATTCGAGTTGACAGTTACTTTCCTCTGTGACAATAGATTACGTGTTTCGAACCATAGACACCCGTTGTAAATATGGCAGTTGAGCAATATGAATAAAGCTATATTGTGATTTTTTTTGAGCTATTCTGATTTAAGAAAGTAAGTATTATTGGAAAAAAATAGTTGATTGAGAATGTTCCCAAACTTCACCATATAATATTAGCTTTAAGCACTTTACCACTTAATTTACTCTTTTCTAAGCCGACAAACCATAAATACTCATTCTTTTGTCGACTGGACGATCTATGTGTAGAAAATTTAAAAGCCTGAAATTAGATTGAAGTGTAAAACCAAAGTAGTCAGTAATGATTCTACTCTCATTTATTAAGAATTTTACACTATGTTTAAAAAAGCAATGATATTTCAGAAAAAAAAACATTCCGTAAGATACAATTAGGATTTACCTGACATAAACGACAAAAAAACCAAGGTGGTCTCAAATAGGTTTTGATTTTTTCGACTAATTTCGCTACAGAAAATTAGAAAGATATTTGCATTAAAAAGAGGATAACATTTATATATTTATTTGAAGAATTATGCACAACTTATCTGATTTTAAATAATCAGGTGACGTCAAGTCAGCATGCAAAACGAATTACCAGAGCACAAGTAATGAACTTGGATGTGCAGACGGACTGTAGGTGCATATTGCGGAGTCACTAACTAGGATGACAGGGGATTTTAGTATTTCCTATCTTCCGGTGGTCATCCAGCTGTCATCAGTTCGTGATGAGAAACGATTTCAAATTTTACAGTTTTACAAACAAACGTAAATATTAATGCAGTATACATTAAATAAAGATGAATGATTTACACGAATCTGACTATTAAAAACAAAGAGTAAAACTCACCTAAACAATTCAATCGGCTTGATTCAGTCCAACAACAAACAGACAAATCGATCGTATCGTTAACAGAATTAATATAGCGTGAAATTATTTCCTGATACAATTGTGGAAGTCCCATCAGTAGCGATATTAACTTTTGTAGTTCACCGAAGTGTAAACAGGTTGAGTTCGATAAAGGTTCTAATGCAATCCATTTTTGTTGAGTAATTAGCTAAATAAGTTGATATACACAATATTGTTTGATCTCGCAAAATAACATAATTAGATAATGTTAAAACTTCATTATGATTAAAATTCTTAAATCCCAATTACAAAAGAAACAACTTGAATCAAATAAAAATGTAATATTCATCAGTGTAAGTAATGCTCTGATTTAAGCTAATTATTTTCATGTGCTCATAGAGTCTGACTTTAATAGGTAATGGTACTAACCGGCTGAAAAAATGAAGGGAGTACATGCTACCCTACTGTTCAAAATAAAGTGCTTTATCTAAACTAAGCCACCATTCTTTAAAACTTAGAAACAAATTAAACAATGGTAAAAGATTTTTTCATACTTGTATGCGGTATACAAATTTTCCGATAAGACAACCGAAATACTTAAAGTTTTCTTTTAATAAAAATATAATAGTGAAAGATGAATCTTATTGAAGTGAATGTGACAACAATAATTTTATTAATTGCATTATCAGAATAATGCTGGCTTTTGACAAACATGTACCAAGTTTGTTCAACTTCAAATTAAAAAGTAAACAGTTTATTAAGATCAAATGACTTTTAAATATGTATGCGATAGACCTGACATTCGGAAATAGATCGTATTGTAAATGTAAGAACGATATATATGACTTACTGGATACTTCCAATTGCATAATCTTTGTATTGGTTGAACTGATACGATTTTGTTCAAAGAAGTACACTCAGATGAATCAACATTATGAGTGCTTTCATTAACACATGAAAAATGATAACACCGATGATGACTATTTGATTGATGAAGTTTTTGATGATGGCACAATAACTGTTTATTAAAGCAATTCAAATGTGAATCACTTGTTGCTTTATGCTTTCTATGGATAACAGGGAGATCACTGGATTTTCGAATAATTTCAATACAATGAAGTGATAAATGAGAACTATGTACAGATGGTGCTGTTAATGTTGGTGATAATGAAAGTGGAATCGATTGAGGCAATACGGAAGAACAAAGTGAATTTGGTCGATATGAAATGATTTTTGATAAATCAGTATTATTATCATTAGTGTTCAAATTATCTGTATCATTTGTACTAATTAAATTAAACGCCGTTTGTTCGAATTGGCTGTGATGATTTACTGGCGACAGTGACCTTGTCGATGATAAAGATGAAGAGAAGCTAGTAAAATATTTGTCATTTACATGATAACTAACTTTATTTTGATATGTTAACGGTGACAACACTGCAGAATTAATTAAAGATTTGTAATCATTTGGTTTATTATTTAATGTAAAATGTTGTCTAGTCAATAATAATTCAGATGTTGATACACTACGTTTGATTTGTCCAACCAAAAGTTTTTGTGGAGTATTCACAGAAAAATGATAATGGTGATTATCAACTGTTTGTTCAGGTTCATCTGTCAATCTGTCATGATTTATATATTTTGTACGTACTTCATTACGATTAGATGACAGACATCGAGGAAAATATATACGTGACCTTAAATTTTGATCTGAATTATTAGTTTCATCGTAATTCCCATCATTATTGAGTGATTGTGTTGACGCGGATCGTACTCGAGAATTATTAGCGAGCACAGTATCGGACAGTAGCAATCCATTATATAGTCCCTTAACATAATCATGATTTGAGCGATTGATTAGGATTCCCTTACACGTTTTTGACATGCATCGATCATTGATTTTTTCTATACCATCGTCCATAGATATCTTATTTTTTCGATGAACATTATCCTGCCTACCGACCTCATCATTATCATCTTGATTTTTATCACCATCAATATTAAATGTTACACGTTCACTACGTGAATTGCGTACGGTAACAAGTGGATATTTCACTACCTGTATACCTTTATTAAACTTTTCTTTTCCAGTAAACTCATCATTCATCAAATCATTAACGCTAAAATTTGACTGTTCCTCAGCGAATGATTGCCAGGCAAGTGAAGTTGATGGTTTTTTGTATTCCAACTGTGGTAGTAGTGGTTGTTGTTGTTGTTGTTCTTCACTGTATGATGCTGCTGAATATTTGCCATCTATGTTATCATCTGTATAATTATTACTAATTGTTATCGTTGAATATCGATTTGTACTCGAACTATTAGATTCTGTATCTTTCACATCACTTAGACTATTAGCAACACATGTTAAATGTGGCAATGAATGTGTTCTATTTTGATGCTGCTTTTCTGAGTGGTTATGATGATGTTGATAAGCAGCTGTAAAATAATCCGATTCTGTGATACTATGTGCCAAACTACTAGTTGTTTTCTCCAACGATTGTACAGTTCGAGATAAGCCACCGACAGACTCATTATTAACTGATTCATTCCCATCTCCATTAAAATCGAAATGACATGTAATTGCTTGGCCTCGTACACCCCAAGGACGTCTAGGTTCTTCCTCCTAAAAAGCAGTGAACAACAAAAATAATAAAAATTTCAACCAAGCATTACGTGTTAAATAGGTTTCAGTCAAATTTAATATGAATGATTGTGGAGAAAATGAATACTGTTTCAACACTGGCTAGATGAAACGAGTCTGTTGATGAGAAACTTGATGAAATTCAACCAAGGACCTTTAGGTTGCATTGAATAAATATCCATAAATTATCTGACTATGTCAAACATGATTTACTAAATTTGATAAAAATGACAGGGCTCTAAGTGAGGAGTAATGATCTGCAAAGTCAACTAGGGGCAAAGATTGGGTCCATGACTAATCATTAATATCGGATGAGGATCACTAGATCTGGAAAATTTATTGAAGTTTAGAGTATCGACCATTGTATAGTGTCTTGATCTCTATATGACGGTTATGGGTTCGATCCTATATAATATCATAATTGTGCGCTGTTGAGTCTCGAAATAGGACGATGCTTCCTTGCTTGTGATGCATCACCAACTGATAATAGTTTGTGATGAAAATTAACTTCAAATTAAATTTACCACCACAAACCACTTTAGCGAATAGAAATGTATGGTTGAAGAGTAATCATGATATAGGAGTAGTCTACATGTATTGAAGTAATGAGGATGAACTTAATCTTTCTGTATATTAAACAACCTAGATGTTTTTAAACAGGAAGATTATCATTGGACTTACACTCATGGAAGCCTAAAATACAAAGAGAAAATAAAAAGATATACATAAAAACACGAAGATATGTACAGTGAGAAATAGGGTAAACAAACGAAAAGATTTCTACGGAAATAAAAAAACTATTTTTATGATCAACATATATTGCAAACAGTTAAGTGACAATAAAAAACACCAGCTGGTCAGTTAGTTAAAGGCAAAGTATGGGGTGACATAAATATAACTGCCCATGTCTCCAAAACACTTAATCCTTCTAATGATGCTACAAAACACTGTAATCACTTTATACCTTGGACCTTGGGTGAAGTAATAGATTATTTTCTTTAAAGTGTATTACCGATCCACTGTAGATTACTAGTAGTTTGTATTAAAAAAGCTGTTATTGTCTACATCGGATTACATAGGGTAGTGAGAGTAAATTTGGTCATCAATGTTATAAGTTGTTAACTATTAATTTGACTCATGAGTCAATCATCGGCATACCTTCAGTGAACAAATGAATCTCTTGGTAGATCAACCCCTGGGAAGTCAGACAATGAAGGTGTTATCTTTAAAATGATGTCAATTACAAGGTTAAATAAGAATGAGGAACGCGGAAAACCCTAAGGAACATTTATTGGAGTAACCGATTCTGATGACAGTTGGCCACAAGCTCTGATTCTACCAGCAGTGTTCGAGTAGAGAAGCTAATGTACGCCATAAGAAAGCCTTTTATCAACAGGCACGAAAGAACTTCTCCATCAACAGAGCCAAACAACGCCTAAGGGTCAAAAAATACAATTATAGTAGGACGTCGAAAAGTACGTCTACGACCTTCTGAAGGGGTATTATTTAGTCCACGTCAAGGTCTGAAACCAGTCTGGTTTCTTCGGGTTCTAGTTAAACGTCGAAGCACTATTGAGGCTAATATTTTTGACATTATACTAGTAAAACTGATTCTCCTGTGATTGTCACAAGGGGATTTTTTTTCTTATAGATTGGGACGACCGGTAATCCATACCATTTAGATGGGAAGAATGGTTGAGCCTAATTTTGGAGTAAGTTGGTACTTGTCAGAAAGACATATCTACAATCTTGAGGGACTTGACATTCCGCGCACTGCAGTAGTAAATGTTATCACTGTGTTATTCGAGCCGCGATTAATTTCCTGTAGGATGAAGATATTTTCATTAATCGACTTCCTTAAAACCTTTGATATCAAACAAAATGAACCGAAATGTCAAGTAGTTGGTGGTCACACTGCCATTTGATTAATTAAATCCAATCATTAAGCATTAGAGAAATGACATTGGTTAGTACTACTTGATGAATCAATTGTTTTATTCTTATGCACCGAAATTCAGAATACAAGTTTTCAGTTCATTCAGTGTAAAGACTAGCTTAGGTGATCCAACAGAATTAGATGGATGGGTTTTAAAGGACACAAACTAGTAGTTATTGGTAGGAATTTACACAACAAAGCTGTAGATATGTAAACATTTTGTAGAACTCTGTTGAATATAAAACACAAAACATTTCACATGGAAAATCTACATTATTATCAGAATCAACAATAAAACATTATCAAACTTATATGGAAAGTGATTTTAGCGTACTTTAGTGGATAAAATGAAAAGCGTCATTTGAAGGTGTGAGTACGTTCATCTGCCAGCTAACATCTTAGAGATGGTAGTCAAGTATAAATAAGACCAATGGACAAGATATATTACTTAACGAGTTAACAAATAAAGGAACTATTAGGATATGTTAACCGTTTAAATTCTATACTTAAAGTGGAAGTCTACGATTTCATTTTCAAATACTAAAAATCATTATGAGAAACTTTAAGGTTAAAAACAACTATATGTGGGATAGTATTTTTACTGAGTATTTGTAACGTAAGTTACTTTCAAAACCTCTTAAAGTTGATCATGTTAGAAACATATTATGTAGGTTTTTAAACTGTATCAAAATTTTTGAGATGAGATGATGATAATACAAATCCATTTGCTATTGATCGCCTTCAAAACTTTAAACATTTCATAACTCTAAGTTTTATATAATGAGTACATTCATCATTATTTTATTGTTCAACTTAATGTGTTTCTGTGTTGATCGATTGGTTTTCTTCCTTCCGAACTGTGCAGTATATTGAACTGGTGAACATTTATGCAGGATTTTCTGTTTGTTTGATATTTCATAGTCGGTTAGTCAATACAAAATAGTATAGAGTTCTGTATGATTGTATTTATTTACTATCCTTTTCAACTTAACGTTTTCTTCTATGACGAAAACATACATTGAATTTTTATGTGAATTACTGAAATCAACAGTAGATCTTTCAATCTCTAACAAAAATGAAACTCGGAACTGTGACTTGAACTTTGAAAAAAGCTATTTTGCAAATGAAATCAGTTATTTTAACATATTTATCAAACTGCAATATAGGACTTAACATAAAACCGACTCAATAATAAGACCCAATCTGTAAAATATGAAGTATTTAAACTCACATTTGTTGACGCCTAACAAGGAGATAAAAACAAAATAATCTGCATGTTAGTGAATAATTATACGTAAAAAATATTCAAACATTTTACAATCCATCAACTAAACAAGCTATTAGCATTTTTCCACTTAATACTTCATTGAAATTACATTGTATTAACTAGCACAGTGACTTCCATCCCAATATTATTTATGAAGCTGTAAATATCCATCCATCGTTCAACTTACTGGTACAACTTCTCCCATCACACCATAATTGTCTCGCTGATATTTTTTGGAAAAACCTAATTTTCTTCAAAATAACTTTTGGTTTGCAATTTTTCCCGCTTTGTTGTCAAGTGAACATAATACTTAAGTGTGGTTGTATAACTTGGGGACGATACCACTAAAAATCGGACTTTCTCGCTGAACTCTTGTGCTTTTCTTTACGAATCAACAAGAATTTTTAAACTATTTAGCCATCTTACTAATTGATTTCATCACCGTCGAAAATCTACATTTCATCACAATTCGGTAGATACATTAATGTAGAAATAAAGCTACAAAAACGTTGTTAGTTAAATGTTCATAAATTTATGCACTGACCAAATACAAGTTCATAGACTTGGCTTTAAAACACACTTGATGGTATGATGAATAATGATAATATTCCATTACTTGAGCAGAAGTATGTATATTAAGAAAGTTAGAAGTGTTCAGACTAGTTCTATAAGAATCTATTCTGTTAATAATGTTCTTGTTTGATGAATACAGTCTCAACTATCTGGCCACCGCTGTCTAAACCATATCTCAATACCATTGTACGATAGAAAATATGAATACATAAAATAACTTACTAATCTACAATCTGGTACACCTAAAAAGTTTATATTCATCAACTGAGCATCTAAATAGGTATCCAAATCACGAAACACAGCAGTCTGTTCACCACTACTTGTATCATCTAAATGAATATCATCTATAAAAAAATACACAGAATTAGCAACAAAAAGGTGTGATAATAATAAATAGAATGAAAATTAGTTCATGTAAATTACTTTGGATATATTTTCTCTTACGTTTTCTACAACAATCAAAAAAAACTTTTAAGGTTGACAAAAGTTGTTACTTTTCGTAAAATTGGACCGCAGCTATCACTGGAATCCGGGATGGGGATTTTATACTAGTTTGAGCCTACTACCTATGGCTTTAGACGCCAATGCATTATCCACTAAGTTACTGAGACAATCTGCTAAGAATATCAACAGAGACTGATCAATTGAAGTCCTAAATGTCAAAATCAAGAAGCTGGAAACTCTTACAACCAGGTGTTATTATTTCGTACAATTAAACTAAAAATTAACCTAGATGATTCTTACTCATCCTGCAATACTAATATACAGCCCTATAATTATTATTCGAAAACTATGCACAATGTTATTAGAGGGAACTAATTAATTCTGTCAAACATTTAATTCTCGACAAAATTTTGTAGTTATATACAATTGAGAATCTCTTGTTAACTATATCAAATTATTGTTAAAATATATTCTACGTGTAAAGTTTATTTCTTTTATCATAAAGTTCACTAGAATTATTACTATTGATTTGATAGTGAAGAACCTCAGTTAATTAACAATGTTAGAAGTAAACACACCATTGATTTGTAGTTAGTAGCGGAGAGACAATGAGATATTTCTGAGTTTTGCAGAAGTTCACTTGGTAGTTCCTTTTTAATTATAGGTTAAACTGTGGATCTTTTTGGTATTGCACATTTTTTGTCACGAATTCTTAAGAAACACTCTTCATCCTAGCCTTCCCTCATTATTTATTTAGTCTAACTGTGATTTCGGAACATTCATAATGGTGGTATTAAGGGGTTTATTGTCTTTACCAATAATTCATATGGATCAGCTATGTGACATATTTCGAATGTTTCGTTTTCATTGCACTTTACATTATTGATGATCACAACTTGCACGTGTTACTTATCATTGAATATGTAATAAATGATATAAAAGTGTGCTTGTACTTTACGGATGCGAAACATGGCCATTAAGAGTTGAAGATACTCGTGAGCTACAAGTATTTGACCACAGATGCCTTAGAAATATTGCTGGCGTCTGCTGGTATCACCGGGTAAGTAATAGTGAGGTTAGACGCAGGGTATTAGGAAATGATGGTAAATCAGTTGATGAGGTTATGAATCTTCATCGACTGAGATGGTTGGGCCACGTGTTACGTATGCCTGAACACCGATTACCACGACGTGCAATGCTATCACAATGGCGTAGGTGTATACACTCTGTCTTCCCTTAAACTATGAGATTAAAATCGCTTCATATCTTTCTTTCTACGTACGAAATATTTCTTCCTGTACTATATCCTTATATGCAATCTTTTTTTATATATTACCATCATTGACTTAACTACACATATGGATCCAGTGTTCATCTTGCTGTGTTAATGCGGTATGGCAACTTGGACCGATGCATATATGTGCCTGGTTCTACGTTGTAGCTGACTGATCTGTACTTTTGTGGAAAGTATTTGTGATGAGCTTAATGACATTATGCACACTTCTTATGAGACGGTATTTGTACACCTAATATATGGGAACCGTAGACAATACAGACAGAAAAGAATCCACTTTACTACACAATAGGATGAATAAAATTTTCAATCTTCAAAAAATGAAGAATATTTGAGCGAACAATTGTTTTTAATCACTTCATCATCAGGCTCTACAATTATGGACTTACAACTGTAGAGCCTGATGATGAAGTTATTGAAAACAAGAGTTCATTCAAATATTCTTCATTTTTGAATATTCTATGGGGATTTTAAACTGCCCAAAAGAATCTGTTTCAAAATTCATGGAATACATAATCATCCATCAGTGCAACATGAAAAAATGGACACATGTAACAAAGAAAATATCAAGTCAAAAAGTATTTACCTGAATTACTAATATCGACTACAGATGTTGTTTCACTGCTGGAATGGATACTTAATTGAGGATCTAAAGTTTCAGTAGATTGACTGAATATAACCTATTCATGAAATAGAAAGAGAGGAAAACAAATTAATTATATAAGAATCCATGTACGAACAAGTGAAAAAGATATTATTATTATTATTAAAATTAACTGAATAGGAAAAGAATTTTAAATATGTAGACAGACTTTTCAAAGAGAAGTTGAAATCAACAGCAGAATCATTAAACACTAAGGAGAATTGAACGGCTGCTTCATTCTAGTTTAGAATTATTTATCACTGAACACCGTAACTTCACTCACAATTTAGTTTATAATCCTCAAGTCTCACGACGAGCTTGGTTTACCTTACGATCATTACGGTGGAATCTAATAATCTATTCACACATTAAAACTAATCTATAAAATCTACGTGGCTAAATATTTCTTCTCCGAAATTTCTCAAGTAACAAATTCTGATTTCGTTTAGAAACAGTGGAGAATCACTTAAAAATCAATGTGTATTAACTCAATGATTTATTCTCAGATGAAATTATTTTAATGACCACCATCGCACTGTACAACCATGATTTATAAGCAACCGTAAACATAGTATACGATTGAACAGACTGACTTAAAACTCATTTGTTGTGGAAGTTGGGTGCTTTCTTCATAAGTTTATATCCAAAGAATGAGTAGAGAAAAAATTATTTGAGAAGATAGCGAATGCATACTCGTCTGCTCAAGTGAGTAAATAAGTAGTATCGCTATTTATAATTATAGAAGTTGTCAAAGTAATGAAAATGATCAATAGAACTCAATAAATACTAGAGACTAGGCAACAGAGATTCGTTAACGCTCAGTGATCGATTCACGTGAACAACTTAGTTTAATATCTAACATGAAGTTGTGTAACAAGTTAAAAATGCAGTCCAAATATTGAGGTGTCTTTGAAAGTTATGTGCCTTCAACTTTTGGTACTTCAACATTTCGCTCTGATTTTTTATTACCTATGCATATGTTGAATTCCCATTAAATTACGACTGCTTGTAAGGAAATTTTGAGAAAGAAAAGAGACTAAACGAATATGTAAATTTATACGACCACTTACCGAAGGACTTCTTGGAGCACTGATACACTGTTGAGGAGGAAGTCCATAACAACTGACTAAACAATAGAGCTTTTCGCGCAAACGTATCTGATAAATAGAAAGATGGTGTTTGGCTTATAAAGTATTTTATATCAAATTCACTGACAAAAAGAACTAGTAATCTATATTACTGAGCGGTTATATTGTGAAAAATCGTTTTGTGTATGTTCGACAGTTGGACTATGACACAACGGGATAAAAAAATGAGATCACGTTTTTTCTTAAATTCAATGAGACAAATGCTCAGAATAATATTCGTTTTATTTTCAGTGTGATGTTTAGATCAAGATATGATATTTCTTGTATTAGATTATAGTGAACTATGTTCACCATGACTTGTAGAATATAATTTCATATAGTTCTGCGTAATTTGCATATATGTAACTTTTTTATACTAATAATCAGGTTGATTTACAAATATATATATATATATATATATATATATATATATATATATATATATATATATATATATATATATATATATATATATATATATATATATATATATATTCAGCCACGGTCGTTGTATTCGGAGTGAATAACTATTCACTTATACCAAACCTTTGTGTTATTAATTTGCGCCATGAGAATTGTAGTGGTTCCTCGTTTTAGGATATAGGCAATAAGACGATGTAGATACGTCCAATTCAGTTTTCTGTGTTATAAGTGTCATTAAAAGTTGGAATTTTCAATAGAAGTACCACAGTAATAAAAACGTTAAGAGTATAAGCACTGAATTTCAACCAATAGAAAATTTAGAAAACTAAAGATGGAAAGAACAATAGACGAAAATTTTCACTGAGGATTAACAAGAAAAACAAGTCAGCCAATGAAACTATAATTATTACTGGCCAGATAATGAATAAGGAATAGACAGTAGAAACAACAAAGGTGGCAAAGTAATATGTATGGCATAGATTCTCTTGACCCACTTACTATGCAAAACGCTTGAAAAGATTTAATGTTAAGATTGTGCTTAGCTATGAAATTGATGACGCGCACCCAGTTCTATTTATGAATCATTAATCGAATGTGTTTATAATCCGATGTTTGTGTTTACATTGAGACTTCGATCACATATTCTTTAATACAAACTTTAAAGCGCTACCCTTGAGCTATTTAACTCAGAAAGACACTAATCTATTCAATGGGTATGAATTTATGTGTGTACTGGTTTGGGTTTTCCCGTTGTTAATATTAGGATAAAAACATATCCAGTCTCTAAGGTCGTATGTGAACAGTCAGACGATTTTTTCTAAACATCATTGCAGTCACAAGTCAAACAAATCATTGATACAAGCACAAACTCTATGCAGAGAGAAAATAACTGCACGTACCTGAGAGTTTCCTGGCTTATTCCACCCATTAGATGCTGATACGAATATTTCAGTTAGGCCGATATCACTAACATCAATAAAATCTTTTTTAGTGCCCTTTGATGATGAAGTATGATCAAATGTTGGAATATCCACTTTAGATATATTTTCAGAAGTTGAATGCGATGAAGAGATTGGGGCATACTGAGGAGCTAATAATGGGGCTTCTTGAAGAACATTAAAAGTGAAATCTAACACAGGACCACCAAGTTCTAATCTAGGAGGTTCACTGTCTGGTAGTGGAACAGCTACTGCTGCCGAAGCGATTGCATAATCTAATACACGACCACTACCTGAAGGATCTAAACCAGGTAAAGTGTATGCAGGTGTTTCTGGAACAGAGTTCAATACAGCTGAACGTGAAACGGTAACTTGTAAAATTGGAATAACATGGGTCCATAAACATGTCTATATAGTGAAAATAAGAGAAAGAAAATATATAGGAGTTAACATAATTTGATGAGACATTTTATGAAAAAACAAATCCTATGATTTTTTAACACTACTAGTCGTATCCACTTGAGAACTTGCTGAGTAATGTTTTCTAGTAGGTACAAGAGATTAAAATACCTAGTTTTGTTGAAATTACTGAAAAATGAGTACCTCTAAATTACAAGTCTAGTAATAATAATTATTATGACAACATTGAGTAACTATTACCATTTATTATCAATACAACGAATAAAAATAGATTTTACATGGAGGTAAAGTTAACTGTACAAAATAAGTCATACAACTATTGAATGGTTGCCATTATAATGGTTAATTTTTTATCACCATAGAAATATCATTTGAGTCTCTCTTCAAACACCTTAAACATCCTAATCTTTAATCTTCTACAGATTTTTAAAACCCATTTTGAACTATCTTTTTAGTATTAGTATTACTACCACTGTCGTTATGATTATTCAACGGTTGTTTTTATAACTACTAATAACTTTAGCTTTTTGTCCACAATATCCACATCTTACATGAAGTTGATTATGTATGTCATCATATTTCCAACTTATTCTGTTCCTGTACATAGATTGGACTTGTATGACATGCCTTCTCTGATATCAGTACACTTAAATGATCGTGTTTCATCATATTGTTTTTCGTAAATAATAATTATTAAATAATTTTAAGACACGTTCAATTATAAAAAACAAATAGGGAAAAGAGAACTTTGATTCCTTACTCCAATAAACTGGTTAACAATCGACGTAATAAAATTTTGTAATGAGTATTCCATGTCTCGTTGATTGATATCAACTTGTTGTAAAAACAAGTGAGCCACTTTAAGCAAAGGTAATTGGAGACAAGGTGGTCCAGAAGTTAAGAGCTAAAATTTAGAAAATATTAAGTTATTTTAAATTAAGATACACAACATAATAGTAAAGAGGAAGAATGTATTTGTATTTCCTTGGACCAGATTGTCAGGCGAAACCTTAGATTTACTTCAAATTCATTCGCTGAGATTTTACAAATACATTCTTCCTCTTTAATGTCTCACATTAACTCGGCGCCCAAATACTGTGAGACAACATAATAGTGTTAGTTAAACTGTATTCGTCACTTGTCAAAGATACATCTTTGAGGAAAAAAGGAAAGTGAGATCGATTCATACTTGACACTAACATTGACCCATATTACAGTCCCTCACATTTTGCTGCCGACACAAACACTCTCCTCTTGATAACTTTGTTGACATTTTTTCATTATGTTTCCAAAGAGCGCAAACATAATAACGGTTGGCTTAATAAACCGTCACTAGTGAAAATAAAATTTTTTACCGAAATTAGACTTTTACATATAAGCAATGGAAAAAGAGTTCCCCACGTGTACTGGTGTTATGGTGGTCGTTGCAAGGTGTATATATTCAATGTACATGACAGTTATTCCAGCGCGTAACAATCAGTTAGGAATTCAGTATGGAATATTTACCTTAGCAAGGTAGTTAGCCGGTTTTTAGTGAGCATTAGAAAAGAAATCTGTACCGTAAGTTCATGAAAAAATTAGGCGTCATCCAATCACATGAAGACCATTATCGATCTATGAAATTTGTATTGATGATTGTAAATAAGCATGAATCCATCATCTAAAATGAAAACAGTTGCTAGAATTTTAACTAGTATTTTATTATACTTGACACTCCATCGATATCAGTACGACATGCAAATACAATTAAAAAAACTTTGGTTAGTATTTGGTTTGGCAATTACCAATAAAAATAACCAAATTATAAAACAGATTATTTTAATTTTTCCCTGAAAATTCTTTCTAATATAGGATTCGACTGTAAGCTACAAATTCAGTGTTCATAGAATAACAAAACATCGAAGTTTCTAATGGAGTAATCAAGATTTAGTCAATTTCACACAAACAATTGCACAAAAACTGATAAAATTTGAATTACAATACTGAATGATAGTCGTACCTAAGGCATATTCAGTTACGAATAAGGAACGTACTTTATTTGAACCTGTAAAACACATGGATGTATCAAAAATAAAAAGTAGGGGGGAAAGTAGATAACAATTGTGAATCATGAAAGGACTACTTGAAAAAGGAAACATTTTCATTGTGTGACAGTTAAAAGTATTTGCATTTACAATCAAGGTCTATTATGATATATAGTTGAAACACAAGAGGTTATAGTAATTTCATATTTTTTTACTTAATAAAAATATTGAAGCATGAAATTAGCTCCGCATGAAATATAAAGAAGACAGTAATACTACTGTACTAATAAATTGGATAGCTTCAATAAGACATGGATTACCATGTCTATTTCGACATCATTTTCAAATAAGTTTCATGATGTGAGATAATATCAATCAACTTATGATAATTGATCAAGTTTCAAAAAACCTTAATGATAAGTTGTTTTTTTTTTGTTATATCCCGATTGTAATGAACGAACAAACAGGTGGAGACAACCAAATGCATTTTAGTACGAAATTATAGAATCTCCTGGTAAAATATGAGAACCACATATTGAATACTTAATTTACAAAATTCCATCATTTGTCCTTCAAATTCTATATGATTCTTCCAAGTTACAATTCTTTTCTATGTCCGTTTCTGCTTTCTCTTCAACTTCCGATTGTTGTTACATACTATTTATATCTGTCGACACAAGTAGCATACACCACACGATTAGTGGAAAAATTCTTATTAATATGTTAAAAGAAAGTCATTTTTAAACGAAATAAAAGCAGGTAGATTAGATATGTCCTCACCATGTTGATATGTTTCAGCAAACGTGATATATTTGAGCTACAACCTTCTAATAAATAGCATATAACACATCGACTCCATTGATCAACGTCCTTGGAAAAACTACCAGAAGCATAAAGACGGAGAATCAGTGCTAGATTTGTAAATTGGATTGGATCAGTTTTTAATGCAGCCTGAGCAAGTGATTCGGCGGCCTATAACAGTAGAACATAAATTTGATTACAATAGGAATTATATGCTAACAACATTGTTTTAACTTCAATCTTCCTTAGATTTCATCCTGATGCAAAATTTATGTGTAAAACGTCAAACCGATTAAAACTATTTATAAGCCAAAATAAGTTGAGCATTAAATCAAAACACGGAAGAAAAATCATTGTGTATCATATAAGATAACTGTGAGAATCTCACTCTTTCCCATGCCTTTACTCTTAATAATTTTACAGGCTTTTAAAGTATTCAACAAATAAACACACTGCAATACATGAACGACATTTGATCATTACCAGTGACTATTAAGCTAACCAAATAAAAGGATTTGTAAATCAGTAGTGGTTTTGCTCGTCCCATCTACATCATAGCATTTATGTCACTGTAAATTTTTTTATCTCATACTGTAGTGAACAAGAACACAGGTGGGGACAATCGAATGTATTTGACACAAAATTACAGGACTTGTTAATAAAATCTAATAATCAAATAGTGAATACGTAATTTGCAAAATGTTCATCAGTTGTCTCATAATGACTCAGACTTCATTGTTTTTGCATTTTCATACATATTGCATTCTGTTTCCATTCTTTACTGTTCGATCCTCTTGTCTCTCTGCTGCCAGACATTCTGTTCACGACTAACATCATTTACTACTTATATCAATATAAGTAGCACACACCACAATATTATTGATCGGATATAATATACCGAATCTGAATATCTGACTTAAATACACTGTTATACCGTAAAATTAGAAGTATGATTAAATTGTTCCCACAGATATAGGATTACAATTGGTATCACCTACTGATGACAGTAACAGGGCTTTACAGTCAAAAGTGCGAGATATGAACTCAAAAAGTACATTTCATTAGCTTGAGAATAGTTAGTCAAGGTTATAATAAGAGGTATGGTTTGCAAGGTTGATAAAGCATCCAACTATTGAAATGATAAACATGATATAAATAGATAAATTGTGATATGTCTTGAACTGATTATGGTGAAAGTGTTAACTGATAAAGCCAGTTTTACTGCCCGAAACCATATAAAAATTGACAATCCTGTAACTTTTCCGTTGGGTACGAACTATCAACGATTTTGAGAATCGAAGTGAACAATTGTTCAATACATCCACTTGTGTGAATTTAGAACGAGTTATGCCGAAAACAATTATTCAATTCAGTAACATAAGGGGATAAGAATAGTATATCGTTTAAATTGGACATACCTGAATACAAATGGGGTTCTTTGGCCGTAAAATTGGTGATTTCGAATTCAATTGCGTGTCGCGACTAGTGCTTCCTGTAGCTATTGAGTTTAAGTTCGACGTTGATTCATGAACACTGAAAGTGCCAAGGCTGTTTGATGGACAATTACCAAACAGCCCGATACTGTCTGTCCTTAGTTTCGAATTAGATGCTATGTTTGGATTCGTATACGCCGTGTATGGAGTACAAAAACACGACGTCCATGAACCAAGTGCTCGAGGAATAACATTTGACGATCCACATATACCTCTACCTAGAAAACCACCCTGTAAGAAACTAAGTTGTTCGGCATTAGTATCACATGGGTTTATAGGGACTGATGTAAATGGATCTTCATCCCAAGCGGTTATTAACATAGGCATAAGAGTAAGCAGAACAATAGGAAATGATAATTGAACAGATAACCCCATACGTCCAGTTGGTACTACCAGAGGATGAGTGAGAAAGGGGATTAATGATACGAGTAATCGACAAGACTGATCCACAAGATTTGGTGAAGAACAACCCTGTATTAAAGAAAGAGAAAAAACAGAGTAAATAGATGTACTCTGAACAAAATAAATTACAGCGATAACATTACAATAAAAAAACAATGGGCAAAACAATAGAAATTATATAAACATGAATAGTGCTCATTATGAAGCTATTTTGTGCAAAATGTAATTCATTATTAATAATCAAAATGTTAATGAATATTTGTCGACTGTCTCATCTTTAAGGTAGTTTTACTATACTGACAACGCATCACATTGTTATTAAAGTGTAGTGTCGGTTGCTATGTCAAGCACATATATCTTATTACAGCAACTGGACAGGCCAATTTATTCATTCTTCTTGAGTCACATTCTGACCAGCTTAAGTATTCGCTTATCAACCGTGACTGTTTTATGTGTATGTGCGTGCATTGCTTATCCTACTTATCACATGTCTGTACTTATTTTTGTCTGAATATAAATATCGATTCAAGCTTGGTTAAATCGAATTGGCTCACACACCATCCTCATCGCGCATCATTTCGTTTCGCTTCTCTCTCTCCTATTCACACCGTCTGCTTGAGTGTCTGTTCACATCAACGATTGTATGAAATATATGTATTCAAACTTTATTATCATTTTGAATTATTTAATTTCGTTATTCACTAACGCTAGTTAAGTCGATAATTTTATACGAGGAATGGAGGAATGTGTTTCAATAACAATCAGAAACGATCTACCTGGAGTCAGATCTCAGGCCACCAAAAAAAGTGTTTATCATTTAATTTCCATTGTAACAATACAGCTACGATGTGGTAAATCAGTATACATTAACTCTACAATAAATAAGAACTTTCGTCTAAATTTGAACGAATAGTTTCACAATATTTGGGCGCCGAGTTAATTTGAGACATTAAAAAGAAGAATATATTTGTAAAATCTCAGCGAATGAATTTTAAGTAAATCCAACGTTTCGCCTGGCAATCTGGTCCAAGCTTTTTCAAGGAAAATATAATCAAACAACAAAATTATCGAATATAAATAGGTACATGGTTCTTCGGTTTACTGTACACTGAATAAGTCATCCAATCGACGTGAAGGATTTCTTTATAGATAGGTATTTGTATTAATGTGTAAGAGACATGTTTATATGAAAAATAATAAAGGTCAAACAAATAAAATAAAAGTTCATTTGAAAATAATGAAGGGGAGAGAAAGAATAAGAAATTGTCATGTTATCCTAGGCCATAGAATGACTTAAGGATTATAAGGTAAATTCAAGGTTATGACAAATTGTTTTGTATGTGTTATGGAACCAAAACGTGTTAAGATAACAGAATGTGTTTATACGCAAGTGATATGAGAAAAAATTTTCATTCAACTTAATATTGACTACGGTCTGTGTATATTAAGAAAACAAATCATTTTTATGTATGAAATGCTACAGCCTGCATTAAATGAAGATAAGTAAACAAAATAAATAAACGAGGAATGTATATGTAATTGAAGTGTGTTATTTTAAAAAATGTTCCAGTCAATTGTTTAACATATTCAGATAAGATAACGGATTTGAATCATTGAACGTATTATCTATCAATTAGTTACTATGGCATAAATATATCAAATGGCAAAAAGGAGATCAGGTTTACTTATTAATTATTAGTTGCCATGGTGCAGCTAGTTGTATTCCATCTCTCCTATTAATATTGTTTAAATTAGCCCATATATGTAAGGCTTCAGCTGTTAGGCGTTCTTTGTAAGAATTAAATCCTTTTTGAATGATTCTCGTGCCATTGAAATCAACTGTATGACCCGATTCAATTGAATGTAATGCTATCGCTGATCTGTTCTCAAGCTTTTTTACATCAATTGAGGATTTAGGAATATGCTTTAAGCACAGTTTGTGTTCTTTCACCCTCACATTCAGTTGTCTTGATGTTTCACCTACATACGTTGCATTACAATCATTACATTTGATTTCATAAACACAATTTTGTTGATCATCCTTGTGTATTGGATCTTTGATTCTTACTAGTTTTGATCTTAGAGTATTGTTTGTTCGAAAGAATACTCTTATATTTTGACGAATTAAAATCCTTCTGATGTCTTCTGAGATACCTTTACGATATGGGATCACTACTGTATTCATCCAATCTTGCTTAACTCTTTTTTTAAAAATATCATTCCGTTCTTCATTCTTAATTATTCTTTTAATAAAACCTTTCGGATAATTATTCATTAATAGAGTGGATACAACTAAATTCATTTCCATTTTTATATCATCTGGTTCAGTGACAAGTTTTTTGACTCTGGTGATCAAATTTTTGGCCACTGTCACTTTGGTCGCGTGTGGGTGCGCAGACTTAAAATCTAAAAATTTCCCTGAATATGTAGGCTTACGGAATATATTAATTTTTAAAAAATCATTATCCTTCCTTTCAACCAGGCAGTCTAGAAACGGTAATCTGCGTTCAGTCGATTCCAACTCTTTAGTAAACTTGATTTTGTCATCTAAGCTGTTGAACCGTTGGAATAGTTCGTCTAAACCATCTCGTTTTATGATGACAAAGGTATCATCTACGTATCTTACCCAAATTTTTGGTGGAATGGAACACATTGAGATAGCAATTGTTTCCAATGAATGCATGAATAAATTAGCCACAATTGGAGAGACAGGTGATCCCATAGCCACACCTTCTGTTTGTCTGTACAAAACTCCTCGAAAAATGAAAACCGTTGAATGTAAGCAAAGCTCCAACGCTCTAATAATGTCTGTTGGGTCTAGACGGCAACGCTGTTTAAGTTCAATGTCAGAATCTAACAGATTATATACAATATCTAAAGCTTTTTTAATAGTAACATTAGTGAACAATGAGCAAACATCAAAACTTGCCATTATTTCATCATCTTCTATCCGAATATTACTGACAATGTTTTTGAAATCATTAGAATTTTTTATTCCATATTTTATTACGCTTTCATATGGTTTAAGAATTTTGGCCAAATATCTAGAAAGATTATAAGTTGGTGAATTAATGTAATCAATCACAGGTCTTAGTGGTACATCTGTTTTGTGTATTTTTGGTAGGCCATAAAATCTACACGGGTTATTGCTTTTTGGATATAAAGAGAACCATAAAAGATGATTCTATGGCCTAGGATAACATGACAATTTCTTATTCTTTCTCTCCCCTTCATTATTTTCAAATGAACTTTTATTTTATTTGTTTGACCTTTATTATTTTTCATATAAACATGTCTCTTACACATTAATACAAATACCTATCTATAAAGAAATCCTTCACGTCGATTGGATGACTTATTCAGTGTACAGTAAACCGAAGAACCATGTACCTATTTATATTCGATAATTTTGTTGTTTGATTATATTTTCCTTGAAAAAGCTTGGACCAGATTGCCAGGCGAAACGTTGGATTTACTTAAAATTCATTCGCTGAGATTTTACAAATATATTCTTCTTTTTAATGTCATTAACTCTACAGTTTAATAACAGTTCAAACAGGGATGATAGCCACCAATTTTGTGTTTATGCTGGTAATGTAAAAATCGGTGCCAAAATCAAGATGTGAAAACATGCAATATTGAAGATCTATTCAAAATACCCATACGTCAACCGCGATTGAATAAACTCATTGAACAAATCAACAACAAAAAAGTAGATACTATAGCGATAACTAATACGAGTTGGAAAAGATATGTCTAGTGGAAAATTGTGGTATTTTTAAAAGTGATTCAAATTTCAACATATAAAATAATATGCTTTCGAAGACACTCTCGTTAAAAGAAAATAATCCTGACAAATGAAAAGATAATGTATTGAAAACATTAATAATGAAGTAATAACATAACTTACTTTAATCACCAAACTAAGTATTCCAGGAAAACATGGAATCCATTGTAATTGGTTAAGCATCTTTTGCGCCCTATCACTCAAATTTATTTTCGAACACTTAGATGATTGGCTTAAATTTGATGTGCAAACACTCGGAATAACTAAATTTAAGAGTTTTAAACCAACCAAATATTCATGTTCAAAATCTGATTCCAGGAGTAAAACGCCGGTCCAAAAGATTCCAATAATCAGATCAGCACGTTCTTCTGGGGGTAACAGGCATACATTATTATTGTTATTATTTGGCTTAGGTGTAGATGTATTTGAAGTACTAGATATTTTTGTTAAGTGACTACCAAAGAAAAGAACGTCAATAGAAGTACTATGTTAATATAAAGAAAGAAATTATTTCGAATTCAGTAGGTTAAAAATGATTTCGTTAGTTCAAATATATAAGTGAATCGCTTTACACTGAGTAGCTAAGTGTAGTAATAAAACCAAAAGGTTGAAAGTTCTACGGCATAATAGAAGAGGAGAATGTGATGTAGCAACTACATTACATTGAAGAAAATGATGGATATGTTGAGCATATTCATCTCCGACTAACCAAACAGTAATACTGTTTCAAGTTGCTTGTATTCACTGATCGTTTCATCATATTTATTCACTTTATCTATTAAAAACGAACACATTTGTAAAAGCAATTCAATGGATGGAAAATTAAGTAAAACATTAAGAACATTATTTTCAACCTTAATAATGACTAAAGAACAAGCTCTTACTTAGAATCCGAAGGAAATGATAAGGTTGATGATGTATACTCCAAATTTGGAGAGGTTGATTGAGTTAATTTAGATAAACCACAATCATTGATAGGCATAACAGAACTTAAATGACATGGCCGATTTCCAATTAAAGATGAAGATTTTGAATGACGATGAAAATGACGACGATCTGATATTGAAACTATATTTTGCACTGATTTACGTCCACTCCCATTAAGTGAACTAGATGATGGAGAGGTAGGTTCAGAGGTAAAATAAGACGCAGATTCCAGCAAACTATCACTTTTTGATTTCAAATGATGAATAGCCGCTTCTTGTGTGAGGAAAAGTTCAGCGACATAACCCTAAAGAGCACGCGAATTAAAAATATTGGAATTATAATGGAGTTAACATAGTTTAATCTCGTAAAAAAAGCAAAAACAGACCAAATTTCAAGTTGTATGGGTTTATATTTATCGGTATGTAGTAGTTAAAACTGTATCAATCCCTTTCTATTTGAATTAAAGCTCTATGACTGGATGTTTCGATATTGCCTGAAATGGGATGTTGATGACATTGCTAATACTGGACAATAGAAGAATACATAAATTAAACATGATTCTACTTCGAAGTCGTTAATGGGATGCACCTAAAACCTCTGTGTTGATGTATCCAACTAACGCCGAAACAAAGTAATCATCGCTTATAATATCTTAATATTATCCACCGAGTCACGATAGGCATAATTTATCTAACAAGTATGACGTATTGGTTTTGTTACAAGAGATTGTAGATATGTCTAGCAATCAAGTTTCAAATAACAGGTTTCTAATTCGCTGAAACTTACTGTAAGGTTTCTGTTTTTACTACTATAATTGCAATTGGAAAGACTGGTTTGACTATTTAGCCTGAGTTTCACTTCAAATATGATCAGGTTGTATATGTAAAATGCTTTCCAACACGTGTTACTATAACGGTTAATCTAGAATGTTCCACTACTTAACACAGTGTATACGTGTTGAAAAAACAAATGTATCATATACTGCAGAATAAATACGGTAACTGTCTAAGAAAAGATATCGTCAAATAAATAACATGTACCAAAGTATTTTTTTAAACCATCGACCAAAGAGTGGGTAATTTATGTATTTTTAATTATACAAATGTGTCAGAAAGGCTGAACCATGAGAGAAAACCTATATCACTAAGTAGTAAATAGACTACAGCTGTGATTTGACGCTTCTAAACAGGTAACTAAGCCCAAAAAAATCCTTGTTTCCAGAACATTGTGAAACTCATATTGATAAACCGAATTCTAATGCAAAATTAAATGACAATAACCTTGAGTTAGCATTCTAAGAGCATTAGAGCATTTTGTTGCCTCTTATTTTTCTTCATAAGTGTTTCTTAGTCTAGTCGGAATTGCGGGCGACTTTTATTACTAGTGACTTTGCTTTCTCTCCCTGCTATGAATTGTAATTAGCAATAATACGTTTTCATGAAGCCCTTTATTAAACAACAACGTAAATCTCCTTAAACATATTCAACTTCTTTGTCATACTCAACTTCCTTAGACAAACTGTTGCGAAATACGAATACTTACAATACCTTAATACAATATACAATTACTATTATTATTTTAGAAGTATCACTATCTTCATAGTAATACAAATTCTAACTAATAACTTTATTGGGGATGATAGTTGTATGCATTTCAGAAGTGTAAATTATTCTAAACAAATATGTACGTGCTAAAACATCGTAATGATGACCGAAACAAAATCCATACAATACAATTACCTGTATTTCTTCACTCCCATCAGATACTGTTTCACCCAATCTAGCTAACAATTGTGAAAAGATTTCTTGTCTAAATGACCACCAAGAGCGCGGTGAATTTGCAAAGAACGACTAGCAAGATGTCGACTAGGACACGATAAACCAGTATTCAAAGCAATTCGAGATAAACGTGCAACCATACAATAATTTGAATGATCAATAATCGTATCTTTGTAATCATCATCTGCAAAAGTTAAACTCTGGCTATTATGATCATGTGGTGGACCATGTAAGCACTGCAAACACTTTTCAGCCTGTTCAGAACCAGCTTCAGATAAGGCTAGTATACGAGCAACAAGTTTAACAAGTTGTTCCAAAGAGTTAACATTAGTCATTGATTTTATAACTGACTCTTTATTTTCTACTTTCTCGTTGTTAAGAATCTGATGAAATTCATTTTGATAAGAATACTGAAATGTGGTACTAAAAGAATTGTGTTGTATGTTAAAATCTTCCCACGTCCATATAGCTTGTCCAGAACTAAAATATTAAAATTAAACGTCAAATGATATTTTGTGAAACATGAAAATAATAATATCTTGTCTTTTAAAGATAGATGCATGAATAGTATGATGAACTTTAACTATTATTTAAACGCTGAATTATACATAATATTAACTTACCTATTCAAAAGTAAACTTTTAAGTTGTTGAACAGCTTCTTCTAATAGTTTAAGATCAGATTTTTTAATTCTCTTAGTTTTCTCAATTCTTAATGAACAATGGTTATTGAATGGGACACAGTTCGAAGCCACAGATTTTGAAGACCGTGATTTAGAATAAACAGATGAAGGTCTAACAGCACTTGCAAGTGTTTTATTACGTAAAACTTCCTTCTCTGAATTATTTGAATTTAAGTTATAACAAACTGAATTGCGTTTAGGTATTAATGAGTCATTGCAACTGTGTGATTCAAAGAGGTTACTTTCATGATGACGTGGAATTAAAGTTGCAGTACTAGTAAGACTAAACATTGAACCACTCAATCGACCTTGGTCGGTTAACAGAGTTGGATGGGTTTGAAAATTTTCAACTATTGGTGGACTAATGCTAGGTGAAGATGGACTGGCAGCTGAGCTAGTCGTAACATTAATATCTTTCAGTGGTATTAGAGCAGATGATGTTGTTTGTAGAATATCTTCATCTTCAGCTGGCGACCTACTTTTGAAGTTACTATTTCTATCATGCTTTGTGGTTGTACAAGAAACGAGTGGTGAAGGAAACAACTGATCCCTTTCAATAGAATCGAAGGGATTAATAACCATGCTGAACTTTTCCTGTAATTCAATAAACAGAAAATACAACACGAGTGAATATCGTATCAGACAATACATATGATTACAAAATCATTCACATATACCTCATTCAGTCAGTCATTGTTATCGCTAAATATTTTGACATCGTCCCATATGACCATAACACTATCTCCTTTATGCGTTCGATATTTTTTCATCCACTAAGATAAAGTTAACAGATCAATCTGTAACAAAATAATTTTTTTCGTTTACAGCTTATTTATTTCAAGAGAATGAAGTAGTTTCTATATCCTTCAACCAAAAACAAAACAGGTTCATGCTGATGTTTGATGAAAGCCCTCAATTCACTTATGCCAAAACCGCTTGGTGATACGTCATCAAGCATATTAGTTATTTCAGTCATTCAAGCACAATATAAGTCCTAGGACACATGAATACGTATCAGTTTAGGTTGCTATATAACATGATGGATCCTAGTTGCAAGATGAATGATCATCAAAACTTGCAGTCAATAATTACATTTTGTTAACATGTCTAGTGATCAAGATTCCGTTGCGGAAATTCATTAACGTTGTACACTAGCCTATAGAGAAAATGACCAAATACTGATCTGATCACATTTGATTTCTTTGTTCTCCAACATTGAGATATATAGTGAATATTGTATGCTTTGGAGCGTTGGTCGTGTATAAGTTCTTGAAGCTAGAAAACCAAACATTTATTGTTAAACAAAACACTTAGTTTCAATCACTGCAATGAATTAATGCGATCCACTAGAACGTCAGTTTAGCCAAACTCACACGATATGGCCCACCATCTAACGTTAAACGATAGTCTTGAACACGAGGACCAGGAAAACCAGAGGGATAAGCAAGACGATGAAGATTGGCTTCTAATTCAAGCCGTAACAAACGAAGAATATCATGGTGTGGACACACTTGATCTAACAAGGATACTAGCAAGTGTTTAGATTCTTCTTGTACAAGTGCACGACAGTGGTCAATACCTACGGATTTAAGTGAAAAATAAAATACAGTAAATTGTACAAAATTTTGTAGGAATATATCTAGTCATAAATTACTGATGACGAATCCTATTCATTAAGGTTGGACATCATGACAACACAATGATAAACTAATAATAATAATGTAATTAAGCAAAAGAATAGGTATAGGAATAATAAAAACGCTTATTATGGGATCGAAATACAACATCTAGTTATCTGAACGCTAATTTGTGGGTTTATGATGAAATACGTAAACCAATGTGTTAAAAAATAAACCTATGGAACTATGACAGTCTTAGGCCAATGAAATTTACATGAATATAATAGGCGCCTAGAAACATTTTAAAACACGACTATTATCACTGACACAATAACAATAACAAAATAATAATAATAAGTAATTCCATAGAAATGTATGGATGTTTTTCCATATTAGTTTTTTAACCATGTCTGAACATTCCAGTGTGAAAACTGAATAACAATTCAATGATTATCATTTACTACTCAGAATTAAATTATAAGAGCTAGAAGTACGTTTGAAATGCAAGGGTTAATCATATATATCGAAATGAGGCTTTTAAAAACTTTATTACTATATGTAGGTAACGAAGGAGATAGATATTTTCTGAGTAGATCATGGCAAAAAAAACCCCAACCATTTTCCTCGCAATCACAGCGAAAAACAAAATTACAATAAATGAGGACCATTTAACATACTAATTGTAACTGAGAGAAATCTCAAGTATGTACATGTACCAAGTAAATTGTTTAAATTATCATTCCGATTACTTCTGTTATATCTATAAACAGAACTACCTAATGAAGATATATTTTTCAAGACGCATGTGCTTTCGATATCATTTACTCTCACTGGCTATTTAACAATAATGACATAATGAGTGACATTTTTTAAATTTATGCCATATGTTTTCAACACTAACCGACAAACAGTATTTGAATAGTAAATGATCTCCAATTAATGACTGAGTTACCTGACAAAATCTAAGGATTCTTTAAATGGAGAATAGAGAGAAATAGAAATGTACCTAAACTCTTAACAAAACAGAAAGCAGGAAAGGTTATATAAGAGAAAAAAGAAGTAACCTACCAAGAAATACACCAAGAAGCATTAAAGGTAGATGTTCACTCCAATCTACGTGGATATCTCTTGACTGAGTTAAACCGCCGGCCAATATTAGAACTAAAGGTGCCCTAGGTCCTGCAGGAGGCCAACTACCACTGAAAACAACTGACCCACCGATTACCAAAGGTTCAGACAACCATAAACCAAGAGGAGCGTGATAGCCTCCATTTGCAGGCATAGGGAGAGGCTTACAGTTGTAGTCAAGGTATGATCTGTTGCTCGAATGACTTACTTCCACGTTCGAACTTCTACGTACACAAGGCTTAATATCCGATTTATCAGAACTGGTAGTGCTTTTTCTATCAACAGTGACAGGAGATATCGACAATATACATGTGTTAGATCCTGTAGATCCTCTTGAGGAAAGACTTAGAATGGAAGAAATGCTGGCAGGAAGTGGTAAAGGTAGTGGAGGGAGGGCAGCAAGACTGGGTGGCAATGAAGCTGAATGGTGAAAAGGGTCTAATCTCGATGATCCAACAGCATCAACTTTCGAATTGTTAGACCATCTAGATCGTTTTTCTTTGTATTCTTTTAAATATTTCGGCTGTCTTGAAATTCTGCCAGTGGTTGATAAACAGTTGGTTTCATTCAGTGGACTAGATAGCACAGATGAAAAAACAGATCGTTCGTAGGCGTCAGAAATAATGGGAAATGTTGTGCCGCGCCTATATAGATTCGGTATATCACAATTAGAATCAGAATCACTTGATTGGAAGTCTTTCGGGTTAGGTGATGTTAGTAAATCTGCAATATCTTTAGCGCGCAGAGTAGCATATTTATCATCCAAATTTGATCCACACTTAGTGAAACCTAGGAAACAAAGTTTGAGAAAGTGAAGTTTCCTAAAAACATAAAATATAGTCCAAAAACCTTATGAATGTTCATCCACTATGGTTAAACAACGTTAAAAATGGGAACAAGGCAGAAATTGGATGAAAAAACAAAGACAGAATAATTTGATTGCCCTCAAACTCAACAACTTGACAACTCCTGTCTGTGATTGGCAGTGTGACCTAGTGGCATTAACATACAGAACAAAAACACTTAATCTAAACAATCCTTTTTAAGGTCCTACAATGAGAAGCAATATGAATGAAGACGAGATTTTGAAACAGACAGTAAATTTGACGCTAGGTGATGTTATACGGTTGGATGTAGTTCTGCGTAACAATACTTAGATTCTTCACCATTAATAACAGCTGCTTCGGGCGATTTTACCATCTCACAAAAAAACAGGAGAAGAAACCGTTCGGAAAAACAGTTCACTGCCTCCTTCCACAGATTTCTGATGGAATCAAAATATAGAATTGAAGACAAATACTTGTAAAACAGTGGTATGGTGGGGTGTAAAGTGTGATCGATAAGCAAACTCACCAATTACAACAGGAGACGCCCGACACCATATTAACTTTCTTTGACCTTGTATGACTATGCTTTGCTTATTGACCAATCATGGGCCCGAGCCCCGCATGTGAGGTCATGGATGCGCACTGCTGAGGAGTCCCACACTAGGACGAAACGGACGTCCTGTGCTTCCAGATTTTCAATGGTGGTCTAGCTTACATTGACTCATGAATTCAATTATTAAAATGACTATAAGCTGCACAAACCCACATTGTAATAATAATCATAATTTTATGTTTAGCATGAACGATATTGTTTTGTATACTGTTAATTTACTTTTTAGAAACAGATCAAGTTTATCAAGCCAAACAGCTTGATTGTTCAAACTTTTGTTAAGCTAAAACTAGTTTAAAATTGAACTTGTAGGAAATTACTTCCTACATTGGGATCAAGTAGTTATCTATTAAAATTAACAGCCACATTTCCAAGTTGACGAAACGATCAATACAAATACAATTTTTTTAGGTTTTCCAAGATGATATATTCTTCCATAGTGTAAATGACAATCATCGGCACATATCAAGCAACAATTGGATGGATCAGTTTATTCAAGGAAACAAAATATTTTGTAAAAGGTTAGCGCTCAAGTTTTGGAGAACTAAGTAGGAGAACAATGTGATTAGCATTCATCTTCAAATATTTCATGAGTGAGGATTAGTGATACCATACGGACACTCAAATAAAAGTGCATGCGAGGTGGAGTAGAGTAATTCCATTACCGAGCTATCACTCGATTCCTTCAGTACGAGGGGTTAAATTGGTAAACAGTAACAATCGCATAAATGATTAAGTTTGTTTGAGTATAACATTTACTTACCTTCAAATGAATCAAGATCTATTTCTGGCTCTCCATCACTTCCTTCAACTAGCTGGTAGTTACATAAAGCTGCTGCTGATTCACGGGATTTCTCTGATTGTGGTGATTCAGAAGAGCTGTGACTATTGTTATTATCTTTTGAAGCGGATGATATTGTTGTAAACTGTATTCTACTTTCATTTAAGGTAGTTTGTTGATTTGGTCTATTAGTAGATATAGTGACAGTAGATGGTTGACATGTAGCTGATTTTGGACGTACTGTTGCATTTGAAGGAGACCTGTTTCAGAAAACAAAAACAGCACAAAACATGATTTAAAAATATACACTTTTTAACAAGACACCACGGTATTAAAAAAACAAAGGTTTAAATACAACGTATAAAAATATAAACACCTGAATGGATAAAATGCATACACTTTTCAAGGTGACCAATACAAGCAATTGTTAAGTGAATACTCTGGTCCCTGATTTCATCAACTAATTTGACCAATTAATAGAGCTAATTAGGTTCTTTAAGCGAAAACTTCAAAGATTTTTCATTGTGTATACCTTATAATGATGAAAGTATGGGTAGATAAGACAGAAACAAAACTTACTTCACATTCAAATTAAAATCGATATTGCGATAATCATAACTTCCTCCAATAGCACTATGTAACGTTCGCATTTGCGCCGTTGTGTTAGAACAAGGTTTACTACCTAACCCGAGTGCAACTAATTCATCATCTGGTTGTCCGATTCCTTCTTGGTTAACTAATAAACGATCATTAACTCTCTGACTAGAATTGCTCGCAGTCTTCGATGATGAATTATTTGGAATGCATGACTGAAATCTGTGAGATTTTAGTTTTTCGATAGATTGACGATGATGTTGAGTAGAAGTACTAACTCGAAAGAATGGCAGACTAGATATGGGTTCAACAATTAGACCAATACCATCAATAGTCTGAAAGTAAAAAAAAAGTTATATGCATGAAATACGAATTTAAATTTGTAATTGTATGAAAACGTATAACTACTTAATGAGATCCATATTATATATATATATATATATATATATATATATATATATATATATATATATATATATATATATATATAATTTTGTGATCAGATTATCAGATATATAGCTATATTTTGTTTCGATAATAGATGATAATTTACATAAAGTATGGACAAACCAAACAATAAAGACTAACCTGCATTTCGACCATTAGTTCTCCTATGACACGTTCAGCTTGCTCAGAAGCCAGATACGTAAGGAGACGTTTAACCTGAAATCGATCCAAAAACAGAAAATATATATCCACTAAAACTATTGTTCACAATAGTACTCTGTAATAACACTTAACTATAATACTAGATTTCTACAAATGTCATATATCGAAGCACTTCGATATTCGGTCAGCATTTGATGTCAGCCAAGTGCTGCTTATACATGATGAGAATATTTGATAGGAATTTGGAGAAATTTCAGGTGAAATAGTCAAGTCCCTGTACAGGAATGTAAACTCTGTAAAACTGAAATCGATGTACGTGTTTTGGTTCTGAAGAGAGCCAATTATCATTAACCATACTGAACTACATGTTTTACTTATTTTTCACAGCTAATTTACTTTATTTCGCTTTATTCAGATATTAACTTTCTTTGATTTCATATTTTTAAGAAGTGATGTAAGGTAAATGAATAAGTTAGTGATCAATTTTATCGCGTGGGGACCCTGTTGCATTTAAGACACTCAATGAGTTTCTGAAGTTTAATGCACGTCTCACAGAAGCGAAAACGAGCTTAGAATTTGCTATTAATTGTATACAATCTAATAGATATCCTAAAATATATTGGAAGTCTTTACGTCGTAACCGAATCTATCCTAATGCAAAAAAAAAAAAAAACTTTCGTATAAATATTCATGTATATTAGAGTAAAGCCTGATGACGATCTAATTGAAAACAATTGTTCGCTTATATGTGTTGTTCCAATTTTATTTCATTTAGCCATCAGCAACGTAGAAACTGTCAAAGATGTGTACCAGCCGTAAGTTGGAGAACTCCAGAGTATTCCTCGGAAACGTCAGAAGGGGTTCAGAAAACGCTGAGAAACATTTCATCCAAACAGCTATGAATAGAAGCTTCGCAGAATATCTGAAAGTGAAGTCACGTGTCACATTTCTGATTGGATTTACCTATGTTGCTACTATATTTAGTACGGTTCCAGAAACTTACAGAAGTCCAAGGTCGTCTCCAATATTCTGAATACCCTCGTCTTTTTTTGTGTATAAACTAATCTTGGAGTAGTGACCTTCTTGCGATTCCTGCCTTTTCTCTTGTGCTTACGTTGCCGTGTAGATTTAGTCAGGGGTTATTAGAAGCAGCTAGGGAATCGGATGAAGCGTTCAATTAGCAAGACTTATCACCCTGATTACCACACGTCACATCAGCAATATGAAGAAAACTTTACTACATTGGCGATATCTAATCCATAAGCAAACCACTTACTTGTTGATTATGTCCCGAGCCTTTATACTCGAAAGCATTTACTTATTGATCTGTGACAATTTTAGCGAACCAATTTCTGCCTTGTTCCCAAAATTACTGTACATACGACCATAAGCACATGCTCGCTGCTTAATTTCATCTTCTTTGGTCCCTACCAAATAACCCTTCCTTGCTAAATTTGTCTTTTAGAGTAGCCAGGAGCTATCAGAAATTGAGGAATTGAGGTATCTAAGCATCGAATGTAAGCTAAGAGCTATTGCTATATCGCAATATCATTCGTAAACTAAAAGTAGGAAACAGTTCAAAATTAATCGATGAATGAAGATTATTTAGCGGTTAGGTGATAACTCATAGGGAAACTAAATACAGTGGATACATTTGTCCTACTGAAACTGATATGCAGTTATATCACTAGAGGTCCCTAACAATGATTACCTCGAACCTCAGTGAGAATCTCTGTTTTTCCTGACACAATGATCTTCCAAACTAATTTCATATTTTGATCTCATAGGCCGTAACTTTCCCACTCACTCCTTTTTATTAGCTACAATGGGGAGTCAGAGTAGGGGTAAAACGTGTCCTGATCAATCCAGTCACTAAAGAGTTATCAGCTGTCTAGTCATATCTACTTTCACCCCAGAATTACACACTCGGTGGTTCCGTTATGTTGAAGCAAACAGTAAAAGTTAAGAAACTTACATGTACTAACAGAGTACCAGGTGCAATAGAAGTAATTATAATAAGATATCGAAGAATCACACGTAAATTCGTTGACCGGTAGCGAATTAACGTCAACCAAAGTTGTTTTAGTACCTCAGATGAAGTTGGACAATCAGCAAGCCTTAAGGATAAGTAGAAAAGATTTGTAAGCACGAATTCTGTGGCCTGAAAATAAAACAGAAAATAGTGTTGTTCCTTGAGTAACAAAAAAAAGTGTTGCATAACTATTACCGATATGTATGAAAAAGTTCATATTTTTGCATTGCAACACAAATGTTTTGGAATAGTACCAGCAGTTTCATTTAATGGGTTGTGTAACGATATAGTGTGAACTGTTTTAATGAAATGTATAGCAGTAAAGATGAACAGTTGATTAGCTACAGTTAATACATTCATGAAATATTTTCTCTTTTACAGTTTTTCCGTTTGCAAAGAAAAAACAGCAAATCAGTTGATATATGTAACATTACGAACACAATTCCTTGTGAAATTTTTTGCAAGGTGATATGTAAGGGTATGGAGTTAAATAACCGTAGATAGCTAACCGCTTCTTACAAGAAGTTAAATGCTATCACTGTAGAAGGTACACTTCTGACAGAATTACCATACGTAATTTCCTAGTTGTTGCAGAAGACAATAATAGGAATAATGAGAAGAGCTATTGCCATGTAAACTTCAATTAGTCAGCAGTCAGGTGAAAGAATTCATTTGGAAAGTGTCACCTGATTAAGTGTAACCTAACTAATCATATTAACACTAAACACTCAGAAATAAATTCAGACAAAAACCGATCCAAATTCTATATTACATCAACATTATGAATAGTTCAACTAACTTTTTTCGATCCCCATCCTCTAGAACGAAGAGTAGGAGGTACAGTTGACCAATGTAGATCATTATTATTATTATTATTATTATTATTATTATTATTATTATTATTATTATTATTATTATTATTATTATCGTTATACTTGCATCCATTCTTCTTGAAATGATTATGAAAATGGCATGCTCGAGGACTACAAATGTCCGCATGTTCATCTAGCATAGTTTGACGTGCACGCATTCGCAACAGTGTTAGTGATTTGAAATTTCGATCATCAATAATATTATCTGAATCAGCGTCAGCATCCTCATGATCATAAAGTAATTCCGAATTTAATAGGCTTTTTGAACGTTTGTATCGTTTTGATGGACGAGTACGATGTTCAGGACAATCTTTTCGTTGCTGCTGTTCTGATGTTTCAACTAAACTGGTGGTATTATAAACTCTAAATGTAGGAATTCCAACAGGTTCAGGCAAATTGCCAGATTTTTGATAGTTATTTGACCGACAGACATAATTATCCTTATCTATATCGGAAAAATCATCATCGTCTTTATCCATATTATGATTTGTTGTATCGAATAAATCACCTTCCACAAGATCTACAAGTTCCACATTGACAAGCCAAATTGAAAGTAGACGCAATAATGGGATGCGTAAACCCTCTCTAGCATTTTCAAGACGTTTAGAAATCTCTACAGTTCAAATAAGATCAAGAAAACAAACTTTAAAGAATATACAAAAGTAATCACATAAGTGTAATTATAAAACAAAACTACAACTCAGCCTAAAGCCTTTCTAGAGATAGTACCGATCTTAAGCCCGAATAAGGGAGGAGGGTTGGACATGGAGTCAGCAGCATACACAAAGGAAAACCAAGATCCTCAAATACAACATAGAGAACATCAAATCAATCACACTTGATAACGAAACTCTGGATGAAGTGGAATCGTTCACGTACCTGGACAGCATCATCGATGATATATATATAACCCTCCAGTACGATTTACATATGGAAGATGGACCTTTTTAATAATCCGATAACTTCAATACTTTAGAGATCTGATCGCCTTATTGTTGATGAAATATATTACAAATACTAGTCTGCACCGTTAAAACTGTACATGACACCAAGGTTTAGAACTAGAATGAATTTACACACGATCATTGTTGGTTAGTGTAAAATTTATACAGGAAATATAAAATTACAAGACATAAAAAGAGTAGGCATAATACTAACCCGAAAAAATAGTGATCGTAAATTCAGGATGTTGAGCGGCAAACTGTCTCACAACTTCACAAGGAGACCAACGGTTAAAAGAATTATAAAATAGTTTATTTATTTGCAGGTATTTACACAACTGAAAACAGTCACAATCCCCTGGTATGTACAAAGTTGGAGATGATTGAGAATTAGCTGCTTCGTTGAGAACAAATGATTTATCAATTTCCGTTGGATGTGCTTGTTTAAATAGAATTTCGCCAGGCTATTAAACATTAAAAAATACATACAGAGATGATTGAAAAGATAATGTGTTATGTCTTGATAAACATTTCTCCGTACTGCATAGTAAATTTATTTGGATATCGTTTTTTCATAAGACACTTTTCGAAATGTGCCATCACTTCCTACACTTTTATAATTGAACATAAGCCTCCAGTTCCGTTAAATAGTGTTTTCACTCAACTATATTTGCTGCTAAGATGATAGAAACTAAAACGGTCTAAATAACGCATAGTCTATTTATCACATCACTCCCTTCTTTATATGACCTCATTCTCAACATATAATTATTAATCGTTCCTAAAGGTTTTGCTACTTGTATTTTATACTCTTCATGTTTCTCAAGTTTTTCTGTTGTTTCGAACTCCGTTTTATTCAGTAAGGCATACGAAATTTATAATAATACTAGTACTTTTAACTTCGGGGTGTTTATAGATGATAGAAAGCCGTGAAACAGATTCATCTTGTTCTGTAAATCTAACTGTTATTTACTTATTTTTTCATATGAAATAAAATTTTGATTACCTGAAATACCCTATTTTTAAAATCGAGAAAGTCAATCGAAGGATTAATCTGAATTCATAAGTCTATTTAAGAATAAAATTATGGTGAATAAATAACTGATGTAAAGCAGAATTAAAATTGACATACTTCTATGATAAAACGCTGGTAAAGAATTCGCAGTAAATAGAAAGCTCTGTCAGAGAGAAATCTTGAAGGATGATCAATAAAAACGAAGCATAAAGTGATCATAGCAATAAAATCACAAGCGAAATTCGGCCTTTGTGGAAAAAAAGAGAATATTTACAAAAACAATTGACAACTGAAAATAAAAACATCAAATAATGAATGACAAACCAACAATAAATTGAAAATAATAATTCAAAGCATCTACAATCCACAAGATATCCTAGTGATCACGGATAACTCCACTTGTAGCTCTTCTAGGATTTCCGCCGGTCACGAATTAGAGAGGGTTGGGGTCAGCAACCCCATCTCGTAGAAAACAACCATGCTAAAAAAACGCCAACCAGACTAAACATTTTTAGCAACTTAAACTATGCCCTGGTAGTTGAAGGATCTTCGATTAGAAGAATATGACAGCTTATAGTGCAAACCGAGATTATTCAAAAGTCACGAGGCCGATATCCCTTCTAACAAACAGAGCAACAATTAATATAGGTACAAGGAGTATCCAGATAATGTGGGAGATCAGGAGGATGAGTCAAACAGCTACGGAGATGAGAAGATACAACATGGCGGCTTATGGAATAAATGAAACCCACTGTGTTCAAGGTGGACAGAAAAGATTCGACTCGAAAGAGGTGCTGTTGGTGTGGAAGACCAATGTAGTAGAAGCCTCTGCATCAATAAGCCTCAACATACAAGGAAAAAGCATGATCCTCAAATACAACACAAAGAAAACCAACTCAACCACGCTTGATTGAGAAACTTTGAAATCTTTCACGTACCTGGTTAGCATCATCGATGAACAAGGAGGATCGGATGCAGATGTAAAGGCAAGGATTGGCAAAGCAAGGACAGCAATTTTATATTTGAAGAACATATGGAACTCAAAACGACTGTCTGCAAGCCAACAACAAAGCCGTGATCTTCAATACGAACGTCAAGACAGTTCTACTGTAAGGAGCTGAAATGTGGAGAACTAGTAAAAGTATTTACAAACAATTGTCTACGTAAGATACTTAACGTCCATCAGCAACAACCTACTGTGGAAAAGAACAAATAAGCTTGCAACTGAAAAGGAAATTTTAAAAAAACGCTGGAGCTGGATAGGACATACATTGCGGAAATCATCACGAGGCAAGTGATAACTTGGAATCCTGAAGGGAAACAGAAAAGAGGAAGGCCAAAGAACACACGGCATCGTGAATTGGAAGCAGATATCAAAAGGATGAATAGCAACTGGAAACAACTTGAAAGGATTGTCCAGGACAGAGTTCGATGGAAAATTCTGGTAGGTGGTAGGGTTAGCACGCATTAGTAGGTAACTAAGTGACCACGTCTATTCATAGGAAACAAACTACAAAGATATAGAACTGAGCTATCTAGCCTATCGATATTTGATGGAAATATACTTTTATCCTGAAGAAGACAAATTAGGATTGAAAATTGACTAGTGAATGAGACACGTTACTACTGAGTATTAAGTAATTATCACTTCTGCATTACATGCATATATATATATATATATATATATCACATAATATGATCAATCAAACAGATGAATAAGAATAATTACTTACATATTACTCATTATGAGGCAAATGCATTCAAAACATGCTGTAGACAATGATATATTTGATGCAGTATAACACTGATCAATTACCCAGTTGAAGAGACCGGTATTGTCAGAATTGAAATCTAACATAAGGACCAAAGTTTCTTCACCTAGTTGTCGAAGTAGCTGAAACAAAATATAGAAAATCAAAGGTATTCAGTGCAAAAGCACCTACCGCTATCTAGTTTCCGACTAATAAAACTACGAATTTGATAGACACAACATGTATCTTAATTAATTTCAACCCAAATACTTATCAAAGTCCCTTTATTAAATTAATTTTAAAGCTAATTTGAATAGAAATAAAAATATCTGACTACAGAAACAAACTACCTCATGCTAATATTTCTCTACTTATGAGACGAAATAATTCACGTGAAATGAGATCCTAATAAATATATAGTTTCCCTAGATCAATTTTCAGGTCACCTAGAAGGGACCATCATAAATTCCTGTTTTGAATTCTAATATGAATGTGTTTTATAATTCACCTTAACTAAACTAAACAAGCCTCACGAAAGGAATGATGGAGATTATTGCATACTTCAGTTTTAAAACACAGAATGACTATAGTCATAAAGTCATTTAAAACCAGAAAGTAATTAATAGTTGCTTCGTCCTAAAATACGCCTCCTATCACTGTGTACCCATGGCACCACCAGGAATCGAACCCAATATTTTTTAATCAGGACTTAATCTTCAGCTGATTAATTTGGCGTACAAAGATTTACGTTTTTATACCCAAGCTATTCGTGATACTGTACAACCATTAACTACTGTCACTGGTGATATGCATCTTACAAAAAAACAAAGCTTAACTCCAATAGTTGCGACTTTTCACCAGACTTCAGTGATTAATTCTCAAAGTTAGTGACCCGTAAGGGGCTTTGGAAAGTACTGTTTCCAACAGATTGAAAATTAACGTTTTGTGTTAGAAACGTCCCACACATATGTGTAACAGGAATTCCTCATTCTCAGCCTATGTAAGAAAATCAATACGAAAAAGTCTGATTGACAGTATCAAAGAATACAACATACAGAATCTAATCGACGACCACCACCAGCTGCTATCATGCGAGAACGTGTATGACTATTGCCACACAATGATGCGCCTCCAGGAGTTAAAGTACTATGCAAAAGACCGCGTCCTGTAATGGGACAAAACCATAGCCACGGACTTGAACTGAGAGCAGTATCACGTGCAACGAGAAGTCCAGAAATCCAACGAAGCACATATCCAGAACTAGGAGTGCGAACATTTGAACCTGAGCCACTATTCAAACGTTCTGGACCAGAAACAGATGATGCATCTGAACCCACACCTAGGATTATCTGGTTTAATTTTCCACTGTCTTGCGGTAGCAAGGCAGAACGATCAAATATTGCCCCACAACATACCAAAGCTGCCATAGCTTGATTTGACAACCAAATTAAATCAATCCATAAACAATATTCCACATATTCACTCATATCAATTTGTTCGCTTTCACAGGTTTTCTGTTGAATTGTAGGACTCTGAGTGGTTTGGGTTGATGAAACACTCATATTACCATTACATTCTATAGAACCAGAAGATGGAGCACTGTTAACACCCAGGCTATTGAGAGATTGTAGGAAATTATCACTAGATAACTGGTGGTGAATCCCAACAATTCCGTGAGGCATTTCATTTGATGGAGAAAAACCAACTATCCCATTTAGACTAGACGATTGCCCGACCATATTTTCATTTGAATCAAAAGAATAAGATTCAGTAAGCACCGGGCCTTCAGACCCTAAGCTAAAAATAAGCAAACATTTGGTCAATAGGTATATATTAAATTGAAGTCTGAACATCAAAATATTTATTCCAAAAACTGTTGGGACAAATATATGATAATATAAGGAGAAGATGAAGTCTCTTAGAATCGGATTAAACATTAACCTGTTAAAGCATTTATATACGAAAAAATAAAGATAATACATAAATCCCTTGACAAGTAAATATGCGATTAAATTGTTCAAAATATGTAACGCTAATATATCACGTAGTTCTGGTAAACTTCTCAATTCATTATCCAGATTAATCAAAGGGACTAACTATTTTGAATAAATGAATCTTAAACACTGCTAATAACATGAACGTCATGTTGATTTTAAAGAAGTCTAATGAAATTCATCTTAGAAAATGATGATTCAGAACTATGGCTATTGGGAGAACAACTGAGTGATAATCGATGAAAGCATAGTACAGGTCCGAACCAGTCAAAATCAAGAAACTTAGCTGTGAGCTTTGGTGTAGAATTAAAAATGTATGACTTATATCCTTTATTAGTTCACGGAATAATAGGTAAGCTATTGAAGTAGAAACAGTTTTCACGCATGATAATGGCGACAACTGTGATTATCCAAAAATTTATCTCCGAAAATCTTTGGAGAATTTAATAATAAGGATTTTATAAGCGATGATAAATTTTCCGTTATACTATTTATGATTGAGAAAGATTCAGAGAGAAACCTAAAGTGTGAATAAATATTTGCACTTAGATTAATGAGGTTATGTGGTGACACTCTTATAAAATATTCGAAGTGAACAACTTATATTTTACATCATTTAAAACAAGCAGCAAAAAGAAACCTATTTATAGATCTACGTAAGTTCAAAATTATTGTAAAATCTCCTATCTGCAAAACCTCTCAAATACACTGAGAAAATCGTTCATAATACATCTGATACTCTAGATGATACTATAGTTTAAAAAATAAAACAGTAACTGGCAAAGTTTACATACATATATTGCTCATGTTGATCAGCAATACAGCACTATAAATCACTTACACCAACTGTCAGATAAACTGATAACAGGTGCTAACATTCAAAAGAAAAGCTATTTATAGCATAAAATATTTTAAAGATTTATTAAACTGCCTCAGTAGACTGAAAAATAAGTTGATATGAGTAGATGGACTGAAAATGTGTCTGGAAGTATAAATGAAGAGAAAGGTGACTAGATACAACTGTAAGATTTCAATTGTTAGAACCCAAGTCTTGACTCGCACTCCGATATAACGTGGCATTACTAAATATTTTACTGATGTTTAAATAAAATTTTGCCAAAAAGATTATTTTAAAATGTTAGTTCCTAGGACTAACATAGTGTACTTTCAGTTGTAGTCAAGACAATAATAAAGAATTGCATATTTTAGCAAAAAAATCTGTTAATCCTCCGAAGAATTTCTTTTTCAAATGCATGCCAATAAGTGAAAAAGGTGCCTATTTACATATTTGTTAAACAATTATTTAAAACCTGATCTAATAACCAACTGTAGATCCATGTACTATGTTGGGAGTGAAATATCGGCAATGGAAAAGTTACAGATATTACCGAGTTGTCTAAATCAAAGAAGCTGAGTTCAAACTGACAATCCAATAGATTGTCCCTATTGCATATACATATTAAAAAGAAAATGCATTTCATTGAAGGATAAATGGGAAACAGAAACTTACTACGTTCCCATGATACGATCAAAATGAGCACTCCAATGAGACAACAAAATAAATAATTGATGCCTTAATGTTGGAGGCAATAAAGTTGTACGATTCTGTTCTACATGATAGAAAGAAGTAGGGAGTAAAAATTTGGATTAAAAATATGAATGAAAAATACAAAAGAAATAACTATGAATAATAAATATTTAAATATGATTACTACGATCATTTGAACAGAACAGTTATGAAAAGTAACCTCTTATTAGAAAAATAAAAAATTGACAATCATAAGGAATCCTAAACACCAAGATTAAACAAAGAAAATACGGTTCAAAAAGCCAGAAGGTATGGAAGAAGGGATACTGGGACTCAAAATATAGAATGAGATAAAGAGTAAATGCATCAACCTCAATGTTACCGATTCTGAATCAAATCACAAAAGTCTAAAACTGATGATCGTGGCTATTGAACGGACATTAACCAGACAGTTTGCATCCAAAGATACCTTTCCGTCGAACAGTTAATGATTTCAAAAACCAACTTTACATCTTAATTTAGCGACCACGAACTTTCTTCCAACTTACTCCTATACTAGGAAACATCATCGGTTGAGGTGGACGGTGGTTGATTAGACGTTATGAACTCCAGTTACATCAGTCGATGAAGATTCATATATCAATGATGAATCCAAAAAGAATAGGAGCTAACTCATCACAGGTGATATAATTATTTGGAGAATAGTGATTTCCTTTTCCTTACAATTTCTATCAAGTGAGTCACAGTTAAAATCAATATCCGAACATAACTAAAGAACCATTCAGTGTACAAACGTTTTTGACCCTACCGATCTTTCAGTTTCGTTTTTCATTATCTTCATAAAGAAGCTTGTAACATATTGTACAGAGAAACTTTGGAACAGCTTCATCACAATTGTTGATATAGTTTTATAAATATAATTTTACATCAAATGTTTTCTTTTTTATGAAGATATTCATCCACGCCTTGAGGAAAGTTAATGTAAAATGAAATGCCAGACTATTAATTTCATATATCCAACATACAGTCTAATATAAATGTATAAATCACTATATATATTTATTAATGAAAGCTTTTTTTACTCTATAAAACAACTGCTTACTTGGTAAACGTCGAATTAGCTCTTTAATAAAAATACAAAAATGCAAGCGAATTTCACCCAATAGATAAAATTCCGATGAATAACTAGTTAATGAAGGTCCAGTAGTTGTAGGAGTAGATAAAGAAGCAATTACAGAATTAGTGCTAATAGATCCGCCCACTTGATGATTGCTTGAAATACTTCCAACTGTAGTAACTTGTTGAGAAGTACAACCAGAGGGTATGGAAACTAAGAGATTTAACGATGTAGATAATTGATGCGTATAATTGATTGGACTTAATAACTGGTCTGAAACTGATTCTAAATAACCTCTCATTCCATCCATGTAATCAAGAAGCTGACAAATTAAAGACCCTTGAGGTGTGACTATATTTGATTCGCTACAGAGAAACAAAAAAACAATAAATTATCGAAAATAAAATAATCCATAAGCAGTTTTAAATCAATAGACTTTCCAATTCTATGTCAAACATTCAGACGATCAAGCTTATCACAGCATCTTGATATGAGATGAATCTATCCAAACAGTTCGATCAAAAAGACGAAAGTAGTGAACTCACAGAACCACGTCAATAAATATTCAAAAGACTGCCAGAAAAGCATAATATCTTGATAATAATCAATTTTGCAATTAAGTAAATGAAAGGTTCACCCAAACTGAATACTGTTTTCAATCTATCGGAACTAATTCATTGAGTAATAAATAAATGATAATCAAGTAATAAGCTTCGATATGAAATTCGCAAGGTTTCAGGTGTGAAATGTTATCAGTAGAATGGATGGTTGTCCAATACTACGAAGCAATCCCACTAGCAGTTTATCGATCACAAAATTACAGTATCTAGTTTCGAATGTGTAATTAATGAGGTCGGTTAGAATGTCAAAATGTGATGAAAATTAGCATCATTATTATCATTATTGTTATCGTTGTTAGGCCATTAGTCCAACTATTTCACTGGAAATTTACTAAATTGAAAATAAAACTATAGTATAAGTTTAGATGATGAATTACTCACGGATATGCAAATACACCAGTCTGTGCCATAAGAGAAAGAGTTTTAACTAAAGCAGATCGTAAACCATCACGTCGACGTCGACGGCGTAAATTCTCTTGTTTTCGATCGAAAGATTCTTTTAGCAACGGTTGCAAGTCTTCAAGGACATCTCTAAAATCATTTAGTCAAAAAACGTACACACCTCGATGAATAAATTATTTATTTATTTCAACACATAGATATTGGTACAAAGAGGCATCAAATACATATGCGCCACACAAATCTCATTCGATATGTGTGAGGGCTGTGATACTGCCCGGGTGTCCAAACCGAAACAGGTGGTTTCATTAGAGGGCCACACCCCGAGCCTTCGACCTGAGGGTCTGATCCACAATAGATTATTCGAAATACACAAAAACACCAGTTAATCCAAACAGCTTAAGACTATTGCCGAATCGCAAATTCGATGTAAAAATGTAGCAATTCTAATGATAATGAAACAATGGTAATTCTTAATTCTCACAATAAAATATGCAAGTGAATGACACATAATTTAGAATAATCAATCGATGGAGTCATTGGTAAAAACAACAAAGGAAATTCACAGAAACAATATGATTGTAATATCCCAATGAGCAGAAAAATTAAATTTTTACATTTTCTGACGTTTCGTGACTCATTGTAAGCCGCTTCTTCAGAGAAAATGATAATAAAATAAAAGATAGTTTAAATTTTGGAATTGATGGTCAGTTAATACAATCCAATTATTGGAAAAACCTTATTATAACAAGGTTTGTTCTCTACAAAACTTCAGTTAGATCCGTTCAGTATATTGCTAGGTGTTGATTCCCTACCACTGTTTCGTCATGAAATGAACTCACAGGACCAACAAACAATGTTTTAGGGTTAACATTGAATATGTCAATACGCAGTAAATCGACAATTAATTTTAATTCATTCCTATAGATTAACGTTACTGCATTAGGTAAATGAAAACTGAACTTGAGAGTTTAATCAGTAATAAACAAACAATCCAGTAAGTTCAACAATTAGCATAATTTAGGGAGTAAGAATAGTAAACAAACTCACATTGTGCATCATTTAATAATGAATGATGTGAAAATTACCTGAAAGCAGCCGGATTTATCCGACCAAGACCACCAATAGCTGAATCTCTTATTTCCGGTTGTTCACATCTAAGCAAAGGCACTAGCAACTTGACCAAATCTCTAGCGTTCACTTTTCCAAATGATGTTGAATACTTTAAATCTGGCGAATTAGACCAATTAGTGCATGGAGAATTAGATACAGCTGAACGATTAGACGATGAGTTAGCATTCAAATCAGTCGTTTGATTTACCACTTCATCTGATTGAGTAAAAGATCGATTGTTGTCACAACTGAAAGTAATAACATACAGTTCAGAATACTTGAATAAAAAAAACAAAACGATTATTTACTGAGTAAATAGTCAAATAAATATTACTTTATGAATGTGAAACATCCTATGAAGATGAATAGCATGAGTAGGTTGCGAAAATCCAATCACAGAAAGACACTTTCGAAATATTATACACCCCTAGGTAAGTAATATTAAGGTTATCTATATAGTATTAGACGGATAATCCGATACAGCTATGAGGCTATGAATATTCTATAAAAGAAGCATTTCCAAACATTGTCATGAGGACTCAGAATCAGTTTTTCTCGATACTTCCTGATAAAACGATAGGCAGGAAAAAGCTTGAAGCGAACAGGCTGATGATCGGAGCTGTATCGAAAGGTAAATATTCCTCAGTTAGGATCCATGAGATAATGGTAGTTCATGGATAAAGAACTTAGGTAACAGAGGCAAGAAGCAACTGAAGTCGAACAGACACATTCATAATTTTCCCATCAAACATTGAACTCATCAATGTTTCAAATGTTTAATCCCCACAATTTATTGTATTAGTACAATATTCCACCATGCACAGTTTGTTACTACTCGTTCATTTTATATATTATTAATTTCCTTTCACTATGACGATGTGCAATGTGCAGAGCCATACATATGCATCAGGACCTAAGTCCTTTACGACCAGTTGAATGGCTCTAATTCAAATGTGAATACTATCGCATATGAAAATTACGAGATATTCAGTTCAGAATCTGTTCAAGTCCGTGGTAGAGTTTATAGCTATCTGTCAAACAGAAAGATATATATATGGAATAATAGTTTATCAATAGACAAAAATAATCCATTTTTAAGAAAAAACATAACGCACGAGTTAATAATTATAGCTGTAATATTTAAATCAATTGAAAATATAAATTGTTACCGATATTATGGTCAACCACTCAAAAAGATACTAAATTCAATATGTTACGATTAAATTAATCTCAGCAAACAAAATTAACTATTTAAGCTACAAAAATACTTGATTTTAAGCAATATTTTTCAAAGAAAAAAAATGTATAAGTGAGTTATGATAGATAACTTGGTACTGGTTTTGAAGAACCTATCGATCTGATATAGGGAATTTTCCTGTTTCAAATAATTAAAAGACTGATGTGAATGTTTATAGACAAAACTTGCTGCATAGCTAATAAAAAATTGGAAGTAGAAGTAAGAATAGAAGGAAAAATGGACGATACGTGTGGTAGTTAAGTGAAACACATAAAAGTATGTGATGATATTGACAATGATGAATCAATCGAAACAAACTGATAAGACTATTCAACTAGCTTTTAAGAGCTTTTTCAAAATCAAAGGGTCAGATAAAGATACTTTAGTACTTAAGTGAATTCAGTTATTACCAAAAAGTATCAATGCAATGTAGGAAAACGAAACAAAATAAGCTGTTCCATTTTTAAATTAAAAAGTTATTTAAAATAAGTTGTAAAAACATTTGAACGAATAGTCTTTGAATACCTAGAATCGGCAAGTCTGGATGACGTTTATTTTCCACTCAACAAAGCATTCATAAGATTTATTGAAAAAGAATACCAATATATTAGAAAAAAAACATTAGCTTACTCATTAGAATCCCTTTTTGTTGAAAAGTCAAGTGAATGCTTTTGTAGATGGAACCCAGGCTGATAGTGCGTATCTGGAGATTTTGAAATCCGTAAACCAGTAGAGCTCGGAGCTATACAACATCCAACAACGACATAATTATGCCAAAGAGGAATGAACTGTTCACGTTCATTTGCAGGTTTCTTACTTCCAGTTCGGAGTAACGAGGATGCTCGATTTTCAGCCATTTGTGCGCTAAAATATTTATGAACAATTACCGTCTACACGAGAAATGATCTTTAAAATTAAAAAATAAAACGGCATCAGTACCTATAAGGTTAGAATCTTTCATGACAGCAAATTTGTTATAATAATAGGTTCACAATACAACGACTGTTTATGTAAGTCTGAAGACAAAGCTGTTCGAATATTTTTGGACAACGATAAAAGTGAAATATAATAAGTGGGCTTTCAGTAAATATATATCTGTAGAATATATACCAAGTAAAGTATTAAAAAGTGAAAAAACCTTTATAACGCGTAAGTACACAGAGAAAAATTCCTAAAAAGAATAACTCGAAAAATAGCACCATGTCGTATAGTACTGGGATGTTTTCGGTTAGCAAATAATTGTTGATGAGCAACGTTACGTCGGGAACAACTTCATTTCTCTTTTTATAAAGATAAACCTTAACGAAAACAGACATATAAAAAGAAAATAGACTGAACCAAATGACTAGCTTCGATTTAATGGACATGAAAAAAGTAAGTACAGGGACTTGCCTTGGGTCAATTAGAGGAAAAATAGTACTTATTCGTTGAAACAATATTGACCAAGCAGATTTGATGGCCATGGGACAACTTGTGGGCAAATTAGATGAGTTGAATACAATAGAAAGACAAGTAGCCCATACATCTGTGACAGCTACACGTTCTTGTGCAGGCTGCATAATGTAAGCTTGTTGAGTATGCTGAATTTGTTGATTATACTGAGATGCTCTTCGATGAACAGGTGTTGTAGATAAATACGACTTAGAAGTTTGTATATTACGAAAATCAAAAGATTTCGAAGGTATGAATAATCCAGAAACTTGCGGTCTGACTAGAGTAGTCAAATAAAGCGAAAGAAAATCCAAGTATATGATTAAAATTATTGGTCTTAAACAAATTAAACTGGGAAAATTTATCTTAACAGTTTCAATAATCACAAAAGTTTGCAGAGGAACACTAATGTCATCTGAAATGTACTATATAAAATTATCATGTACATCATAGTTGAATCACGGACATTCTTCCATTAAGTTTCCATTGAAAATGGGAAAAATAGTATACCGCTTTTCCGGAGGTAACTGACAGCTAAAACAACTGAATTTACCTCGCTCAAATTTTTATGACTTATTTAGTCTAATAAGTTTTACACACATAACACATTTCGTTTAGAATGAATTTTTCAAAGTGGAGGCATTTTTTATGAAAAATTGGAGAGAAAAAAACACCCTGTTTCTCTTAGTACCCTTAGTCATTAAAAGCAACTGTGTTATATGACCCCGACTGAATCCAGAAAGCTTAGTAGCATAAGTTACTTGAAACCTATTTGATTCATGAAGTTCAGAGTGAGAATATTTTGCGTAGCCTGAAAACAAGATGAAGTAAGATTTTTTCAGACCGTGTTGAGAACTGTTTTTCTATAACCGCTTATCTCCTATGTAACTGAAATCCTCACTGTCAAATAAACCTCAAGCTTCATGGATTATCATACTGCTTAAAAATTTCAAATGATGAAAATGAATGTCCTGATACCTTATTTCTTGTAAAACATTCAGACAGCAAACACAACCTTTAAAAACCGAATTCACAAAATACCTTATATATATATATATATATATATATATATATATATATATATATATATATATATATATATATATATATATATAAAACACACCCAAAAAGATTGAATCAGAAGAAAATCCATCTGGTATCCAACTGGTCAAAAAATGTGCATTCAACGGAAAGTTGTTTAGCATACATGAAACTTTGGTGTTAAAACATCTAAAGAGACGGATTAGCCTTTGGTTCACCACGTGACTGCCATGTAATAGACAATGATTTTCACCATGTGCCAAAAAATCTGATAAAAAGACCTCTCAAAAGGAGGGCTGACCTTAATTCGGTTAAACAATCGATACATGATAGAAAATCAGACACCCTTTTGCTCATCGGTGAACAATATTAATTGTTAGTTACATTCACCAGCAAACACCCGTAAGAGGTTATCATATTTAAATATGATTTAAAAATGGAAATAACGTGATAAACTAATTAAACAGCCAAAAAAATGTCAGGCTTTATTAACAAATCACGATAAACTTTAGAACAATAAGGAAACAAGGATACTATCGCTTGATGATAAAGCCCTGAGGATTCAAAGCGAGCAGATTGACAGATGATCTGTCAAAATCACTCTGAAACATATAACCCTATTGAAATTTTAAAAATTCTCATCATGAAAATTATATTGTTTTCAGTGAGATCCTCCAATGAGCTCTACACTAATATACCGTAACATTTATATGCATATATTAAAAAATATATAACCAATCAAGTTAGTTAGTGCGTCAACGAAGTAGTACATCTCCCCATGTGTTCTAAACAAGGCTTAAAAAACAGTTTTACTAAGAATTATCATTAGCATTTTCCATATCCTTTGTTTATTTGTTTCATATATTTCATGTATTTTCATATATTCTTCATTATCTAATTATTTGAACATCTCTTATCGAGCAATTTTAAACATTTACATTGATGATTATTCTAATATCTTTTTTTTCAACATTCTGTTCAACTTCCTATTTGGAAATATTTACTCACGCTTTTATTATTCCTGTCGATCTCAGTACACCCGTGATCACACCATCAATCTGGACTTTTTACTTATTGTGTTTAGTTATGCAGTCTACCTCATTTTTGTTATTGACTGCCTTGATTGGTTTGATAATTTTAATATCCGTGCATATAAATATTAATGCATATTAGTATAAGGTTTGATCTAATTGAAAACAATATTGTTAACTTATAAAAGTTGTTCAAATTTTTGTAATCATTTTTCTAATAAAATAATGCGAATAAAGAAGCTATTTTAAAAGAATTACTTTCATGAAAATGTAAATATGATGTCAAGATATTTAGATGAATTATTTGAAAGTGAAGTTTGATTTAGACATTAGATTTTGAAATTCGCTCGATTGAGTAAAACTTCGATAATCTTATGGTTTTTTCTTTGTTTGAAAGACAATAAAACTTGTATAAGTTTATACCAGAAATCCACACATAATCAAAAGTGCTGATTGGTCCAAAAAAGGATTGGAAACCTCATACATAAACAAGATAGACAAATACAAGTTTCCAACACTTCAGATATAATATACATCATTTTTACGATTTAGGTAAAACTATGACGTGTTTCGTGCGATCAGTGATAGTGTCAGTAAACCCAAAAACAATCATTAGGACCCAGTTCTGTCTAGGTAGTATATACTGACAGTTAATCGAACGATAGATAATTACGGAATTTTAGTTACTACTAAGAAAGGATTTAATCAAATGCTGGTTTGTAGCTTATAACTGTAGTATAAAAATATTTTTTGAAAGTTCAGTAGTGTTATCAAGTCAATGAGTAACAAGATGTTTACACTAAAATTTACCATTTGAAGGAGACGGTTCTATGAGTAGAACATCGCTAATTTCTAAAACTCTGTGGTGTAAATTAGAAAGTAGAAGTAGGTATAACCTGTCAGTCTTCGGTAACCAATTGTAGTAGGTATTTCTTGCAAAACAAATGCACAAACTATACTATAGTCGCCAACAACTCGATTCCATACTGAAGTCAAAAGTTACTTTACACTTCATGTGTATTTCTGAAGAACAGTGGTGGGAAATGTACTGAAATATACATTATCTAGATCTCAGATACTCCAACTAATCCGTTTCGTTCGTTTTCAAATTATTTTGCACTGTACACCATTTTTATTTTCAAATATGAATATTGAATGCAGAATAAATGAGCATTCGCAATAGTATTTTTTATATAAACTAATACTATTTCTTACAGAGCAATACGACTGCATATAAAATAAGATTCAAAACCATTTCGCGTAGATATTCTAAAGATGCATTGTATAACAACTGGTTGAAGTGATCTTCTCTTGAAGAAAATTAAATAGTTTTATACTATAACTTGTTGGTAATAACGATTTTAGTATACTCCTCCCACGACGAATGGACCATGACACTCAGAAGCTATATGCCCTGGTATGGCTGAGAGTGGGGTGGGCCCGCCCTCCCTCTCGAAATGCTCTCACACGGCCACTCGAATATAGCCTCTGCCAGGGAAGTCCTACGCACTTCCTTCTCGTGGCGGGGGTGTTTACGAAAATGAGAGGACGAAAAGCGAATGTCCGGTGCTTTAACCGGATCCCAAACCAAATCAATGGTGCACATGGGCTCCAGTATCCTGCAGGAACAAATGGAGTATGAACCAATCGTTGGTCACTGGCTACCATGGAACTGCATCTTCTCACGATGCTTCACTGCTTTGTGGGTCAAACCTTTAGGTCAAAGGCTCGGGGCGTGGCCCCCTAAGAAAACCAACTGCTTCGGTCTGGGCACCCAGGAAGTATCACAGCCCACACACAAACATGATGAAATGTCGATATTTATGGAAAATACTTGTCTTACTTCGATTAACAATCAAACGATTCACATTATTATTATTATTATTATTATTATTATTATTATTATTATTATTATTTACGTAATTTATTCACTCTCTTTTATTTCCACTCTGTGTATCCTTATTTTTCGACTTATACAGCAGCTCGCCTATGATGGAAACTCGGTTCTATCTAAACATTCTCGAATCACTGCCTGGTTGAAAATTGTATGCTGCCACCAAGTACGAATACTGAAGCAGTTTTTATGAAACCACGTGCACCATTCAAACTGGCTGCCTTCAACGTTCGCACACTTATGCACGTCGAACAACAGATAGGGCTGGCTATGTCTTTGGAAAGTCTTAATATCGACGTTTGTTGTCTATCCGAGACCCGTATTCAAGACTCTGGTGAAGTACTACAAATTCGCTCTCCATCTGTCGCTTCGAAAAGCTTGTTTTACGTGCGCTTATCCGGGTCTTGGTCTAGTCTTGCTGGCGTTGGTGTCGCACTAAGCGCTAGAGCTGAGGCAGCACTAGTCGATTGGATCCCCATTAACAGTCGGTTATGTGCTGTTAGATTAGAAAGTTCCATCAAAGTGAGAAGAAATCGGCGTGAGAAACGATGTCTTTTCGTCATCTCCGCCTATGCCCCGACAGATTGCAGCCCGGATGCAATCAAGGATGAGTTTTACCACCAGTTATCTGTTCTTCTCCAGAAAGTGCGTTCGACAGATATTGTAGTACTAGCCGGAGACTTGAATGCTCAGGTCGGGCGTCTAGGCACAGAAGAGAGTCGTTTAGGTGGCCGATGGGGACTTGTTGGTCGCAGGTCAGATAACGGGGACCGTCTACTGCAACTTGCACAGACCACAACCTGTTTCTGGCTAGCACTAACTTTCGGCACAGTCATCGCCGATGTGCCACCTGGCGTCCTCCCTCTGCATCTCAAGCCTGGACTCAGATTGATCACATCGCGATCAGCTACCGCTGGCGTGGTTGTGTACAAGACTGCCGCTCCTTTTGGAGTACCTATCTGGACTCTGACCATGCCTTGGTCTGCGCCAATCTTACCTTACTTTTCAGTGGCCAACGAAGTGACCGCCACCAACGGATTGATGTTAGCAAGCTGGTTGCAACTTCTGTTGCAAGTAAGTATCGAACCGAGCTAGCCTCTAGGCTAGCTACCACTCCACCGAAAAGTATAGATGAGCATTGGTTGCAATTGCATGACGCCATGAAAATGGCGGGAACAGTCAGTTGTGGGTTCGCGAAACGTCCCGCTTATAATAAGCACTGGGTTTCTTCTGGTTCCTTACAACTCATTGAAGCCCGTCGGTCTACTCCGGGTGACCACAAACGAAGGATGTTACGTAAGGAAATTGGGCAAAGCTTGCGTAAGGACCGAGAAGCCTGGTGGTCGGAGCGTGCTAATGAGCTGGAAGCAGCAGCTGCATCTGGTAACTACCGGAAGCTCTTCCAATTCATCCGAGCCACTGGCAGCAAGAAGTCTGGTGTGAGTGAAACAATCTGCGAGGATGATGGGATGCCAATCACTAACATCCATCGACGTCTTGGACGATGGGCAGAATTTTTCGAAGGGCAGTTCAACTGGCCTGCTGCTCCGGCAACATCGGTCAGACTGTCCTGCCCTCCATGGCCGGTGACGACTGATCCACCAAATGAGAAGGAAGTCCGCAAGGAACTCCAACTCTTGAAGCGTTACAAATCACCTGGCCCAGATGACTTACCTCCGGCTCTTTTTAAAGATGGTGGTGACTTTTGACTAAGGAATTGACGACGTTGTTTACAAAGGTTTGGGAACTAGAGAGTGTACCAACGTCATGGAATGAGTCGATAGTTGTCCCTATCTTTAAAAAGGGTTCACGTCGTTCCTGTAACAACTATCGGGGGATAAGTCTACTTCCGATTGCGTCCAAGCTATTGGCTTCCGTCATACTTCGTAGGTTGTTCAAAACCCGAGAAAGATTGACTCGCGAGGAGCAGGCTGGGTTTCGTTCTGGTCGAGGATGTATTGATCATATCTTCACCCTCCGCCAAATGTTAGAACACCGCCATACTTATCAAAGGCCAACAATCGTAGTGTTTCTTGACATCAGGGCTGCCTTCGATTCGTTGGATAGGACTGTTCTCTGGGATTGTCTATTGAAGAAGGGTGTGCCTGAGAAGTTTATTAACATCCTAAAAGCCCTATATACAAACACCTCAGGCAGAGTGAGGGCATACAACCACCTCTCTCCATTGTTCCATTCGAGCAGTGGGGTTAGGCAGGGTTGCCCAATCTCACCATTCCTCTTCAACTTTGCCATCGATGACATTCTGGAAACAGCTCTGATGAATGTAAGTAATGGTGGTGTGGATCTGTTGCCTGGAGAAAGACTTCTCGACCTTGAGTATGCGGACGATATTGTCTTACTGTGCGATAATGCCCAGGCCAATCCGCACTTAATCAGTTGGCAATCAGTGTCCGTAGGTATGGTATGTGCTTTGCACCTTCGAAGTGCAAAGTACTTCTACAAGACTGGCAGGATTCTAATCCTGTACTCACCCTGGATGGTGAGCAGATAGACGTAGTCGAGAAGTTCGTGTATCTGGGTAGCTGCATAAGTGCTGGTGGGGGTGTGAGTGATGAGATCAATGCACGTATAGTGAAAGCCAGAGCGGCTTATGCCAATCTGGGCCACCTTTGGCGCCTTCGTGATGTTAGTCTGGCTGTAAAAGGTCGGATCTACAACGCGTCGGTGAGAGCAGTTTTGCTCTATGCTTGTGAAACCTGGCCTCTCCGAGTTGAGGACGTTAGACGACTCTCTGTGTTCGATCATCGCTGTCTCCGAAGGATTGCTGACATCCAGTGGCAACACCATGTCAGTAATGCAGAGGTTCGGCATCGTGTGTTCGGGCACAGAGATGATAATGCAATTGGTGTCACCATCTTGAAACACCGACTTCGGTGGCTTGGACATGTTCTACGAATGTCGTCCCAGAGAATTCCACGTCGTGCATTATTTGCCGACTCTGGGACTGGTTGGAAGAAGCGGAGAGGTGGTCAGTGTGACATGGTGTCGTGGTATGAAAGAAAGCTGCAAAGGACTGGCTTGTGTTGGTCCTTCACGACTCCCTGGCTGGGGTTCGAGAGATGGTGCAACACAGTGGCTAGAGACGTTATCAGATATGGCTCAGAATAGAAGCCAGCGGCGATCCTGCTGTAACCGTCTTTTACTTTCTTCATAAAAAATGGTTGTTTCTTTCCTTACTGAAAGATTTCTTCTGATTTTATCTTTCCGTTTCCCCCATTACTATTATTATCTTTTTATTACTACTACACTACCTTACAATAATCTGTTCGTTATTGTTCTTTTTTACGCTCCTTACCTTTTTTTTTCTCTTCGAATTCTCATTGTTTTGTGTGGCGCATATATATTTGGTGCCCTCTTGTACCAATATTTATGTGTTCAAATAAAATAAATATGAACACGAATCACTTACTATAACATCAAGTCTAGATAATAACAAACTCACCAAAAAGCTGCATATCCACACAACAGTTTATAATGCACACATAACATGAATTATAAAACAACTAAAACAAAAAGTAATTATTACCTGATTTTCTATGTATCGCTTTTTTTATAAAGATACAAAAAGCAGTGAGTGATAATTTATCAACTATGTAGATGTGTATGTAATAATTTCTGAAAACTATCTTCTATATGATAGACAAATAATTCCCTCAGTAAACCAGAGTTCTTTTCAAAATAATTAAATCTAAAACACGTCCTTGATATGAATCTAAACACTGAAAATTTTTCAACACTATCAAAAAAGTATACAACTGGTTCTACACTGAAATATACGTCTAACAATAACAATGAAATCAATACCAAGCAAACGATGGTCTGTTAGACAATAATATTACAAATTCAAAAGTATTACTCGACAATAAATTCTCCGAAAATAGATCTTTTCGCTAAATTTCGTATTTTGAATTCAAAAAGAGCACAGTGATTAAAAGATGGTTTGAAGTGATGAGTACTTAAATGTCTTGAGTAATAAAAGAATGAATTGGAATATGTAGTCAAAGAATTCATAAACTGCATGATATAAGAGAATTGACAAATTAATGACAAATCAAAATTAATAACAGTAACGTAAGCTTAAAAAAACGTTACTGTTATCCAAAAACAGGAGGTGAACAGAAATTATTTTTGCGAAAGATAATGGGAAACGAGAAAGTAATAACTCATTATTAATATACTATAATGTTGGCTATTGTGATAGCCAAATTTAACAAATTTCTCATTGACATATGAGTCGGGCTTTTTAAAGTGGATGCCGATTACTTTAGCTATATTTAAAAGACGTGTTCGTAAACCAGGCGGGTAATTTAATGGATCCTATGAAGGACTTGAAAGCCCTTATTTATGTCTACTTGATACTACGTATCAATTAGATGAGCAAGTATAAGAATTTTTAATTGACCTTAACATACCCTTGCTTAGCCGAAGAACGTGATATTTAAATATATAATGATCATGTGAGGCCGATGTACCATTCTTCAACGTTTTAGAATTAGTAGCGTTATAATTATTGTTGACATATTCAACAACAGTAAAACTTAAACCCTATGCACAATAAATCATTCATCAGTAAAAAGAGCATTGTAATGCTGGAAAAAATATGAAAGAATTTGTGAGATTATATGGAAAAAAGTATAGAAGATGGGAACAAACAAGGAACAAGTAAAAGTAAATATAGAAAAGAAGTACGAATACTATTGAATTGTCGAAACTTCCAAGAGATTTTACAAACTCTCAGTCATCCCTATAGTTTACATTTACTGAGATGTTAAGCATGACAACTCATATCTGAAATATTCACCACAATTCATAGAGAATAAAATTAAAACAAGAAAGTGAGAACGGCTTACATATCAAGCATTTCAGTTTATGAGTTACACAGCTTCAAGTTAGCTGTTAGACACGACACTATCATTGTTATAAATTTCGCTTCCTTTTCACTTTACAGTGAAGGTCAAAATTGCAATCCACGAGTACCAAAACCAAAAAAAGACTAACCTTCAGTTAATCCGGTTAATAAATGAGGTAGATGAAGATTGGGACAAATTCGACATCCTGACGCAACAGAATTGTTGCAAGAATGAAATATCTATTAGTGATACTAGATTACTAGTGGTAGGGTAGTCATCACAAAAAGAACACAACAATTCACAAAGTAGAATACCATTCAACAGTTTGTACTTTTAAAAAGTTCTAAAAAACATTGACGAAACAAATACAAACCATTTATCTAAACACATTAGATATATCATTAAAATGCTGTTTTCTCCACAAATTAGCCCCGACATCATGAAATGTACTACTATTTGTTCAAAGGCTGAATCAAAGGCAATAAATAGTTTCGTATACACGATAATATTGACGGTCATTTATGGATTCATTTAGTCTTAAGTAGCAATACGAGGTGAGTATCAACTTTATTATCTTCTGATAATAACAATGTTAGATGTTCATAAAGAGAAAATATGTACTAAAACATCAAACTCAGAAGATTGTACACAAAATAATCAACGTTTATCTGTTATGGATAGTTAGAAAATCAGCTGGTAATCAATTTATGTTTACAATGCAGTAAATCAGTGAACAGAAACAAACTTTGATTGAAAATAATAGTCAGTGCTTACCGATTTTCGTAAATGATTCCTGTACAACAGATTCATCGGGTCTAGATTTCTCATTTGTGTTGCCGGTCACTGGATTTCCTACAGTTGGATTATTATTAGTATTACAATTGTTGTTATTATTATTACAATTGTTTAATTTGTTAAGATCGTGAAGATTTGATAAACCATTAAATCGGACTTCTTCACTTTGTTGCACGTCATTGTTAGACATTAAACCAGAGTATTGAGTGTTATTCAAATAATTAGCTGGTAAAACCACAGGTGTATACACAGGCAGTGTACTACCACTAAACCAAACAGGATGAGAGCGCTCCGTGAAGACAGAAAAATCCATGTTAGACACTGAAGACAAAGCGGACTGAAATTTATAAAAACAAACAAGAAATTAGTATAACCAGTGTTATATATACATAACCTCTCCAATAGTAGGATACAACTCCTTACAATGAATATAGATCAAACCAGCTGTCCAATAATGCAATTTCTCTTTTTCACTAGTTAATCGGGCACATACAGTAACCATTAAGTGTTCCTTTAATAAATTTGAGAAATGTAATTTACTAAATACTTATCAGACATCCTTATATGTTACTTTTTAGTATGCCGGGAACTCTAAATTAAATGCTAGTCTATTTCGTCTATTACTTAGCACAGATTTCGCAGTTGTTTTCTTGTTTGGAAAATTTAGACCTAGACTGCAGGTAATTTAAACTACAGCTGATACACTTGCAAAAATTTATTTATTCTCTGACGTATTAGACATCATACACAAAAAACTATAGTATATCTCCGGAGGAATAAGATCCTATTCTAATACTAGTAGTAAGTTTTTCGACCGCGAAAAACTATACAAGTAAATTTCGTACATACAAAAATAATTACAAGTAGACAACTGACAATCAATTAAAGAGTATGTGAAACTTTTCTAAAGTAGAATAGTTTACTTTTAAAATATTAACGAATAGACTATTATCTTACTCTTTCGCTTAAAGGTAATATAGGTAAAAGATATTTCAAAATAATTGGCACTGAACGGTCTAAAATATCTATACAACACAATTCTCGTGAATCATTTGGATTTTTTAACGTTTGATCATAAGTAGCGGATTGGATTAAATTTGATAAAGCTCGACATTTCCTGAGAATATGAACAGACAAACGTCTAGTAATTAAACGACAACTGCACAACATAACCAAAGCAAATCCTTCAGCTTCATATAAAGCTGATTTTTCAGCCATATTAGGTGTTACGGCTCCATCCTAAAATGCAAAAATAAAATAAAATTCAGTGACTATAGATAATTTGAGAAATTTGAAATTTTATTGATAACTACGAATGATTCACGTTTCTCAGTAGTTAAAGTCACGAATAATATAAGAGTAAGCTACCAAACAGAAGCAATTGGGTAGAAAGTCTCCGAAACAGAATATTGAATTGAAAAATTGACACTCAGGTGCTTTATGATGAAAACCGAAAAATCAATTTGGGCAATTGTTTCGTTTAATTTAATATACAGCGAGATCATAGTTATTTTTCAGTCAAGAAAACTACGTAGTAAGGACATTAGGGTCAGCTTGTTATGGAAAATAGAGAGTATCAATGACACCAATAATAACAATAATAATAACTGATTACTAGTGACAAGCTCAGAGAAAGGGTTTCGGATGTGAAGTCAAACCAAGATACAACTTACCTTTGCAATGCTAACTTCCAATTGTTTAATAGATGAAATAAAGTCTTCAGACAGCTATCTAGTTGGTGAGGTGATGTATCAGCTACATTTTTCTGAATAAATTGTATAAAAACTGAAAATCATCAAGAAAAAAGCGAAGAATTAGACATGTGGATTGACGAAAAATGGGTAGAAATCGGATTTAGTAGGTGCCATACTATGTATGTCAATTTAAATTATAGATTAGATGGAAGCATAGATGAGCATTGGCTACAATTGCTTGACGCCACGGAAATGGCGAGTAAAGTTGTTTGCCGCTTCGCGAAACGTCCCATTTACAAGCGCTGAGTTTCAACAGGCTCCTTACAACTTATTTAGGCAAGTCGGTCTACTCCGAGCGACCGACAGTTTGACTATGAACGAAAATTGTTACGTAATGAAATAGTGCAAAATTTGCGTAAGGACCGAAAGCCTGATGATCGGAACGTGCGACCGAGTTGGAAAAAGCAGTAGCTTCTGGTAACTGCAGAAAGCCCTATCAACTCATTTGAGTCAGTAGTAGCAAGAAGTTTGGTGTGAGTGAAACAGTCTGTGAAGCTGACAGGATGCCAATCAATAACATCTACCGATGTCTTGGACGACGATCAGTTTTTCAAGGAACAATTTAGATGACCCTGTTGCTCCAGACACATCGGTCAGATTATTATATTCTCCCTGGCCAATGTCAACTCATCGCTCCAAAGTGGCGCAAGTGCGCAAGGAACTGAAAATCTTAAGGCGCCACAAGTCGTCAAGCTCACATGACATGTCTCCGACCCTTTTTAAGGATAGTGAAGACCTGAACATGAAACAGGCTGGGTTGTTTGTAAAGGTTTGGTAATTAACGTTTCAATGTCCTGTAATGAGATGATAGTTTTTCCTTTCTTTAAAAAGAGTCTAGTTCCGGTCGCGTTCAAATTATTGGCTACCGTCATGCTTCGCAGATTTTTTGAAACCCGGGAAAGGTTGACTCGCGAGGAGCAGGCTAGTCTTCGTTCTGGTCAAGGATGTACTGATGCTACCATCACCCTCTGCCAAATACTAAAACACTGTCATATTTATTGCAGGCTAACAATAATTGTAATTCTTGATATCAGAGCCGCCTTCGATTTGTTGGACAGTACTATTCTCTGGAATTGTCCATTGAAGAAGAATGTGTGGGGAGTTTATTATCATCTTGAAAGTCCTATATAATAACAACTCAGGCAGAGTGAGGGCATATAAACACCTCTCTCCATTGTTCAATTGAAGAAGTGGGGGCCAGTAGGGTTGTCCAATCTCGCCATTCCTTTTCAAATATGTTCTGGAAACAGCTCTTATAGATGTAAGTTATGGTGGTGTAGAATCTGTTACCAGGAGACTTTTTTATCTTGAGTATGTGGATGATTTTGTCTCAATGTGTGAAGATACCTTAGCCATACAATCCGCACTTAGCCAGTTGGCAGTCAGTGTTCATAGGTATGGCATGTGCTTTGCTCCATTCAAGTGAATAGTATTTTAACAAGATTGGCAAAACCCTGAAACTGAACTCACTCTGGGTAGTAAGTGGCTGTAAACGGTCGGAGCTACAACGCGTCGGTGAGAGCAGTTCTGCCCTATATTTGTAAGACCTGACCCCTCCCAGTTGATGATGTTAGACGACTCTTTGTGTTTGATCATCGTTGTCTCCAAAGGATTGCCGACATCTAGTGGCAACACCATGTTAGTAATGCAGAGATTCGGCGTCGTGTGTTTGGGTACAGAGACGATATTTCAAGTAATGTTGCCATCTTGAAACACCGACTTCGATAGCTTGGGCACGTCTTACGAATGTCGTCCCGGCGAATCCACGTCGTGCATTATTTACAGACGCTATGGGAGATGACCAGTATATGACATGATGTCGTAGCATGAAAGGAAGTTGTACAGGACTGGCTTCTGTTGGTTCTTCACGACTCCCTGGTTGGGATCCTAGAGATCGTGTAACACAGTGGCTTGAGACATTGTCAGACATGGCTCAGAATAGAAGCCAATGGCAAAATTGCCTTTATAAAAGTGAGAGTAAACTCATTAGTTGGAAGAGTTCTTTCTGGTTGGATTTCTCCTAACTGAACTGCTTCTCCGATTACTATTATTGTTTCACTCTCATATGCCAATTTCTATTCACTGATGTTCCTCTTTTTTACTATAACCCCCCCCCCATTCTCTATCTCTTCATAACCTAATTATTATTGTGTGGTGCATATGTATTTGGTGCCCCCTTGTACCTATGTTTGTGTGTTCAAATAAATGAATATACACTTCAACACGATCATGTCTCGGACTTCACCGGATCACACAACGTGAAACCAAATCGACCATATCTGCATCAACAAAAGTTCAGGAGGACGATGAAAGACGTGAGAACCAAGAGAGGAGCTGATATAGCATCAGACCATCACTTGCTGGTCACCAAGATGAAATTGAAACTCAAGAAGCACTGGACAACGGGGCGAACAATATCACAAAAGTTCAATACGGCCTTTCTTCAGGATACTAACAAACTCAACAAATTCAAGATAGTCCTCAGCAACAAGTTCCAGGCCTTTCATGATCTACTCAATGGAGAAGGAACTACTGTGGAGAGCAACTGGAAGGGGATCAAAGAGGCAATCACTTCAACATGTCATGAGGTCCTGGGTCACAAGAAGCACCATCACAAGGAATGGATCACTGTTGATACACTGGATAAGATTCAAGAAAGAGGAACAAGAAGGCAGCAATCAATACCAGCCGAACAAGAGCAGAAAAAGCCAAGGCACAAGCTGAATACACAGAAGTAAACAAACAAGTGAAGAGGAGCATCAGAACCGACAAACGTAAATATGTGGAAGATTTAGCAACGACGGCGGAAAAGGCTGCAAGAGAAGGAAACATGAGACAACTGTATGACACGACAAAGAAACTCTCTGGAAATCGCCGCAAACCAGAACGACCAGTGAAAAGCAAGGAAGGCGAGGTAATCACCAACATTGAAGAGCAACAAAACAGGTGGGTAGAACACTTCAAAGAACTCTTGAATCGACCAGCTCCACTGAACCCACCCAACATCGAAGCAGCACCCACGGACCTCCCAATCAATGTTGGCCCACCAACAATTGAAGAAATCAGCATGGCCATCAGACAAATCAAGAGTGGCAAAGCAGCAGGACCGGACAACATTCCAGCAGAGGCACTAAAAGCAGACGTAGCGGCAACTGCAAGGATACTCCACATTCTCTTCAATAAGATTTGGGATGAGGAACAAGTACCAAATGACTGGAAAGAAGGACTTCTGATCAAAATACCGAAGAAAGGCGATCTCAGCAAGTGTGATAACTACAGGGGCATCACTCTTCTCTCAATACCGGGAAAAGTCTTCAACAGGGTATTGTTAAACAGGATGAAGGACTGCGTAGACGCCCAACTTCGTGACCAACAGGCAGGATTCCGTAAGGATAGATCGTGTACAGACCAAATCGCAACTCTACGGATCATTGTGGAACAATCAATTGAATGGAATTCATCACTCTACATCAACTTCATTGACTACGAAAAGGCATTTGATAGCGTGGACAGAACAACACTATGGAAACTTCTTCGACACTACGGCGTGCCTCAGAAGATAGTCAATATCATACAGAACTCATATGATGGATTACACTGCAAAATCGTGCATGGAGGACAGTTGACAAAGTCGTTCGAAGTGAAGACCGGTGTCAGGCAAGGTTGCTTACTCTCACCCTTTCTCTTTCTCCTGGTGATCGACTGGATCATGAAGACGTCAACATCTGAAGGGAAGCACGGGATACAATGGACATCTAGGATGCAGTTGGACGATCTGGACTTCGCAGATGATCTGGCCCTTCTATCCCAAACGCAACAACAAATGCAGGAGAAGACGACCAGTGTGGCAGCAGCCTCAGCAGCAGTAGGTCTCAATATACACAAAGGGAAAAGCAGGATTCTCCGATACAACACAGCATGCACCAATCCAATCACAATTGACGGAGAAGATTTGGAAGATGTAAAAACCTTTACATATTTGGGCAGCATCATTGATGAACAGGGTGGATCTGATGCAGATGTGAAGGCGCGGATCGGCAAAGCAAGAGCAGCATATTTACAACTGAGGAACATCTGGAACTCAAAGCAACTGTCAACCAACACCAAGGTCAGGATTTTCAATACAAATGTCAAGACAGTTCTACTGTATGGGGCAGAAACCTGGAGAACTACGAAAGCCATCATCCAGAAGATACAGGTGTTTATTAACAGTTGTCTACGCAAAATACTTCGGATCCGTTGGCCGGACACTATTAGCAACAACCAACTGTGAGAAAGAACAAACCAGATCCCAGCGGAGGAAGAAATCAGGAAGAAGCGCTGGAAGTGGAGAGGACACACATTGAGGAAAGCATCCAACTGCGTCACAAGACAAACCCTCACATGAAATCCTCAAAGCCGAAGGTGTTGGGTGATCCGGAAATCGCTTGCAAAAGACAAGCAAGCATCAAGAAACACTAAGAAGTGTTTCGTCCAATGAGCGTTCATTTGGAGTCTTGGCCAGAAATATCAAGGTAGAAACGTCACATGCGGAAGCTCTGATTGGTTGGCTACTACAGTGCTACTATGTTTAGTAGCATTCCAGAATATTCCAGTGACCCAAGGACATTTAGATATATTATAAAAACCCTATATTTTCTGTAATAAAATGAACCTCGGAGTAAAGTTTTTTCCCTCATACTTGCGTCTTCTCTCTGGTGTTCAAGTCGCTGTGCAGTTCTAGCTTTCGGGGTACCAGAATAGCTTGGGAAACTAATATAGCGTTCAATCGATAAGACTTATCAAAAGGAAAAGAGGAAGACCAAAGAACACATTACGCCGGGAAATGGAAATAGACATGAGAAAAATGAACGAGAATTGGATGGAACTAGAAAAAAGGCCCAGGACAGAGTGGGTTGGAGAATGCTGGTATGCGGCCTATGCTCCATTAGGAGTAACAGGCGTAAGTAAGTAACGATCATGTCTTTTGATTTCTCAAATTTTAAATTAGTATGAATGGACGACATGATGTTTGTCCATTACTATTCATAAACAAAACAGTTTTCATGAACAGATAAAAAATGAAAGCACTTTAGATGAGTAAACTGTAGTAGCTCGATTGTTAAGTTGAGTAAATAAAAACCCAAGCTTATAGAAGTAATAAAAACCAAAAGAAATTCACTCCAATTATCATCTAGCCATTCAACTTACAGCGAAACACAGCGCATCTATCCGAATGAGTTTCAGTGGTATTCATAATTTTGACTTTGCTACCTGCATGGAGAAGGCTTCAGGAATGTTAAGAAGACGGGATCCCATTGTGTCTGGGAAAATTATACTTACCTTGTAGATGATGTCGAACACTGAGTCTGTTTAGATTGAATGACTTTCGTCTACAAGATGTTTGACCATGGAGCTTCTCATGGATTTAGTGCTGCTTCTCTTCAACCATTTCGAATGATATTATTAAACCCTCTTGGATGGACATTTGCACTCAGAAGATAAACTTGGGTTACCACTTCACCCAATTCTTAACATTTCAATATCCTCTTACGACCATATAGCGAAATCACCAACAAACCCTTGAAAAGACGTATACCTATGCATACCCCACGACATACCTTTGAATTTATCGACTACATAAAGGACAATGACGCAAAATACAAACACACGATTTCACTTTACGCTGAATAGCTTTACACTGATCTCTGCATTGTAGGTGATAATATGATACTATTGGTCGTGAATTTATAAAAAGATCAACATTTTATTGTATATAGTCATTGACCCCAGTTGAAACAACACTTATTAGTAAAGGTAACAGAAATAGAGTATGCAATGGAATTCAGATTATGATATGGGCAGAATATTTGTTGTAATTGTAATTTCGCCCACAAAAATACATCAAGCAATATTAGTGGAAGTAATTGACTAAAGTATTTACTAACCTTCTATTGTTTTAACCCGATAAGCTGGTAGTTCGACTATCAAGTTGGCCATAGCTTGCTGTGCCATTTTTCGTACGTCTTCGTCGACATGCAGACAAACTTTAGCTAGTATTTCTAAAATCTCTTGTTTAGTCATATCAATAGGAAGCAGACGAGGAATACAGGCAACACAGGTCTTTAATAAATCCAGTTTAGGTTTACGGTCTGCTCTATCCGAGCAAAATGAAAGAAAATAGTACATTAGAAAATAAAATACTTGTGAAATATTTGAAATTATTAAGCGGATACTAAACACGCGGACAGATTGCACATTGTCACTGACATAGCATCAGTCATAATTTACTTTATGATTTAGTCATAACATTGTTATTTTTAAATGTAATGAGGAAGATGCTCAGAATAAGCTCATCACCTTAGTAAATTAGCAAAATGGGTTTGAAGGTTATTTAGTACTTTTGAGGCACCGATGTTTATAAACGACAAGCGTCTCTAACTATGATGAGAAACGGTGATAAAACAACTCAAAAAAAGGGTAACTATCGTGCTTAAGTGAACCCAAGTAATTTATAACAGATATTATTTATATACATACAAAAACTGAATGTTGAAGTTCGACAAGGTATGTCCAGAAAACATTTTACATTTAGTTTACATTTGTCTCCAGTTATTAAACTAATATTTGCTTCTAATATTATGGAATATCTTTTAAGATTCTCTGCTACATGGAGTAGAGACACTACTAGTTACACAAGTGTTGATGCAGGGCAGATGACTTATTTAGAAACAGCTAAGCCTACTGCCAATGTTCCATAAACATAACTAATACCGGCATGTCTATGGCTTCAAACTGTGTTATAGTAAAAACTGAATTTAGGTACAAAATCCCTCAAAATGGCTGTATTAATGAAACATTATGGAATGTATAGGATGGACTTACAGCTAAGCAAGAAGTCTAAAGATGCTATTCTTTATTATAAGAAAAAAACAGAAACATGAGACAGTGTTTTACCAACAGGTGTGTTTAAAGGAATACAAACAAATACTCAATGTATTAAATGGCTGGAGAGAGTCAGTAAGAAAGCTCAGACGTTGATTTTATGCTTTTTGACAATGGAGCACTTGCAATCCTGGAAAACCCTATGCTCACTGTGAGATTTGAACCTGTGTCATCTAGCATCACAGTTTCGGACGTCACCGTTAAGTTATATCGACCCAAAGTTACTTCTCGTTAACGCCCATCAATTAGCAAGAAACTTAAGTTCACGGTTTAACTATCGACCACCTCCAAATATTTATCATTTCAATATGGTGAACGCAATACCGATTCATTAACGCTAGTGACCGTATTGCAACTTCAGAATAAAATTCAATTAGCATTAAAGGACAAAACAACACTTCTCAGAGATCGTCCAACTATAGATAGTTAATGTCCTACCAACATACAACAACCAACGCCTAAAAATCAGAATCTGAGAATCATGCACATCAGTGTTCACAGAATGGATGAAATTTATGTATCAGCAAAATCCAGGACGCGCGTTTCGTCTTATTCGAGATTTATCTACTGGGTGTACCTGCATCTTTGAGTTGATAGAAAGAAAGGTGTGATAAAACTTTAATGGCACCTTCTATATATCTAAAAGAAATATGATAGCATAAACTTTCAGCCAATTATAATAGGAACCCTAGTTTAGTTCAAAAAGGACGAAAACATTTACCTAAACCAGTGGATTCACAAAATCTGTGATGACTACACCATATCACGAGAGTAAGAAAATGCATTAAATATATCTAAACATGCAAAAGCTGTTAATCAGAAACAAAAAAATAGGTAGTCAAGATAAAGATTTTGAAACTGTCAAATAAAACAGTTAAAATGTCTATGTGATTTTTAAAATAACATTATTCAAAAAGTAATAAGATGCTTGAAAATAAACACCTAGACCATACACTTGAAACATAGACCTCCAAAACAACAAAATTAAGCCCAGCTTACGTCATTAACTCATCAAATTCTTTTTGAGTAACTTCTTGTTTTGGCAACATCATTGTACGACAAACTTGAGTATCCAGCTGACGTAAAATATGTTCAAATGCTCTTCGAACAGGTACTAAATAACTTTGTATTCCTAATAAGGAACCCAATGCTTCATTCAAATTGGTACCATGAAAAGAACGTTTAATAACAGCTTGCCTAAAACCACCACCAACCCCTCCAGCACCAATGCATTGTTGAGGCATGGGCGGTTCCCCCTCCTTCTGTTGAAGGCCATGGGCAATCAGCAGGAATGCACATATACCTACATTTATTCGCTAAAAGAATAATAAGAATAACTGGTAGAGAAAAGATAAAATTACAAACCATTATTAGTTTGAGAAAACGCACGGGAAGAGAACCGGTTGGATGGTGTGCAACTTCAACAAATAACATAATGACATAGTTAAAATTGTTTATTAAAAACTGTAACACACATTTTATCTCTGAATGGTATCCTTACTTCTAATTCTTAGAGATATCATTTAGAAACATGTGAAAGTGATCAAAAGTGAGATAATTTGAAACGATCTTAAAGGAACACAGCGTTTCGGATTAAATCCACATCGAATTACCTGTATAAAAAATTCTAGGTAGTGTATTGTCAAAAAAGCTGACATGTTCTCTCAGAATTCCAAAAATTACCCATAAAAGTACTGAATAGTTGCAAATTTGGAGATTTTTATGCATATCCTACATAACAACTTTTACTTCTCCTTGCCGAAAATCTTATCACTATAACATGTATGGTATTACTTATTTTAGATTGTCATCCAACCTGTGAAAAAAGCAGAGATAATCAATTCATCTAGAGCAAACCGATTAATTCTTTCTAATTGATTCACTAAAACAGGATCAATAAGTACAATTTAGTAAAAACTCATTAATCCACTCATAGCATTATGAATGTATGGGATTTACAAAACATAGAAAATACATTAGCTTGTAATCCTGTGAGTGAATATATATATAATTTAGATTCACCTCTGGCATCACCAAAGTTTTCTGTAATCCATTCACCCCTAACCGCTCAATGATAACTTCTTTCATGGCAAACTCAAGCTTTTCCTGGTTGAAAGGAACAAACAAAAAGAAAAGTATTGGGATAACCATTAGGTAAATTAGCTTTCTTTGTAACAAAGATTATCAACAATAATTTATGCAAAAAACAACCTATTATATTCTCAGATCTCGGTCAATAAATATGATTTTATCACCACAATTAAGTAATACACTTGAGATACTAATTTTGTGAACACGTGCTGGACTTCATACAAAGTACTAAGCAACGAAATCCAATCCATTACGTAAAGGTTGAAATTCTCAGTAAATCACGAGGCCGATGCCACTTTTGACAACCAGAGCAACAAGTAATACAGGTATATGGGATTTCCGGACACTGGGGGATACCGGGAGGACAAGTCAAATGGCTGTGTTAGCGGGATATAGATTGGATTGAAGAATATTCCGTATAGGTATGCGTTGGGGCACGTTGATCGGCCACTTCTTAACTAATCAACGCCAGCAGATACTTGGAGAAGACTACAGAATCTTCTTACGTAAAAATTATAAATGTACTAACGTTTTTCTTATTGTGATACCTACCTCCATCTAACGTTGTTAGTTGGAATATAATTACGTTTTTGTTTAATCGTGTTCTGATTTGGGGACTTTTCGAGTGAAGTAATGTCTAGTAGTACTAAGCAATAAGAATAGCTGAGTCGTAATAAGAAAATACGTTACAATTTTGAATAATAATAAACAACATTTGTGTACTTCTTAATGCAATTTCCCAGTTTCAGATGATTTAGATGTGGGATCGCTATCTACCTACTCGCCTAAATATCCTTTCAAAACAAGTAATCTTATTAGTGATCAGCATCATTTCAATTATTTTTTCACCGGTTTGTAACTATGTAATGTTTAGCTTGTGTCCTTTCCAGTCGCTAATTTATGCACACAGTGTTTTGAGTATATAAATTAAGAATCGGAATACTAAACTATATCAGATTATAAACAATCACCAAAGTCAGTCAGTCAGGTCAGTCAGCTACAACGTAGGACCAGGCACATATGTGCATCGGTCCAGGTTGCCATACCGCATCAGCACAACAAGATGAACACCGGATTCATAGCAGTGGTTAGGTCAAAGGTGGTAATATATAAGAGAAAGATTGCATATAGAGATATAGTACAAGAAGAAAGAATTGGTTCGTAGAAAGAAAGATATGAAGTGATTTTAATCTCTTAGTTTAAGGGAAGACAGGGAGTGTATACACCGACGCCATTGTGATCGATTCTGAGCCATGTCACCAAGAGTCTCCAACCATTGGTTACGAAAGTCACGCGGACCCCAACCAAGTAGTCTGCATCTACCAACATGGCTCAGACTAGAAGTTAGTGACTTCAAGCACTGATGCCACGTTTTGGTTTGGCCGCCCCTAACTTTCTTCCAACCATCCCCAATACCGGTTAGCATTGCACGTCGTGGTAATCGGTGTTCAGGCATACGTAACACGTGGCCCAACCATCTCAGTCGATGAAGATTCATAACCTCATCAACTGATTTACCATCATTCCCTAATACCCTGCGTCTAACCTCACTATTACTTACCCGGTGATCCCAGCAGACGCCAGCAATATTTCTAAGGCATCTGTGGTCAAATACTAGTAGCTTACGAGTGTCTTCTACTCTTAAGGCCATGTTTCGCTGCCGTAAATTAAAACAGAACGGACTGCCGCGCAGTATACTCGTCCTTTTATTGATAGACGGATATCTCGCCTTCGCCAAAGGTGACGTAAGTTGGCAAAAGCCAAACGAGCTTTTCGAATCCGTGCTGAGATTTCGTCAGACACCAACCCATTAGGGCTGATCAGACTTCCAAGATAAGTGAAGTTGTCAACGCGTTCGACTACTTCACTCCCTATCCTTAGTTCAGGTGTTGACGCAGACCAGTCCTGAAGCAACAACTTGCATTTAGAGGGAGAGAAGCGCATTCCAAACATTCTGGCATTGTTGCTTAGTGCTCCAGAAGACTCTGCATTTTGTCAGCGTCTTCACCAAACAGGACTATGTCATCTGCGTATTCTAAGTCGATAAGTGGACCTCCTGGAAGGAGATCAATACCCGAGAATTCAGTCGACGAGAGGTTATTTCCATCAATAGGTCTATGATGAAGTTAAACAAAAATGGGGAAAGTGGACAGCCTTGACGGACACCACTTGAGGTTGCAAAAGTAGATGACAGTTCGCCATAAGCTCTGACTCGACTAGTAGTGTTCGAGTAAAGAGCCTTCACAAGGTTTATGTACTTCTGAGGTACGCCTTTCAATGACAGACACTGCCACAGAGTCTCGCGGTCTACAGAGTCAAATGCTGCTTTTAAGTCAAGAAAGACCACCATTGTCGGACGCCGATAAGTATGCCTGTGTTCTAGAACCTGACGAATGGTGAATATGTGGTCGATGCAGCCACGACCAGGTCTAAAGCCAGCTTGGTTCTCTCGTGTTTGCAGTTCACGAGTCTTAGTTAGGCGTCTGATAATTATCGAGGCTAGTATTTTAGATATTATATTAGTTAAACTAATCCCTCTGTGGTTGTCACAGGATGATTTTGACCCTTTCTTATATATTGGGACGATAAGTGATTGCGACCAGTCAGATGGGATAACGTCTAATTCCCAGATCTTAGCTAAAATATTAGTCAACCTAATCGCTAAAATTGGACCACCATCCTTAAAGACCTCTGGAGCCAGTCCATCTGGACCAGCTGCCCTTCCTCGTTTCAGATTAACTATAGCCTTTTGAACTTCAGCAAGAGTTGGGGGACCTACTTCAATGTTCCATTCACACTGTCTGGGAATGGAGGGTAGTTGTAGAGTAGCTGAAGGCCAGCTGAACTGTTCTCTGAAATGTTCCGCCCATCGTTCTAAACGTCTGGACTGGGAGCAGATGAGAGTATCGTCTTTTTCCGAAATAATCTCACTTACACTTGACTTATTAATTCCAGTTTCTTTTATTAGTCTGTAAAGCTGTCTTGTGTTCCCTATAGTCGCCGCCTTTTCCATCTCTTTTGCTTTCGTTGCCCACCACTGCTCACGGTCGTTCCTTAGACTTTTTCTTAACCTAGATCTGATTTGTTGTCGCTCTTCATCATGTTCGGAACCTGATGGGACGAGTTTGCGAGAATCCATCAGTGTGATAGACTTTGAAGAAATCCACTGGTTCTTTGTAACTCTGTGGTTTAAGTCACTAATAGATGTCACTGCTGTTTCCACAGCTGCTTGTATGTCTTTCCAAGCAACATCTGGGTCAGCCTCGTCTTCACAACTACCTAAGTGTGACCTCAGTTGTTCCTGGAACCTACTTTTGGTTTTCTCGTTACTCAACTCAGTTCTAATGGGTCTTTTTAATGTGGCTTTTTTGCGTCCAGTGAGGCGCAAGCAGATGCGTGCCCGTATTAGGGCATGGTCGGAGTCCAAGCAGGTACTCCAGAATGAGCGACAATCTTCTACCGACCCTCTCCAACGATGACTGATGGCAATATGGTCTATTTGAGTCCATCGTTGGTTTGGTGTAGGGGGTCGCCATGTTAGACGATGTCTCTCCTTATGCTTAAAATTTGTGTTTGCTAAAAATAAACGATTGTCTGAGCACAGTTGCAGCAGACGATCACCATTATCTGTTCGCTGTGCCGGAATACTAAAATATCCACCTAAATGCCTTTCTGTTTGGTTTAAACTACCTATCTGAGCATTAAAATCACCTGCTACGAGTACTATGTCTGAGCGTTTAGCTTTCTGAAGAAGTTCGGAAGCTTTCTGTAAAATTCATCTTTCACTTCATCTGAGCTGCAGTCAGTGGGAGCGTAGGCAGAAACGACAAAAAGGCAACGACGTGTGTCCCTATCCTTCCGAGTTCTTACGGAGCCGTTTAGCCGAACAGCACATAGACGACTGTTGACGGGGATCCACTCTAGCAGTGCTTGTTCGCCCTCATGCTTAGTGCTATGCCTACACCTGCCAGTCCACGAGAACTGGCCATCGGGTCACCAGATACACGAGGGTGTATCTCGTTGGCTCTCCGTTTTGCCGAGGTGAGGTCAAGTGAATGACCACACTGGAATCCTGTATGCGTGTTTCGGAGACACAGCATACATCAATGGAAAGAGACTCTAGGGTTTTAGCCAAGGAAGCCTGCTGACCGATTTGACATAGGGTGCGTACGTTGAAGGCTCCAATGTGTAGTTTGGAGCGAGGTTTCAGTAGACCTGGGACAGTGTTTTGAGCACTAGAATCGTTGGCTATGGTGACACTTGAGGAGGAAGCCGAAAGAGGAAGTTTAGAGTTGAAAGTCGATGTAGGAGGAATAATAGGAATTGAAGAGGAAGGTTGATTATGAATACAGTGGTCTTGAGTGCTGTTAGAGGTATGAGGGCGGTTATCACTTCCCGGTTGCCCACACCGTGGAAGGGTTCTTCTGGAGGTACCTGAAAAGGAAATTGGATTAGAGGTGGTCTCAGTGACCTGAGAGCGTGACCGCAGTGCCCAAGGGACAACTGCTTGAGGCCGGTCGCGCACGGCCTTTTCGTGGGAGGTTTTTGACGTGTTAGCTCCGTTCTTCAAAGGGCCTTACCGCCGGAGACGGATATCCGTGGGATAAGGCGAGGTGTGCATTTTTAGGGTCGACCTTTTCTAACCCCACCCCTCCTTGTGGGAAGGCAGCATCGCTGTCATGCTGGTTGTCTGAAGGAAACACCTTACTGCTGTCACACCTCTGTACAGTCAGCAGTACGACTTCGCCTTCGGACCTTGGGTTTGTTGCTTTTAGTCTTACCGCTCTTCAACCGACCTGTCTGACATGGTAGGACCTTGAGGAACGGTTGTTCCAGCCAGTATAGCTCGGTTGCTTCATCACGATAGGCAAGCCCGACCACCACGTCAAGGTAGCAATCACCAAAAAATCAATGAAATGCATATTCCTATGCTCTGATTACTATTTTCACTGTAGACAACTACACTAACAGCTTGTTTAATTTGGATAATCGAGTGGTGTGCGAAATGTCACCAACAACTCGTTCACTCAGTCAAGTTAAGATCTTAAAAACACTTTAATACACGTTCATTCATAGGAAGTAATAGGATTTTTCTCCTAACAATCAATTACATGTAATATATTATGATTATTTCAACGCATTAGATAAACACAGGTTTATGTAAAAGGCCTTGAGGCAGACTTGTTGGAAAGTGTCTGAATAAATTATCAGGATTCAAGTAAATGGAACAAAATCTCAGTTAGAAACTTAATAATAGTAATTAAAAAACTCGAACATAGATCTACTGAAATGTATAGCATTTATCAATGAAACGTAACAAAATAATATCAAATTAATAATAATTCATTTACCAATTGGCTGAATGTGAACAAAGCCAAAAAATTTTAAAAAATGAATCAATACCCAAATTATGGTACAATACAATAGTCACTTACATGAGCAATAAATTGAATAATACGAACAAATATATTGATTGGTGCATCTTTTGGTAGAATAATTTTCTGATTTTTCGGAAATAAACTATTGATAATTGTGTGTAATTTTGTTTGAGTTTCTGTATGTTTTTCACCTTTGATACGTACAATATAGACCCTGAATATAAATCAAATAATCCATTTTTTAAAGTAGCAACATCATTTGAAAGGCAGCAGTGATAACACTTAGAGGGTATGTATCATTGAGAAGTTTAAGCGTACGAATCAAATAGACATTTATAATAATGAATAACTCTATAAGTGATCACAACTATCGATGGTAGTTAACATTGTCTACCTGGAACCAGTGCATCTCTAACCAAAAAGATGTAAATTCATAATGTATTTTTTTTCTACGCGGTAAAAGGCCGACCACATGCTGGACAATGATTAACAATACTAGTTTACTGTCAAAACTTCAGATACGATAAGCGTTGAATTCTGTGATTGTGCAGCTAACAATGAAGTACTTGATCCACTTTCCGACAGTTTTATATTTATAACACTGTTACTTCTTCCCTTTGAGATCTAAAAGAATATTTCAACACATAGATAACTATGTCCTTATATTATGTCGTGTGAACCATAATTCAATAATACGTAGAGAAAACCTTTTGGTCACGACAAAGAGAATGTAATGAGTGGACAACAAACAGAAATTTTTAAGTTTTCTGTAACACGTAAGAGTCCACTGGATTTATATGATTGCAATTAGAACACAAAAATCCATAAGACCCTCTGTGTAACAGTAAAAAACATTTAATAGCTTAATTTCATAGGTGATATCCTTCAGACGAATGTAAACGTTAATTAATGAGATGGATGAACAAAAAGTATAAAATAAGTTGCTTTCTGTACAACGTTTATTTAGATGAACAAACGATTAACATGTCAAACCAAAGTACATATATGTTATCGTACCAACAGTTGAATGAAAATATAACTGACTTTAATTATTGAAACTAACAGCTTAGAACTTACCACAATATGCAGGATAATGATTGTAAACTGACCAAAGCTACTTTAGAAGTCCGATTTTTAAGATGACTTAAGCAGATAGACAAGAAATTGGTCCAATTATTCAAGAAAAATGATTTAGTACCAACACACAGCAAGCAAGTCACTAACGGGAATAAGGCCTTTGAGAAAAAAAAGTATAAATGCAGTTTGAAAAGCTACTGAAGTTGAGGAAATACTCTGTACAATGAAGGTATGTAATTATTAAACAATCTTAAAAGTTGTCTTCTAACCGGATATACTTATCAGAACTACTGGTTTATACATATATTACTTGTACATTATATTGCGAACATTAACAAGATGCTAAATACGTCGTTTTCTCTGTCAAGTGAAGGACTATCATCAACAATGAGTGACCATCTCTTGTTTGTAATCCTTATGATTGTAAAACGATTACCTCTTGCTTGGTTCGGACGTCCGGAGAGTATCTCAGACTACATACATACAACCTAGCACTTGCTCCTTTTAAGGATGGTGTAGAACTCCGGTCAGGCAACTGACTGGTTTGTTCGTAAAAGTTTGAGAAACATAGACTATTAAAACATCTTGGAATTAAGCAATTTTCATCACCATCTTTAAAAAGGAACTAAGTAATTTAATTGACAACTAACGGGAGATATCTACTTTTGGTTGTATCCGAACTACTGGCTTCTGTCATACTCTGTAGATGGTGCAAAACCCGTGATAAACTGAGTTGCGAGGAGCAAGTTTGTTTCCCATCAGGTCGTAGATGTGTTCATCACATTTCCACTTTTCACCAAGTATTGGAGCACCACCACAGTTACTGTAGGCCAATAATCGTTCTGTTTCCTGACATCAGGGTCGTGCTTCGAGATTCCCTATTGAAGGAGGGTGTGGCTGATAATTTTATTAACACCTTCAAAGCTTTGCATACAAACACCTCAGGCAGAGTGAGGAATATAACAATTTCTCCTGATTGCTCCATCCCAGCAACGAGGATTAAGACGAATTGTCCAATCTCACCATTCCTTTTCAACTTTGCCAACAATGACATTCTCGAAACAGATACACAATACCACCGAATACTCTTTTCAAAGCTACTTCTTAGAGAGACCTTATGACCATGAGTATAGAGATGATATTGTCTTATTGTGCGATGATAAACAACCTATCTGAATCGCACTTAAACAGCTAGCAATCAGTGTCCATAATCATGGCATGTAATTTGCACTTTTTGAATCGAAAGCATTTCTGCAAGACTGGTGGGAACATGTGCTTGCACACACTTTTTGGGGTGATCCGCTAGAATTAGTAGTAAAGTTTGTGTAACTGCCAGTGGTAATGTGACAGATGAGATCAACCCACACATACTGAAAGCCGTGGTGTGAAAGAAAATTGCACAGAACTCCCATATGACCGAATATATAGACTTCCTGATTCAGGTCCTAGAAATGGTGCAACTTAGTGGCTTGAGAAGTTATTAGACGTGAGTCGAAAATAAAAGATAGTAAGGATCCTTGTTTAGTTTTCTATTACAATCTTCGTAAAAGTAATAGGAACTCTTTTAACTGAATTACTTCCGGTTATATTTTTGGGACTGAACTTTCTTATTGTAAAATACTTTCGCTTACTTTTACTTATTTGCTTAACTTTGATTGCAATTCCCACCCTCCTTTATTTCCTTACTATTTCACTTCTTTATTTGTGGCCCATGCTTATTTTGTTCCCCGCTCATACCAGTCTTTATATATTAAATAAATATAAAGTCACTTTGCTTAACTCTTATACAAATCATGCAAAATCATGACTTGAATTGACTGGCCTTAACTTAATATATTCCAAACATTTTGTTTTCTAACCACCATAAGCTGATATAATTGCGTAACTACTTAATTTAAGCACGAGTGATTTGCTACAGTCACAAACGGATTCTTCAAGATCTACCTTAGGATATGATACTTATTTGTCAGATCTTACAACTTTATTTGCACTTCCATAATTTCCACCTCTGCTAATTTTCAGATCCCGATAACATTCAGGTTGATAAAAAAAGCTGTGATGAAATGATAATCAAACGCGGTTTAACACTTTGATCAATTTAAGTCGTTCAATAATAAGCAACAACTTTATACCGTAATATATAATATATATGCAAGAAGATACTTACTGGGATATGTTTCTTCTTACTAGCCAATTCCAAACTTGTTGGATATAAATTTTCTACAAATGTTTTTAATGCTGGAATGTTAACTTCTTGACGTGCAACAGCAGCTACTGGCAATAAAATTTCAACAAACAAATCAGAGAGTACATGCTTGATTTCAATTTCTTTCACTTCCAGATAGTATTGACCTAATTCTTGTAAGAAAGTGAAACATTTCACAAAATCTTCGATTGGATGCATCTGAAAAATATTTTAGAAATGTAGAACTGTATTATGAAAATGAAACACCAGACAATATAAAAATTTCCAACAACAAAATCTGTGATTTTATTAGCTTTACTACGAGGAGGTTAACATACCCTTGGACTATAATTCGAAAGAGAGCGTTACCATATTAATACTTAAAATGTAGTAAATGAAACGCTATTTCTTCAACAGTATAGACTACTTTCATTATTACGGTCTTGGGTTATTTGTATAATTAATTACAAACAGAATAGCTAATAAATACTACATTTGATTTAAGGTCGAAACACTAGACTAGTGAACTTATTCGAAACTGATTAGGTTTTATTTGAATCATGCAAAAAATTACCCAGGTTACTGATCTAGTTGTGAAATTCAGACCAGTCTCTTAAATGGACTTTGATTAACACTTTTATACTGAGAAATGACGCTAACGAGAAATAACTTAGAACAATATTTACCAGTGTCCCGTTAACTGATTTAATAATGGTAGGTTATATTATGAATAATTGTGATGAATTTCCTGTATGAATATATGTGGCTGATAATATTAACATTGGAGGCGAGGTTGTATGCGTCGTAAAAATTAAGACATTAGAATATGTACTGGATACTACTTAGATCAAAGATAATTACTGAACTTATATATATATATATATATATATATATATATATATATATATATAGGTACACTATTGTCAAGTGATGACAATAATATAATCAGAAACACCTAGTAGACAACTGAGGAATCTGTACGAAAATCAAAACCTCGTGAATAAACCACTAAAACGATACGTTTGGCTGCACACTAACTTATGTAATGCAGTTTAACATAAAAATATCTACTCTGGATAATTTAGTGGTTCAATGACGGAAATATTACGCTTAAATAGGTCACATAATGTGAAAGACATTTGAGTGATAAAAAGCCTACTCTGCACTGCTTAATTTAGCTTAATAATTCGCAATTTTATCTAAATTTATTGATATAATTACCGGCAAAAAAACTTACTTTAACCCGGAAAAACTTCATCCCCATTATAAGAGATACAATACTAGCTCTATTATTTTGACTGTTTTCTTTAGATCGCAGATCATTCAGACAACTCATAAATTTGTAGCGTACCAGAGCAAATCTGAGTGTAGAACAAAAATATACGAGAGAGCTACGAATACAGTATCTTACAGCACAGTAAACCTTAATCGAAAACTTTTGTTTGAAAGTGTTTTGTAAGTAACTTGGTGAGCTGTCTAGAATAGCATATGATATAGTGATGTACGCATATTTTTTATTAATTATCGAATATGCTAAGCGTTAAGCCATCAGGATTTATCATACCACTATTTGTCACTATCAGCAATAGTATCAGAAACAATAATCTTAAACACTTATAGGTGTAATATACCTATGTCTAGATAAGTACTAAATCCAATTAACATTCCGGAGATAATGATAATAATAAAGCGCTATTTAGATAAGCGAATTTTAACCAATGCTTATGAACAGCTGAACATACACAAACAAAAAGCTTGGAGGTTTGAGATAAAAACGAATTACCTACTGTAAATCTACGAAACAAAAGTCCCATTTTAAAACAGTTGCATGCATTTATATCGTACGTATATAGTTAAAAAACAAAAACCCAAAAAAGTGCAACAAAATTACCTTGACTGGAATAACAGTCCGACAATTTCTGCGTATAGATCAGCGACGAGATTTATATTTTCACTATTTTTCGGCTGCAAACTGTTTTTTTTTTTCAAAAACAAAAACATTTTCAATAGTCACAGCACCAATAAAAAAGAGTAATCGGCAGAAAAACAATAAGAGCTGTCCAAATATATGAGAGCCGCGTGTGATGATTAAAATTTGAAAGAACGAATTTAAGTTGGGATTTAGAAGTTTTTGCCAACTTATATAACCATATGAATAAAAAATTGTTGTAACTTACGGCTATTCTACATTATCCGGTCATAAATAGCACTATTTTAAAAATAACATCAAAAGACTTACTCCTCTCTATAGTTGAATCTTCCGAAACATTGCTCTAAGATTGATTCAATAACATCATTATGGCCTGGATGAAAAGGCAATTGCTTTAAAACTGCAAGCATGACATGACAAAATATAATATCAATGGCAAGCTGGAATTAAAATGTAATATAGATATGTGTGATAACATACATCACGTCGTTCAAATAGAACAGATAACTCTGGTAAATGTAAATTATGGGATTTCGACAGCGAAGATGATTCTGAGGCACATTTGATAGTCTTTTCTGATTTATTGGCAGCAAGATATGAAACTTGTTGGCTTTCAACAACAGGATTACTATCGTTAGCTAAAGGACGTTGGACTGCCATTGAAGTAACGTTTCCAATGTACTCATTGGCTGAACTTAAAGACTGAAACTGGTGGAATTGATAATATTTCCCAGATGAGTGCTGAGATCTATACCATAGTGAAAGTGTAGATAAGATTGAAGGAAGAGCGAATTCGGCGGCAACACCAAAAGCAGTTATGAGATGTTCATAGGCTGCATCTTCATTCAGTTTCATGCTTTTCACGAGATTTGTTTCTTGACCATCTCCAAGTGCTTTCTCAATTTTTAATTGGGCTAAGTTGGTTAACTGACGAAATAGAGCCTGCATGACCCATTCTCCAGGCTTCGTAGACGTCATTTTAAAGTGCACAAAGCAGAAAAATCTTGATTATGATAACCGCCGATTATGACAAATCACTACACAATGCAGCACATCAGGAAACTCTACGTATAAGGATAAAGTAAAATGTGTCAAAGTGAATGCCAAACACATTGTAACATATGAGTATCTTCATAGTATCTACATAACATATTTTATGACGTAAGGCGAGTGTGGTCAAATATTAACAAATCTGTTTCCGATTGTTAGTCAGTGCTAGTTAGGACAAAAAAACAGAGATATTGATCTCTAAAAAGGCGAATACAACAACAATTTAAACTGATACTTCCAATGGACAACCGGAAACCCATGTTTGTACATAGAAGTCGGAGAATGTATTTGAGGTTCAGTACTCAGGCAGGTGTGATTCGAAAGATTGTAGACCACAGATAATCATATTCTAACCTTTTGATAATACTGTATGGATCAATAATGTTATTAGTACAATACTTTTGAACCACAAACTCTTAACAACGCTGACAACTGCGTACAAGCATATCTATTAAAGAACAGATTATTACCTTTCCCAAAATTGATCAAACCAGGCTTTAACAGCAACAAAGTGTTGTTTGGACATAGTTATTGGAAAATGAAGTCGTTACAAGAATACTACGTAAAAACGACGTGGAATATTCTGATTGCCATATTTCATACGACAAGTACTGAATAAGTTTTACAGATACAACCCGCCATAATTATGTGGTTATCTAACTAAAAAGAATTGACTAGGAAAAACATGGTGAATGGCTACAAAAGACTAACATCTACCAAGTGAGGAAGCAAAAATATATGTAAGAGAGCAAATGCTAGTGCTCTATGCCCTGAGAACTGTAAATGAGACACCAAGACATATGGTTACTAAACATACTAAACCTCTGACGGAAGATATCTTACAGTAAACTAATTTATAGATGATAAGTTGAAAGTTGCTTGTTGAAATGTACCAGAAATCTACTTGAATAAAACTAAGCAACTTACTTGGTAATTAAAATTATATGAATAATGATTCTATTCTTATATGCTGCAAAGTTAGTCTTTAAATACAATAGTCCAGTCATTATACTTGTTTTCTAATTTAAAACTTCAATAAGACGTTGATCAGCAGAGCAGACCTGCTAATTACTGCTAGGATACATGGGAAAAATCCGTATCCAAAGACAGTACTAGACCAACGTCCCCAAGTATCACTTATTCCGGATCACCACCATTACCTCATCAACATATTATTTATATTTAGGGATACTTACACTTTTTAAACGCTGTAGGACTGCACTTCTTAAACCTTAAGAATAGCCTTTAACTTAAGTACTGTTTTTCCCACTTCGATTTAAAAACAATTGAGTATTTATGTTAAATTTCAAAACACATTAGTTTTTTCCTTCGACAATAACTAACGAAAGTTCACTGCTAACTGAAATGCATGTAGAATATCCCATGATTTATTTCCACTACCTAAACTACGTGACTACGACATACATGTTACAATTCTTGAGAAATACGAAGTGCTGAATGCCATAGAGTATACGCTTTTATTTGCATTTTGCAAAAACTATTATCTAGTATTACTTATAAATAAGTTGTCGTATAGTAAGCTCATTAGTGAATAACTTATGTAATAAAAGCTCATGCTAAATTTATGTAAAACTCATTATAGAATAACCCTCTGTATAAAAGATGTGAGGGTGAAAAACATTACTGTGTTAACCAAACAACTAGTATGTATACGAGTTCTCGAAAGTATAGAGAAAAGTAGCCATTTTAATAACCATACATAAGTATGCGCCGTACTCTATCAATCTGACGATAGCCTATAGCAATGAGCTGTTTGGTTTAATGAGATAAACATTTTTACTCAAAATTTACATTGGTTGGGGCAACCTACATTTTAGTATAACTCCTATTAGGCGACGACCAATAAAGGGGACCAGACCTAGCGTAAGAAAACATACCAACCGCCAGAAATTCGTTAAACATACTCAGGCCCCAGACATCAAACCTTTCTCGGCAGGATTAGTCGACTATATGGTCCTTGTAATCTGCGTATGGGCGGTCAAAGATCAGTAATGATGATGTGAAGGTATAATCTTCGTTGTTTTCCTTCATTAATCGGAGGGTAAAACCAAGTAGTTGCTTATGGTAAAAGTTGTAGAGGTAAATAAATCCCCAAAAGATAGTTCTCTAAGTCTTCGACACTGATACTAACCTCACTGGTTCTAATGGATACATCTAGCTGAAGGTACTTGGCCACGCATCAATACCAGATCACAAATGAGTACTCCGTGTTACGTGTCTCCCACAACCGTTAGCCAGCTTAGATCAAATGCTTTCCGAGACATCAATAGTTTTTAAAATATAACTCAGAACTTCCCTACTTATAATTTGACTGGTTTTTCATACTTCGACTGTAAATGTGTAACTGGTAAAAGCGTTGTCAAACTCAGAATACTTGTGGCATTTTTAAAGTAGTCGTTATGTAACACCAATTGTAATCGCCCCCAGTAACTAAACATCAAGCGTTATTTTGAAAGTCTCAGTGGAAGGAACCACCACAATTGCTTCTGATGTGAAGTTAGATAATATGTTAACTCTTATCACCAAGCATTTTCCACTCACTTTTGTGCAAGATCGTTTGTATTCTATCATAAACGGATAACCTTTTGTGCATTGTTTGGTAATGAAATGTGCTTGTAATCCGATTGGCTTGACGGTGTTACCAGCAACACGACACATTATGGTCATAGTCTCCCAATCCTTTTGTACTTTGCAGGTTGCTAACTTGGAGCATCCAGGCAAGGTGATTAAAGTATTTTTAGTTTCGGGGCTTTTTGGTTGTTCGTCCCTGAATATGTTCCAAGAGAGTGATATTGCAATCAAGGAAAAGTTTAATCCAAGTGGATTTCCCAGATAACATTCTAAGTAAACAATATAGACAGTCTTAAGCGGTATTTGGGTTAGGCTACCCTGGTGGACAGAGCATAATCACTGTCCACCATTAGGATTCCGCCTTTCCTAAAATTCGGGAGGAAATACCATTGAGTACTCAGTCATATTTCCTATTCAACTCAACTTGAATGGACATCAGTCCTACCTTTAATCTCTTAATATCCTACAACCGTCAGTATATATCAGGGTTTTAGAGCGTACGGTTTCAGGTCAATCGTTGATAGATTATATGAAAATGAGCGGTCCGAAGGATAAGCTTTGACGGACTTTACTTGACATTGAAAATCAATCAGTTCGAAAGCAATACTATCAAATACCAAATACCCTCAGCTAATTTGTTTCAGATAGAGATTTTGATGATCAGTCTTAAGAGGGCAACGGGTTTGTCCGAAGAATTTATCCGCAACGCAACCATGTAAACTTAATGTATCGCCCAGTGTAATAACGGTCATCTGTGCGTTCAAGTAACCACAGATTTTGTCATCTCATAATGTATTTTTATTTAAATAACTAGATTATGTTGTTCATTTTGCTCTGTTTTTAATTTTTATTCGCCACGTCCGACTGCGCTACACTGTACGTTCATTGCACGCTGGAATGACATCTCAAGTCATAGTTAGTTTAATCACATCGTTTATTGTTTACAGATAGACCGTCAGTGCATGATGTTACTGAAGAATGGTTTTTTGTACTGTAGACTATGTTTTTATGAACAACTGACTGTTGTCTTCAGTCTGAAAGCAATATATATGTATCCTTCGTCTTCTGTTAGGTAAGTTCAGATGGCCTATATTTCGTGTTTTGGTTTTATCGGCTAAATTATGTTCATTTTCCTCCGTTTAGTAACATGTCTGTGCAAATGGAACAATAATTATGACACTTGCTTGGTTTAGTATTCTTGGTTGCCGTTATAATTTAGATTAGTCGATAGAATTATAGTATACTTAAGTACAGTGCTTAAAGCCTGTAACGAAACGGATCAGTTTAGTAAGTAGAGCTGCCTGTTTTTAGTGAGTATATTGATTCAAATCAGTCTGATTAAAAATAGGAAAAAAACGTGCCTTTGATTCTGTTGCTGTCAGATATTATAAGATATCTTTAAGTACGTTTGGTGTTTATTTGTAGACAGTACGTCTAACACTGTTCATGTTTCAAAACCATTGTCATTAAACAATTTCCCTAGCAATAACATCGGTATCAGGATAGCTAAGTGTCTGAGCTTTTACTTGCCTGCAGAGGAGCAGTATACAGTCTTAGAAGATGAGTGTTCTGTGTCTCAATTAAATGCAGCTGGCTGTGAACAGATGTTAAGAATCTTTTTCGCAACTGGGACCTTTAGTTTATCAGACACTAACTGTTGTAGCGGTAAATAAATCCCCAAAATAAATAGCTCTGTAAGTTTTCGACATTGGATTCTGACCAGATTAGTTTTAGTTGACTCACCAAGCTGAAGGCGCTCGGTCATGCATCCGCACCAGACCACGTGTGGGAACGCCGTGCTCAACATCTACTGCAATCGCTAGCCAGACTAGATCAGACAATTCCGACATATTGGCAATCGTCAAATACAACTTCTGATCTCCTCGATTCTGTCTTTTGATTTCTCTTGGTGGGTACGAGTTATATTAGGTGTTACTGGTAAAAGCGTTGTCAAACACTGAATACCTGTGCCATCTTCACTCTGCTTGTATGTCTTCCTGTTAAACTAGACTCAGATGCATGGGAATACTTAAATGAGAGCAAAATAATAAAAGCATTGCGATACGGTACTAAGTCCATGTTATGCTTTGCACAAGTAACAGTAGCTCACCTGATCTAATATTCATGAACTCAAGGTAAATCACAACTGCATAAATTCTTTGCTAAAAAACATGTAATTTGGTTATTTATCTATTCCACATTTCTGACTAAATTCACTACTATTTTCTCATTTAGAATGCAACAGGGGTGAGCCTTCACAGATCCTAAGAACTGTTTCGCCCTTAAAACTATGGCCCTATGAAACTGTTTATGGGAGACCCAACTAACAGCAGATTATAAAAAGGATGCTGGATGTCCATTTTAGTCTCACAACCACTTCCAGTACTTTTTGAGTTACTTCTTTTACCCTTTCGTTTGGAAAAAACAACAAAGACTGCCGCTTAACATTACCAGTGCAACTTTTAGACGGGGACTTCGTTTAAACCTTTGCTTGATATTCGATTATTAATGAAAGTTCCTGAATAAATTTTTAAATCCAACGCTACTTTGTTTTGTCTACTTAATCGTTGCAAGAAACTTGTGATATACGAGCCTCTCAGCATCTAGTTCACATGTAGTAAATTTAAGTGATTTAGTGCATATCTTCGTCATTTTCTTGGGAAACCTACAGACTCGGGTCCCCTCACAACTTATTCTAACCACCATGAGTTGTCACGGCAGCTAATGGATAGACACGCGTTACACATCCTAACCGTACCTGCGTCTAATCTTATAGCTTCTTATTCAAATGCCATATGATAAGCAAGCAATGCCCCTACCCGCACTAATGGAACACTAGTAACTCAGAGGCACCCTGTATGGTACCCTACATTGGTCTACGCACTCGCTTAGCTCTTTAGTGAGAATAGTGCTACAGTCCTGCTAAAAATCCCATGAACCCCCCTATCTCCATGAAAACAAATAAGTCTGTATTTGCTGCATATAGAAATTTTATTTTTCAGAAGTAAGATATAACAGTTAGAATTGGAGTAAAATGGCAGTATACAGTAAATGCACGTGGTACATGTCTTCATCGATTAACTGGAATAGAGAATACGGATATTAGCTTAACAGGCTTATTTAGAAAGACTAGTGTCTACTTTGAACTTAATGCGTGAGAAAGTTATACCGGAACTACGAATAATGTAGGAATCTAGTTTCCCAGGGCGTACGAACCACTCAAACTAGAAGACAGTTGTCCAAAAATAATTCGAATATGAAGGTGAAGATTTTCAGGTACTTTTCATCGTAAGGGTGAACATATTAGGTACCGGTTGACATCATACCGTAAAAAAACACAAATTTGCGAGTGGTGAAATATGATCTATAAAAAAGTGAGCTTAATAACAGTTAATTACCTTTTTACTCCCTGATCATAACCCTTCGACTTCCTTTTATCGCCAAAACAGCAAACATGCACTACACACTGATAGCAGATTTCCGGCTTTTCAATATTAAGCTTGCTTTAACGCACGACGTATTGAATACAACCCCTCTATTACTGCTATATGACATATTTTTCATAACAAACCCTCTGCAATGCATTGGTAACATCTGTGACTTCATCTATGGTTATCGGAAGTCTGAGTCCTTTCGTAAACAATACTGATATCCCCTACTGCTATGCACTCAGTATTAATTTGACTCGTTGGTGGGATAGTGCTGTCCATAGTACTGAAGAAAATTGAAAACCGGAGATTGTTTCCTTTCATTTTGCCGATAACATCATAAAGGACAGTTAGGAACGAACATGCGGACAGTTAGTCACAGGCGGCAGCAACAATTATTTTAGCTAAAAAAAGAGCTTCGTCTTTGGATATCTAGAAAACAAGTCAAAACAAAACCTATAAGACTAGCCAGTTTGGCTGAAGAAATACATTGACTTCAGTAGTAGCAGCCAAAACCCAGAAAACAAAGCAAATTGAGGAAAAACTTTGCTCCAACATTCAGAGTACTGCATTAACTTCCGGATTTTAGCACACTGAAACATTAAATTTTGTAGCTACACAAAAGAAATAGCCGAAAAAAGCACAGAACGAAGAAAGCCGACCGCCATTGCTTACAAAGATGTGGGACATAGTAGTTCCCGCCTCATTCTGATTGGTTGCTAAGCTGAAGGCCACATTTACGAAATTGAGTTGCGTTTAATAGCAACCGGAATTGAGCTATTACATTATGGTGCGGTCATGGGATTTTGTTAAATTAATGGCAACTAAATCTCCAGAGTAAACAGTTTTTTAAGTCGTCAAGATGATACTGACT